GTTTTCTTTTTCTTCTTCTTCTTCTTTTCATTTATTTATTTATTTTTCTCTAGCCCACCCCCCCCCTCCCGTTTTCTTTTCTTTTTTTTTTTTTTTTTTTCCTTTCTCAGGATATGAGGGGATGTTTAGAAAATCCACTGCCCACGCCAGCAGCTGACTCATGTTTTTATTAAAGAAGGCCTGTGCTGAACTGACTCCGCGTATTCCCTCCGGACCTCCTGTCCCGGCTCTGCCGGGATTGTCCCCCCCAGCCCCAAAGCCCCCATCCGGACCCTCGGACCTCCAACGTGTGCCCTTGGCCACTTTTACTCTCCCCACGATGCTCCTGGGGCAGAGCATCCTATGGATAATGATATGGATAGGATAGTGATTTTTGATTTTGAAGGGGGAAAAGGGACTAAAAGATACCTTAAAATGGGGCTGTCCTGGCACAGGGTGTTGGGGCATGGGGATGGTGGGGGCTGGATGGGGGCATTTGGCTGCCGAGGGCACGGAGCTGCCCCACGCTGCTCTGTGGCCGTGCAGAAGGGTGAGCCCTGCCCTTGGCACCTGCCTGTCTCCCCTAAAAGCCCCCATCTCCTCCTCAGCCATCCCATTATACCCAACGTGCTGCACCCTAGGGCTGAGTGCCCACGGGGAGCAGGTTAATGGGTCCGCGTTAAGTCCCCCACACACTGATGAGCGCAAATCAATGCTCTGAGGAGCTCTTGAGAGGCACAACGTTACAGCCTGTCCGCACAGGGATTTTTTTGCAATTTGTTTCACCTTCATAACAAGGTGCAGAGGCTGTTTGGATGGAGACTGTGCTCTGAACCAGCACTTCTTGTCCCCGTGTCTGCCTTGGGGACGTGCTTTAGTCTGATCCAAGTAAAATAATGAAGAAAATGCATCATCCATCCTGAAAGAGAACGTTTCCCTGCAAAGATGTCCTTTTTTTTTTTCCTTTCAGGATCAAAAAGCCCTTCCCACAAAGACAACACAGCTGAGATCTGGGCCCGGCTTGTTTGCGAGGCAGTGCCATCCCCTCCGTCTTGCCTGGAAAAGGCGAGCACAAAGGGCACAGCTGGTGCCCCCCCAGCCCGCGACATCGCCGCTTATCTCCCGCTATCTCAGCACGAGCTGCCCACTGATGGCAATCCAACGTGGAGAGCTCGTGTTTGGAGAGCTCACCTGCTGGTGGCACAGGGCACAAGGGGCCAGGCTGCCCCCCCAGCTGAAAGGATGAGTGTCCGAGAGCTGGGGGCAGGCGGTGGGGATGTGCTGCGCGTAGGGCTCTCTGCCAGGCTTTTCCCAAGGGATAAGGATGTGCCTGCTGGGTCCCTGCTGGGAATAGCTAGGCAGAGCCACTTCCCGGCACCGTCCCCCTTCCCGAAACAGCAGGAGAGGGAAAAACCCATCGGTGTAATCCTGCTGGGCCCCGTGCACCGGGGACAGGCACCCGGCACGGTGCGGCACGCAGCCTGATCCCGAGGGCGGGCGCCTCCCCCTCCTCCCTATAAAGGGGTGACCCCAGTGCTCATCCCCAGACTGGGAGAAAGGGCGATGGAGGCACCCAAAATTCCCAGGAGGAGCCCGCTGGGGTTGATGACGGCTGCTTTGGGATGCCGGGGGGGCCTGCAGAGCCCACGGCACCCGGCGAGCACGCGGCGCCGCACGTCCCCAGCCAGCACCCGGGGCCGGCACTGGTTTGGGGTCACGGCAGCTCCTGGGAAAGGCCAGCACGGAGGAAGCCCCAGCGCCGGAGGGACTCGCGCCTGCGGGTGCGTGGGCAGTGGGGGGAGCAGCTCGGTGACCCCTGCCTCTCCCCCCTGCTTTGCTCACCTCTATTTTGGGCGCCTGCACTTCCATCCATGAGGCTTGCGGGACTCAGCGATTCCCCCGGGGCCGGGACAGCTGCAGGGGAGGCTGCCAGAGCTGCTCTCTGCGGAGGTCTCCGGCCTCCAGCAAGGCCAAATAAGTGGCCTTAGAGCTTACGTGGGCTTGGGGCAGCGTGGTGTTGGGTTTCTGGGGGGCACAGCAGCCACCGGGATGGGGATGTTCTGGAGTGCTCTGCTCTGGCATCACAGCAGCTCTGTGACCTGCTGTCCCACCCCAGGATGAGCTGGGGATGCTGTGAAAAAGATATATTTTTTTAAAGCACATTTTTTTAAGCTCTTTTATGCCACCTGAGCCAGGTGAGCTGGCAGGACGGTGGGAAAGGATGTGCAGGAGTCAGTGACAGGTCCCGTGTGGCAGCAGGGGGGAGGCGGGTAGGGCAGGAGCAGCAGCTCTCAGCCCTTTCCACTTCTCTGGATGTTCAACGAGGGCCCGTGGCTTCAGTTCTGAGCCCGTACCAGCCACGAGCCAGCCTGGGAGATTCGGCATCGCTGTGATGTGGTGGCTGAGCCTCAGCCCACGAGAGAGGGCAGTGTCCCTCCAGGCACTGCCCTGTCACCTCCTCAGGGTCAGGGTGCTGGGAGCAGGCAGCAGGCAGCAGCAGAGGATGAAATCCCACTGCCTCCCCCTCCCCAGCCTCTTTCCGCCCCCATCCCATGCGCTCTGCTCGCCCCCGCCACCAGCCCTGGTATGAAATGTGCTGCGTGGGGCCCCGGGAGGCAGCGGCAGGCTCGGGGGGGTGAATGTTAATAACGGTGCCGTCCGGTCGCCCCAGACTTTCCCACACATCTGCAGCCACTTAACGTGGGAATCGTTAACCCTCTGCGCGCGCCGCGCCGGCACAAGGCGAGGAGGGAGCGAGGTTCCCCTGCCCCTGCCTCCACCGGGTCTGCACGAGGCCAGGAGGGGATGCAGGGGTCTGAGGAAGGACCCTGCAGCTGGGCAGGGGTTGCACATGGGCAGAGAGGGGTGGAAGGATGCTCTCGGGGCATTCAGTGGGGCCGAGGGTGGCTGCGCTTTCTCCACGCTCTCCGGGATGCTGCTCTGGGGGTGGGTGGCAGGAGCGATGCGCAGCAGCCACGCTCTGCCCCCTGCTCTCCTGTGCCTGCAGGGGGGCAGCAGGAGGAGCTGGGGGTGCAGGGGGGGCACGCGATGCTGGGATCTGGCACCTTGGGTTGTTTTGGGGGGCAGCGGGGAGGATAGATGCCCATGGGGGTGCTGGGGATCCAGGGGGAAAGGGAAGCTCTGCGGGCATCTCCCCACCCCTCTGAAATGACCAAGGGGCTCGGAGCGAGCCGGGGACATTCAGGGCTTGGGTTCGTGTCCTGAGTGCCTCCCCCATGGGCACAGAGGAGGCGGTGAGGCCGTGGCCTCCCCAGCAGAGCTGCTCCGTCTGTGCTAGCTGGCTGCAGCCTGGCCCTGGGGACCTCCCGGCCCTCCGCTCCCCAGCCCCGTGGCTTCCAGGAGATGGCATCACTCGATCACAGATAGCAGCACCCAGCCCCTGGGAGAGCCAGGGAGATCCTGGCTGCTCTGCCCGGCCTCCTCTGGGTTTCCAGAAGGACTGCAGGGCTGGAAGGGCTCCCCGAGCTGGGGTTGGTGCTGGGGGTCCTTGGTTCCTTGGTCTGTGGCATGGAGACAGCCGTACCGAGCCCCCGTGCTGGGGCTGGGAGGACACTGGCCATGGGGGCTCTGCAGGGCCACCTCCACCCCAGGGTTGGCAAGGTCACAGGAGGCAGAGCCTGGGTGATGCCAGGTCAGGAGGTGGTTTCCCACTCCTGGCACAACATCAGGATGCTGTGGGGAGAAAGGGCTGGGGTGGGCAGCGAGCTGGCAGCAGCGGCTGGGTGCTGTCCCGGAGCCACCAGCTATGGCTGGGGACATCCCTGCCAGCTGCAGGGGGACAGGTGAGAAGTGGCTGTGCATGCGCACACTGAGCTCCTCAAACCACAGCAGCTTTGTTGATTTTTGGTACCATTTTCCTTCTAACCCCACAAATCTGGGAGGCAGCCCCACCCTGAAACCTCATCTCAGGCTCATAGCCACAACGGGGAAAAGCGCAGAGAGCCTGTTGGGTTATCCCCTCCTCTCAATTGCATCCAAAATCCTTTTTCATTTTTTTTTTTTTTTTTTATTTTTTATTTTTCTTTCTTTCGGTTTCTTATTGCCCAAGTCTGGGCTGTTTCAGTCGGGGAGGATGAGGACAGAGCAGCCCTTGCCCAGCAGGGATGGGGCTGTTGCAGAGCAGGGAGGTGCCGACACATCCTCCTGGCAGCCCCCGCGGGCCTGGGCTTGGGCTGAAAGTGAAAGCCCGAGCCTGCAAACGGCTGTGCCTGGAGGTTTCTCCATCAGAAAAAAAAATGGATGGGGATTTTTTGTTCCTTTAAGACAGAAAACAGACGAGAAACTCCTCTCGCTGCAGGGCTGCCAGCCCTCCGGGGCTGTGCCGGAGCCCCAGGAGGGTTGTGTTTTTGTGTTTTATGGGTTTCCTTTTTACTTCCCCGTGCAGAGCAGCGGGCAGGCCAGGAGGCTGCTGCTGGGTGAGGTGTGGAAGTGGCCGTGCCCCCCAGCGTGCATCCAGCTCTGTCTGTCCGTCTGTCCTGCTCTCTGGGGGCTATGGGCTGGAGGGGTGGGCTTGCCCCCAAATGCTGTAAGAGCTGGGGGACCCAGAGCCACCCCTTCCCTCCGACCCATTTCCAAGCCAGGCAGAAGCTGGTTTGGGCAGGGAAAAGGGGGAAAGCGCCACCCCACAGCCAGGGTTTGGTGTCCCCAACATGGTTGATGGGGCCAACGCCAGGTGCAGCCCAACCTGTCCCCTGCCCGCAGCCAGGATTTAATTTGCGGGCTCAACCCAGGCTCCTGGGGTTACGAGTGGCGTTAGGGACAGGATGAGCTCCTTTGGGGCATCCTCATGTGCGGTGCCGGAGGATGTTGGAGTGTCCCCAGCCCCGGCTGCTACAAAGGGACCGTGGGGACAGCGGGCTGGTGACCACCGAGGGGACAGAGGGCCGGCGGGGTGCAGGCGGGAGGTTTGAATCACCCCGCCGCTGGGGTTCCTGCACTTTGAAATGCAAACCTGCCTTTCAATGCAAATGCTGCGAGAGGTTGGGCCCAATAAAAGCCTGTGGGCAGGGAGGTGCCTGGCCCCGGGACACAGCTCCCCAAGGCGCCCAGGTGAGCGTGGAGAAGGAGGGGCGGCCGCCACACCGCGACACCCGGCCCGGCACGGCGCGGCACGGCACGGCGCAGCATGAGCGCGGAGCCAGCCGGGGAAGATGTATGTAGGTTATCTTCTGGATAAGGACACCAACATGTATCCCAGCCCCGTCCGGCACCCCAGCCTCAACCTCAACCCCCAGAACTACGTGCCGGGGCCTCCCCAGTACTCGGACTTCGCCAGCTACCACCATGTGCCGGGGAATTAACAGCGACCCGCACCACGGGCAGCCCGCGGCCGCCTGGGGCTCTCCCTACACCCCTGCCAAGGAGGACTGGCACTCGTACGGCACCGCCGCCGCCTCGTCCACCGCCAACCCGGGGCAGTTCGGATTCAGCCCCCCGGATTTTAACCCCATGCAGCCCCCGGGCTCTGGACTCCTGCCTCCGCCCATCAGCAGCTCGGTCCCCCAGCTGTCCCCTAACGCACAGAGGCGCACCCCCTACGAGTGGATGAGGCGCAGCATTCCCAGCACCAGCAACAGCGGTAAGGAAACCCCCAGCCCCACGCCCCAGCTCCTTCCTCTGCTCACAGGAGCCTTCATCTTGAGGTCCTGCAGGGCTGGGTTCCTGCTGCGGGGTTTGTGGCTGCAAGGGAGGGACAGAGCTTGTGTGGCCACCGAGGTGGCACAGGACTGAGGATGGGCATGGAGGGTACCAGCAGGCAGGCTGCCCTGTCCTTCCTTATCGCCAGCAGCCGGGGTTAGTGGATGGTTTCTGCCTTGCATGTGGCTGGAAAGTCCCAGCCAGCCTCTGAACCACCATCCCTGCCCTCACCTGCTGCTGCTGGAGAGGGCAAGCAGAGCTGGAGACCTGTGGGGTTGTGGGGTGCTCCGGCTGCAGGCAGCCCAAAGGGGCTTTTTGGAGGAGCCCTGCCCCACCCTGCACTGCTGGGGCACTCACCCATGCTCCAGTTGGTGACGGACGGGCTGTTGGTGTGTGCAAGAGTGAGCGTGCAAGGCTGCGGCTGTGCGTGTGAGCAGTGAGCGTGGCCGTGCACCCGGTCAAGAGGTGCAAGAGCGCATTCAGTGCAGGGTGTGCGAGGCTCTGCGTGCAAGGCACTTGTTGCACGGGGTCGGTGAGTGTGCACGGGCGATGCCGCACGCTCCGTGCGTGTGCAAGGTGCGCCGGGTGCCATGTGCAGGGTGCGTGGGGGTGCTCAGGGTGCTGCGTGCCGTGGGTGCGGGTGCCCCCGCTCCTGTGGCTGGCACCGGGTGGCTCTGACGTCCCCGTGTCCTGTCCCTGGGGTCCTGTCCCCTGCTGAACTCCTGACCCGGGGCAGGAGGGGGGGAAGTGTCTGTGCCCCTGCAGCCCCCTGCCCGCAGGCCGCCCCGCTGCCCACTTCAAAGGCGGTGGGCAGTCACCCCTCGGGGCCAGCCCAAATTGACAAGGCTTCGCTTTGTCATGGAGATGCTGGCCGGCTCCTTTGGCAGCGAGGTGAGGTGCGGGGGGGCCCTTTGTCCTGCCCTGCCCGTGCCCTTTCATGTTCCCCTCCAGGGTTCCCAGCCCAGCCTGGCCAAACCACCACCCTCTCCCTCGCCATGGCTCCCAGATGAAAAATGCACATCGAGGTGCAAAATGTCCCCGTTTTAGGCTTGCTTCTGGTTCCCCACTATCACCATGTGGGGCTGGCCGACGCACAGTGCTGGGGCCGTGATGGCCAAGATCTCTTCAGAGGCTGTGTGGTGCCAAGGGGCTCAGCCCAGAGGTGTTTGGGGTCTCCTTGCATGGAAAACTGCTCCGTGGCTGCACTTGGTGCATGGTGTGGTTGGGATCGGGGCTGTCCCCGAGGGAGCAGGGGCTGTGGTGGGCAGGCAGAGCATCCCGGGGGTGCAAACAGCTAGCACCAGTCTGCAAGCAGGAGGGGAGAGGCAGGCTGGTATTTCCTGGCCTGTTTTAAGCCCTGAATATAGCTATTTAGGAAAAATGGCCCCCTCCTTCTAGGCAGTGAATGGGACCCCACAGCTTCTGCAGGTTCTGTTGGTCTGAATTCATGTGTTTTTTTAGAGAGAGGTGGGAGGGGAGATGAAAAAATGAAAGCGGGGAGAAGGAGATCAGCACTCTCCTCCTCTGGATCAAGGGACTGAGACAGACCGGGGGCTTGATAGTGCCCCTTGATTGAGTTACGTGGCGAGTGAGTGATTGAATTCTGCAAAAATCAGCCGCTGCTGAGTTGGTATCTCTGAGATTGAACACATACAAAGGAACAAATATACCAGCCATCGTCCCCTTGCATGTGGAGCAGGATCAGTCCCAGCGGGCAGGGCAGCAGAGCAAAACCCCCCTGGGTTGGACGGGCACCTTCAGCAAATGCCTCCCCCCGGGGGTTTCTCTCCCTTTGGAGTAAGGCAGCGAGCTGCAAGTGCTGGACGCTTTTCTCCATAAAGCTTGAAAATGAGCAGAGCAGAGATGGGTTTGACATAGGTAAGGGTGAGACTCGGGAATGAATTGTTTTATTGAAATCAATAAACTGAGCATTAATCAGCCTGGATGGATTAACTGCCCCTCTCGCCGCTGTGGGAATAGGAAGCGAATGCGCGTCCCTTCTTGCCATAAATATCAAGAGTTTCTGTGCGAACGCCGTAAATCATAATACTTCAGAGGGCTGTAAATCGCGGCTCCCTCTCCGTCTTCCCTTGTATAAACAGCCATCGGCTGCAGTTTGCAGGCTCTGGGGAAGGAGCTGTGCCTTGCCGAGAGGCGACTTCACACACGGCCTGAGCGTGCTGGGGGTCCTGCACGCACGGAGCAGAGCCTGAGAAAAATCGGGGAGAGATCTCCCAGCATCAGGCTTACGGGGTGCAGATTTGATGTACCTCTTGCTAAATACCTGAGCTAGCCATGGCAGAGGGCAAAACCCAGCTCGGGGAACAGCAGCAGGGGCTGCGATGCAGGGCTCTCGAAATCAGGAATTAGAGGGAACCAGGCCTCCCCAGCCCTCCTTTTCCTTCCCAAGCATCACCTCCTTTTCTGCTCATAAAATCTTCACGAGCCGAGTGTCAAAGCCTCGCGCTTCCTCCTTATTCACAATTATTTGCAAACTTCCTTGTGAATTGCACCCCTGCTCTATAAAAAGCTCAGGAAGGTGCTGGAAGCGGCAGCGCGCTGAACTTTGAAGTTCACCCCCTGCTCGTTAGTTATGTAAATGCCCGGGTGCTGCCGCGGGGCCGGCCTTTAGGTCACTAATGGAGCCGGCTGCAGCTAAATATTGCAAGTGAAAGTGCGCCCAGGGCATCCCCGGGGAGCTGGAGGCGCTTGGGGCAGCACGGGGTGGGTGCCCGTGGTGTGGTGCCCGTGGTGCCCAGGTGGAGAGCAGGTGAGGATGCTCTGAGCACGAGCAGGGTTCGACCTGCTGGGCGTGCAGTCCTCAATTCCAACTCCATTCTCTGTTTCCAGCTCCCTTTTCCTTGTTCAGCTCTAGGGAGATCCCTGAAAGCTGGAGGCAACACTAAAACCCCCGTGAATGAGATGCAGGAGCCCTGCGCAGGCAGGATTCGCGTTGGCAAGGGAGGTCCCTGCATGGGTTCTCCTATAGGCCCCCAGTTTTGGGATGTGGCTGCTCCCCATGAAATCCTTTGCTCCCCCACGTCACCTGGAGTGCCTGCATGCCGCTGGGGGCCCCACCGATCTTCTCCCCTTGAATTATTAACCCACAACCTGCTCCTGGCCTCCACTGGGGTTTGCTGAATGCTTAGCTGGCCAAGGTACAGGCGGCTCAAACTTTCCTAGAATCGACTTTCCTTGAACAAAAAGGGCTTCCCTGGAGCACTGGAGGTCCCTACGTGCTGGGCCGGGCTGCCTAATACCCCGGGATTAACCGAGGGACACTTAAACCCCCCGGCCAATGGAGATATTTCCTGCGGGGGACCCTTCAAGGACACCCGCTTGGGCGCTGTTAGCTTTGCGATTGCCCGGATAAGGGGACGGATCCTTCCCCGGCGCTGAGGCCGTGAAGGGGGAGAGGGTCCAAGGCTGTGTCTCCTGCCCCGTGAAGCTCTGGAGGAACCGAGCAGGGCTCGGTGCCTCGGGGCTGGCTGCGGACCCGTGCCACAGGGGCGATGCTCCGTGCTGGCACCCTCGCGGCGCGGTCTTTGACCCCGCGCAGGAGCCTGCCCGGCGGCGCTCGTAAAACCAAGGAGCAGCCCCAGGAATGTGCCCGTTGCCAAAATAAAGGCTTGAATCACCTCAGGCTGCTGCTCCGTGGCCGAGGGCTGGGATGGGGACGTGTGGCCACCACTGGCACCCTGCCCGGCCGGGGCCAGCCTGCGCTCCCCTGCTCTGCTCTGCGCTCCCCACACCCAGCTCTGCCCCAGCCACTTCTGCTCCCTCCCAGTTTCACCACCCCTGTTTGGCTGCGCCCTGGGCCTTGCTCCTGGCTTTGCCAGCCCCCAAATCCTGGTATACAGCCCCTGGTTGTATTCATAGCAAAGCCGCAGGGCTTTTTTGGAAGCGCCGAGCTCGATCCCCTGCACGCAAAGGCTACAAAACCACCGGGATCCGTGCGCGTGGTTTTGTAACCGAAACACTTCCAGTGCTCAACCTATCGAGTCAAATGAGATTTTATTGCGGGAGGGGTGGCCGTGGCAGCAGTGCTGCTTCCTCTGAAGTTTGGCACCAGGAAGAACTCCCCGGCGTGGTTCGGTGTTGGCTCGGGGGGGCTGTGGGTATGGCTGAGTCCTACCTGCAGCCCAGCAGCTCAGAAATCGGGATCCACGTGGCCGTGTCCTTCGTGCTGCTTGTCCCATCCATCACACCCCGCTTCCTGGGATGGGTGGGATAGGGCTGAGAATATGGCAGGGAAGGGGAAGGCTCATGAACCCCATGCTGGTCCCAGCACCAGGGGTCCTGTGGGCATTTAACCCCCCGGCACAGGGCTCTGGGGGGCTCCTGAGTGTGTGCGGGGGGTGCTCAGCCCCTTCTGCAGGCAGTGCAGGCTTTGGAGCTGCCATTTCCAGCAGGTTTGGGGGCAGTGAGATGTGCCGGGCGGTCTGTCCCCAGCATCAGCACCAAGGGCTGTGGTCGCCTCTGCTCGGCAGAGGGAGCATCGGCCCCTCCGTGCAGCACAGCTGGGGCACAGCTGGCTGCCGGGTGAGCTCCAGCTGGGAGGGAGCTGAGCGTTAGGAGCTGATCGCAGCCCTTGTCCTGGGGTATCTGCCATGGGGCAATGATGTGCCAACTGCCCCCTCTCTGCATTTTCCCCTTCTGGAGCTGTAGGAGGGTGGAGGGAGGGTTTAGGCTCCCCAGGGGGCTCACGGCTCTGACCCTGGGGCTCCATTTGGGTTTGGCATTGCTTCTGTGCCTCAGTTTCCCCATCCATAGCTCTGCCTTGGCTACGTCAGGGCAGAGGGAAAGTTTTCTTTAAGGCTTTCACTGGGGAGAGATGTAGCACCCGCTCTCCTAGGATGGGGGGATTTTATCCTCTTTGCAAACAGATGCTGCTCCAGAAAAAAAGGAGCTGGATCGCCAAGTGAAAGCTCCTTCCCTGGTGATGGGACTCTCGCCCACGATGTTTTTTCCCTGTGTTTCTCCAAGCCACCTCAGGGCAGCCCAATTTTTTTACGCCAGTCATGCGAGGAGTGTCTGTGCAGCAGGGCGTGCAAAGCCTCGCGGCGCCGGCTCCGTCCCCGCCAGCACCTCCCGTGCAAAGAGCCCTGCAAGGCGCCTGGCACCCAGACCGGCACGTGCCCATGTCCCCAGGCCTCGGGGACCTCTGCCGATGTGGCGGCGAGCTCTCATCTCCTCGGCTCCAGCAAGGGGCTGCCGTCCCCCTGCTTGCTGCGTGCTGCCCTGATCGGAGCCCTGATGGCTGCGGCGCTGCTCAGGGCTCGCAGCCGCCGCAATTTGGAGCTGCTTTGACCTGTGAAATGGAGACCTTTGGGAAACGGTGCAGGGCTCTGCTCCTCCCCGGTCTGAGCTCAGCTGTTCAGAGCTCAGAGTTGCCCCACGCCAGCCTTAAAACACCCCCTGCCTATCCGTTTGGGTGCAGCTTCTTGCCAAAAGCCATCGCTTGGGCAGGCTGGGGCTGGAGAGTGCCTTCCATAGCCCGGTGGGTGCAGAGCTGGGGACGAACGGTGCAGGGCTGGGGCTTGGTTTTCCCTTCCTCTGCCCTGCTCTGGAGGCAGGGAAGCAACAACCCCATGTCACCAGGGCTACGTGACCCCGACCTGTGCGTCCCAGAGGTGCCCCAGTGCCGTGGTGCAGCGCGGGGATCTCCAGGTCCCCATCCCCGTCCCCAAGGCTGCCCTCGGGAGAGGCTGAGGGCTGGGGGTCTCCCCCAGTGCGTGTGCGAGTACATGTGCGTGCACGCTCAGGAGTGTGTCCTCCGGGGCCTGTGCAGCGTGTTAAAGCCATTCCCTTATCTAATCGTGGCTCAGGTGAGCGCTATTAGGGTTACACATTAACAGCAGTAACGATGCCCTCTCCCCTTGAAGCCATGGGCCCTGCCTTGATCCCAGTGCTGAAACCTTTCCCACTTAGCCCTGTGGATGTCTTGATTTGGCTGCCCCAGCTGCTCTTTGGGCTGGTCTTTTGGGGACGAGAAGGGTGAATGCACAATGGGGCTGGGCGGGCTGGTGGCAGGAGATGGGAAGACGCTTTGTGGGACCTCAAGGAGCAATCCAGGCTCCCTGCACCCCATGTCCCGTCTGTGCTCCCTCCAGCAGCCAGGGGCTGTGCCACAGACCCGGGACAGCCCCATCCACCTCCACTGGGTCTGCTGGAAATGCTGGGGGCTGCCCCATCCCTCTGCCCCCGAGCTCCCCATGGCGGCACTGGCGCACGAGGGGTCCCCGCGAGCAGTGGGCTGGCTCGGCCCAAATTTCCTCTTTCCTTTCACAGGGCCATAAAAGGGCCGCCGAGGGAGAGCTAAGCGCAACTCCGCATTGACATTCAAGGGGGCTGCATTATTCATTGTCAACAGTATTCCTTGCAAATCCCTTTCTTTTCCTTGTGAATCACCCACGATACATTCCTGAGTTCAGCAAACATCGCGGATTAGCCGAGGGGAATGACTCCATCTCTGGCTTGGCTGCGTTTGCTCCCCAATTTTTGGCACAGGGGAAGGAGCGGGGCAGAGCCGGGAACCCGACAGGGACAAGCAACCAAGAGGGAATAAAAAAAAGCAGTCTGTGATGGATCTATTTGTGGCTGCAGCAGGAAATAATAATTCCTGCTAAAATTTCTGGCATATGCGGTATCCACAAACCACCTTGTTTCTGTATTCTTTATTTTAGCTGTCAATTCCGTTGCTTCTCAGCTGTTTTATTTTATTTTTTCCACCAAGCAGTGGCATTCAAATAGTAATATTGCAAATAAGATGCTCACTTTTCAGTTATTATCTCTCCTGAAAAGGTTTTGCTTTCAGAAGAGAAAGAAAAAAAACTCTATGAGAAAACAGATATCTCGTAGGATTCCCTGAGGCTGGCGCAGCCAGAGGGGGTGTGTGGTTTCTCAGGGAGCTGCTCACTATGTGTAAATTTAATTTACGTTGTAACCCCCCTGAGAATCGCTCTGCTGGCAAATTCGGGATGCAAGAGCCCCGTGTGTGTGTGCTGGGGGGCGGCGGGGGGCTGCCTGCATGTTCCCTGCTTCCCATTCCCCCCAGGATGCTTAAAAATGAAACGGAGCTGGTTCATGGGCAGATCTCCAGGCTGGGAGGGAAGGTGTTTCCGTGTGGAGTCTCTGGTGTCTAATACCATTGAGTCGGAGTCTCTGTGGGAGTGCAGCTTCGCTCCACTGCGCCCAGACCTGGGGGAACCCAAGAACAGAGCTCTCTGTTTTTTTTTTTCCTCTTTTCCTTTCTGTGATCCGTGTGCCTTGAAGCGGTGGCACCGTGGGCTTGGCCCCCGTGGCAAAGAGCTGTGCTCCCCGCAGCCCTCCCAGGCTGGATGTGTGCAGGCTGCCTGTGCTCTGGGTGCTCAGCCCGGGGCTGCAGAGCTGCTCCTCACGGGGCTGGCACATCGTGGCACGCGGGATTTACAGCCCATCCTCTTGGCATGCAGCTGAACCCCTCCTGCCCTTCCCACCGAGCCACTTCCCCTGCCCCAAGGCACTTTCCAACACAGAGGAACACCCTGCTGTTACCCAGGATGGGTGTCAGATCCCATAGGAGCCCCCAACTCTCTCGCCCCATGGTCCCAGATCATCACCACGTTGCTCCAGAGCCACCCGTGGGGTTGCGCAGCTCCCCCGTGCCCTCGGGGATGCTCCTGCCCCCCCAGCCTCTCTCGGCTCACCCCGGCTCTGCTTCCTCCACCAGGGAAGACCAGGACGAAGGACAAATACCGCGTGGTGTACACGGACCACCAGCGCCTGGAGCTGGAGAAGGAGTTCCACTACAGCCGCTACATCACCATCCGCCGCAAGGCCGAGCTGGCCGCTGCCCTGGGGCTCACCGAGCGGCAGGTCAGTGCTGAAATGGGAAAAAAATGGTGGAATTGGGGGCTGGGAGAGGGCAGTGCTGCTCCCACCCAGCTTCCAGCCCCTGGGATTTCCCCCCCTGGCCTCGGGGTGCTTGCCCTCAGCTGCGTCCCCTCCTCTGCACGGCTCTTGGTGTCTCTCCGCAGGTGAAAATCTGGTTCCAGAACCGGCGGGCGAAGGAGCGGAAGGTGAACAAGAAGAAGATGCAGCAGCAGAGCCAGCCCACCAGCACCACCACGCCGACCCCCCCGGCAGTGGGCACGCCGGGACCCATGGGTGCCCTGTGCGGCGGCAGCGCCCCGAGCCTCGTCTCCTCGTCGCCGCTGACCATCAAGGAGGAATTCATGCCTTAGCCCCCTCCGCCAGCTCCGGACACCGAGAGATAAGCACCTGCGGGTCGCCGTGCTCCGAGGAGGGACGGTCCCTGCCCAAAGACCCCCCCCTGTCCCCGGCTGCGCTCGGGGGCAGCCAGCGAGGCTGGGCCAGGTGGCACCGTCGCCTTCCCGAGAGGCTGGTGGGCTCGGTCCCGCACACAAACCGTGGGTTAGGGCGTGCTGCTCTCCCCAGGGGCAACGCGCTGCTCTGGGCTCTGCTGGAGCCCCCCAGGACGGTCGCAGAGCCAGCAGGACGGGCGTGAGGTGGTGGTGGAGGACAGCTTTATGGGGGCGCATCGGGTGGAGATGGTGGGATGCTTCCCCCCGCCCCGGTGATCCAGCTGCCTGCTGCTTTTGGGGGTGGTTGGAGCGAGACTGAACTAGAGGAAAGGTCTGGCTGGACTCGAGGCAGAACAAATCTCAGCTGGGCTGCGGGATCTGCCCACGGCAGAGTGAGATGGATGGCCTGAGCCAGGCAGGACCCTCGGTGGTGGGGCTGAGGAGGAACAGGGGCTCCTCCAAACCTGGGAGACGGCAGAAAGCTGCAGCATGATCTGGGCAAGTGCCCCCCGTGTCCCCCAGCCACCACGCCTGCGTCCCCAGCTCCATTCCTGTGGCCACAAAGAACCACCAGGAGACGTTCTGGACCTCCACCCCGTAACTGAACCACCCTGCTGAGGTCTGAGACCACCCTCCCCGGTGGGAAGGACAAGAAGAAGAAGGTTTGCCACCGGGACAGGGCAGAGGAGCCAGCCCCAGGGGCCAAACGCTGACCCCCAGCATCACGGAGCCTTGCACCGAGCTGCGCTCTCTGCAGCCCCATGGCACGGGAGCAGAGCATCTTCACCAGCAGGACATCTGATGGGGTTGGGGGGAGAAACATGGATTGGACCGAGCCCTCAGACCCCGGCACAGCCCTGTGCTGCTGCACCAAGGTGTGGCATCAGCCACATCCACCAGAGCCACCGCTGGGGCTGTCGTGGGGAGAGGAAGGGCTGGCGGTGAGAGGTGAAGGAGAGCTTCCAGGACAGAGGGGCAGTTTCCTTGTAACCCACAGGACTTGGGGGTTTGTTCTCCCTGTCGCCCTGCACGCACTGCACCACCTCTTGCCCCCTGTACGCCCAAGGCCAGTAGCCAATGCTCTTTTATTTCCTGCTGGAAAACTGCAGCTAAAATGCCCTTCATCCCGCTGCCTCCTGGGATCTGCATGAGCCCAGCTGATCCGTCCCGCCCGGTTTTGGATTCCCCGAGGTGTGCAGCTTCCCAAGACCAAGGCGAGGGTGCAGGGGCCCCGTTTGCCCTTTCCCAGCGCTGTCCCTCCAAACCCCAGCAGGGACAAGAGATGTCCCCAGCACTGCCCATGCACCGAGACCCCTGCCCACCCCCAGCCCCTTCTGGCCCAGAGAGCAGTGTCCGGGGGTGCTGTGGCTCTTGCAGGACGCCGTGGGTCCCTGCAGCCCCGCTGTGCCCACAGCCCCTCTCCAGCTCACGTAGGATTTACACCTCCCCTCTGTGGGGACACCTCCCTGGGGCCACCACTGCCAGCCCGGCGGTGAGGACGAACCCCGGCACTGGCTGGGGACTTCGGCTCACGGCTCGTGTATATACAGCAGAACTGCTTTTCCTTTTTATTTTTAGGCATCGGTTAAAATAAAAACAAGCAGGAATCCTGCGTGCTCTAGATGCGTTGCTGCTTCCTTGCACCCCGGGCACTGCTGCAGCAGGGCAGGGACGTGGCTGCAGGGACAAACCCACACCGACGTCCCCAAATGGGGCCAAAAAAGTGGGGAGGACAGGGACAGAGGCCTGGGTGCAGGAGCCTGGCCTCGTGGGCTGGTGGCACCACGCCATGTGCCCGGCACGAGGGAGGCACGGGTGGCGTGGGGTGGCGTGGGGTGGCCACGTCCCGTCCCATGGCCACGGCGGGGGTGTCCGTGCCGGGGGCGTCCGGGGGAAAGGGTGAGGCCGGGCCTGGCTGCTGGAGGCCAAAGAACAAGGCCGGCTGCCCACGGACGTGGCTGCCACCGATTGGCGCCTCCCGGCCTCTAATCTCGTTTTATGGCTGTTGACGGGCTGAATATCCTCCTTGTCCGAGAAGAGCAAACAGAGAACGAGGATGTGAGATAGCGCCGGGGACAGCTGGCATCGGTGCCCGGCCGCGACGGAGTGGGCATGGGTGGGCCTGGCCCGGGGAACTGCTGGCTTTGCCATCCTCTCCCTTCCTCGTGCTGCCATCACCTCTCCATCCCAGCCACATCCCAGCCGTCCTGCAGGGCACCGAGACAGGGGCTGCCCTCAAATCCCTGCCCAAAATTGCTCCTCCAGCCCCAAAATGTGCCGGGGGGAGGCAGGGATGTGCCCAGGCAGGGAAGGTGGATGTGGAGGGACATCTGGTGCGGGATAAAGTCCTCCTGGGCAGAGCAGATGGAGGAGCAGAGGCAGGATGAGGTGGATTTGCAGGGAGAAGGACAGAGCAAAGGTTTTTTTTCCTGACCTTACAGGGGTGGCGGCACCCACTGCTCACCCTGCTGAGCTGGGCTCACCGGCACAGTTTTGGGGTGCCCGGCACATCCCTCTGTGTGCCCTGCTACAAGGGGACACGGGGTTTTGGTAGCTAAAAGGCTGGGGAGGCAACAGGAACGGAGCTGGTGCCACAAGGGAGAAGGGAAGGGAGTGGAAGGGAGGGGACGGGCTGCCTGCCCAAAGGGCTGCGCCCTGCTGGGCGCCAGGGTGCCCACGGGAGGGTGCGGGCAGAGGGAAGATGCTCTGCCACCGCCCCGGAGAAGCTCCCAGTACCGTTGACAGGATGAAATTCCAACCGATACCCTAATCAGGTGCCTGCCTGTTTGCACAGCAGGGTAAAAGTCCAGCGAGCCGCGGGGCTGTGCCCTTGGGTTGCTGCTGCCTGTGTGTGCTCAGGGAGCAGGCGCTGGCGGGAAGGGGCCATAAATGCGCCCACACGCCCTGCACCCCTTCCCCCAACACACACACACACCCCTCGGCTGCTGACGGAAGGCATCTGCCTGCGTCCCCGCTCCCCTGTCCTCCCCTGCCTCCCTCCAGCCACCATTTCATCAGGGCTGCGGGGTCACAGTGTCCCCGCTGGTCCCCGTGTCCCCACCGGCTTTGGCACCCAAAGCTCCTGGCTGTGCATCACCCTGATGGTCATCCCCCTGGCAGGTGACAGGCACATTTTTAGCACCCCAGACAGCCGCCTTTGGGGTTGCACAGCCCCACACAGCACCGCAGCTTTATGGGGACAGTGGGTGGCACTGCCGAGGGACCCTGGGGACTGTCCCCAGCAAGCCCCCGCGGTTTCTTCCCACTTCTTCCTCTGCGCTTCCCACTGGCTCCCGCTGCCTGGCCGCACCCCTCCTTGGAGAAATCTTGCAATAATCCTCAAAATAAGGCCACGCACAGCAGGTGGCTGGCAGCACAGCAGCCTCCGGCGTGGCACGCTTCCCGGTGCTGACTGAACGGGAGCACCACAGCGGCTGCTGCCTTCCCCGTGCCCCACGGAGCAGATCCGGGCACGGCCCCGTCCTGCTGCCAGGCACCTCCCCAGGCACTGCTGGGCTGTGAGCAGGGTGGGCAGGGGGCTTCCTCATGCCAGGGGGCTGCTTTTTCCCTTCCCACTGGTGCCCATCAGGCACGGCATCGGGCTGGAGAGGTGCGTGCGCTCCCCAGTGCCAGATCCTGGGGACTGGGCACGGCAGTGCAGTGCCACCTCTGCCTGAGGTCCCCTGGGGTTGCTGGGGTCCCCTAGGGCAGGCTGCTCCTCCTGGAATCTCCCCCCTGGTTCCTGCTGCCTCTCACAGGTGCTGTGGCACAGGATGGGTCTCCGGGTGGCTTTGGGGTGGTGCCAGGCTTGAGTCAGCTCTGAAATGAGGAGCTGGAGCACCCCGGGTGCCCACAATGTGTATCTACACCCTGCTGGCCCAGGGGATGGAGAGCTGGTGGCCCTAGCACAGCAGCACCAGCTGAACCCCAAAATGGAGCTCCAGGCACAGAGCATCCCACAGGCAGCAGTATCAGTGCAATTTTGGGGTAACACCAGCCCTCTGCCCTAGAGATTGGAAGAAGGAGGCTTGGAGGGTGCCCGCAGAGGGCTGGGCTGTTTGTGCAGGGCGACACGGGGCTGGGGCAGCTGTAACAAGCTGCCACCAGCCTGCCCCCGTGGGACACTTCTCCCTAGGTGGATCCGGAGGGAAAAGGCTGATTCAGATGGCACGGGCACCAAAGGCAAACAAAGCATCGCTGCCCCGAGCAGGAAGGGCGAGGCTAGGACAGCGAGATATGGCCCCGGGCCACCAGCCCAGGCAGCTGGGCTCGGCTTTCCCCACGCATCCCAGGAGAGGGAGAAGGGATGGATAAGACCACGACAAGGAAAACCCAGCTCGGTGACTTCCCAAAAGCCTTTTTTTTTTTTTTTTTTGAGGAAACTGCTGAGTCTGTGAATAAAGGAGATGTTTGTTGGATTGTGCAGTTTGTTCCTTCCTCCATCCCCCCCGGGAATCCCAGGTAAATGTTAGCTCTCAAAGACCCGCTGTGCAAACGCTGAGGCGCTTCACCAGCGCTGGGCTTTGCAGAAATGTCTCTATGCCCGTGATCTCTTTCCTTTTTGGGGAAATTATTCAGAAGTGTTTGACGGGCTGTAGAAACAGGACCTCCAGTAGGTTTTGGGGAGATGTGGGGCCTCGGTTCCAGCCCTGTCCCCCCCCCAGCCCCAGAGCCCCCTGCTGAGCCTTACAGCTGAGCAAAGCTGGGGACATTTCTCACCTGCAGCAGTGGGTGAAGGAGCCAGAAATCAGCTCCTTGCCTCCTCACTGGGGATTTGGCTGAGCACGAGGGGGAAAAGCCCCCTTTACCTTTGCTTTTGGGGCTGTAGGGTCCCACTGACAGCTCTCCAGGAACACCTGAGCCCTGGGGACGGGAGCTGTGCGCTGGTGCTGCGGACAGCACTGGGGACCTGCCCCAGGCGCACTGGGATGCACTGGTCCTGCCCAAAGGGACCGAGGGCTGCTGAGCATCCCCTGCCCTGTGCTCTGGGCTCACTGACAGCATGACCACAAGGCACTTTGGAGCTGCTCGGGCTCCAGCTGCGCCCTGCCAGAAGGAAAACCAGCGTGGGGCCAGCCAGAAAGCTGCTGGGCGCTTCTGGCACCTGCTCTGCTGCCACCACCCCCTGGGACATGTGGGAGCACCAGGCGCCCAGCAGCAGGGCACCCATGGGACCTGACACATCCGTGGCGTGCGTAAAGCAGCACCCACTCCTCCTCGCTGCCCTGGCGGGGGCTGAGGGCTCAGACCCCCCCCCAGCAGGGGCTCATTTGACAGACAGCCCTTCCCCAGCCTGCCAAGAGCCGTCCCCTCCCTCCCTGCCTGCTCAGCACGCAGCCATCCCCAACTCCAGGCAAAACCTTTGCCGCCAGCTCCTCTCCCACGGGGCCGTGTCCCCCCGTGCCCCCCGCCTCCATCGGCGGCGCCGGGAGGAGCTCGGCACCCCTCCCTGCCCGCCATCGCTTCGCCCTCTCCCTCTTCTCCCTCCCTGCCTCCGGAGAGGCCGTCTGGTCTGCGGAGCCAGAGAGAACCAAGTGTCGGAGCGGGGAGCGCATAGCAACAGGATTGGGGGATGAAGAAGATTCGGCAGCAGCATCTCCGCAAGGTGAGAGCCGCTCGCGGAGCTCGGGGAGCGCGGGCAGCGGGTGCTGGCACCCATGGGCGCACGGCTCGGCCGTGGCACCCTCACACAGATTGCAAACGGGGAGGATTTGGGGCATCCTGATCGTTTTTTCAGGACCTGTTGCCTGCTTGGAGGGATGCTTCTCCCATCCCTGCCCTGCCTGCAGGTGATTCACGGCCAGGCTGCCCCGGGGGGCTGTGGATGGGTGCTCAGCACCAGCTCCCCGTGGTGCTGCTCCTGGGGATGCTGCTCCCGACAGCCTGGGGCTGCCCAGGCACGGGGAGGTTGGGGGTGCTCGGGAGGGTTTGGGGTGTCCCCCCTCCATGGGGTGAGTACACGGGGCTGGGCAGTACCTCTCCGCAGCTGGGATCACCTCCTTCCCTGCAGGGTTTATAGGGGTCAGGGTGGTGCTGCGCCCTGAACTCCCCTCGTGCCCCCTGTGGGCTGGCAGAGCTGGAAATCCTGCTGGGAACCCTTTTTAAAGGCAGCTTTCAGGCTTCCCCCGTGCCAGGCTCTGCCTCCACTCCTGCTCCTCTCGGTGGGTCCCCAGCTGCCCCTGCACCAGGGGCTGAGCCCCAAATTGTCCCCAGGTCCCGTGGGGGGACACAATGCTGCTGCCAGCGGCTCCGTGCTCCCTGGAGCATCCCGGGCACCCTGGGTGCCACGAACCCCTCGGGCTCTGCCTTTCTCCTCTTTGCTCTGCCAGCCCATGCTGCTGAAGGCAAAATGAGGAGGGCTCCAACCTGTGCCCAGCCTTCAGGGATGAGAGCCCAGCAGAGCTGTGTCCCTGCCAGGAAATCCCTAGGACCAGCACTGGCCTGGTGCAAGCCAGCAGCCTGAGGTTGCCTACCTGTCCCCGGTGCTGTTTGGAGGCAGCTCTTTCCTCTCCTCTGCCCTACAAATTGCTTATTCAGCTCACTTGGCGACTGCAAGGTCCATTAAAAGTTCCCTTTGCCCCTTGGAAAGGTTTTCTGAGACCCTCGAACGAATTCCTCTGCCGCTGGTGATCCCGTTTAACATTTTTTCAGGATTTCGTTTAGTCCCGCAGCGATCAGCTGGGATGAGCAGCAGATGTCTCGGGTCGTTTCCCTCACCACTGCTGCTGCTCAGGGCTCTGCTAAGAGCATTTCCAGAAGAGCCCAGTGGCTGTTGTTTGAAGCGAGTGCTTGTTCAGCTTGGAGGGCTATTTGGTGAGGGTGGGGGACAGGGCAGGAGCCCGGCTTTGGGCTGCCCCATCCCAGCCTCTGCCCTCTGCTGGGGTCCTGGGGGGCACCCAGTGGGTGTCACCAGAGCTGTGCACGCTCCCCGTGCTCCGGGCATCCCTGCAATGAGTTTGTTTCGGCCTCAGACACCTGTGGCCACCGACAGCAAGGCTCGCTCCCTCTCCTGGCTTGCGCCGTGACCCCGGAGCTGGGGCACGCAGGGCGAGCACAGCCCCCAGGGCTCTTCCCACTGCTCAGACTCAGATTTATTGCACTTCCTAAGCCATTCTGCATCCTAATTAATTCTTTTTGGTGGCTTTTATTCCTGTTCTTAAAGAGATGAACACGCACCTCCGACTAATCCGAAGTGACTCACGCCTCACAGACGCGCTGTGCTCGCACGGAGCCGCAGGGGAGAAATCTGCCTTCGGGTGGCATCTCTCCCAGCTCGGCGCCCGCGGACAAAACAGCCCCACGCTGCCAAGTACGAGTTTAGGCAAAACACGATGAAAAAAAAACAGCTCGAATCTGGCTGCCTTTCTAGATCCAGCCCTGTGCCAGCCGAGTGTGGTAGCGGCTTCGGCAAAGAGGCTTGCGGGGAAATAATTAGCACGGGGAAATTTCCTCGGGGAAGCCAGCTCTCATCCTCCTCGGGGCTTGGAGAGCTCCTTCTCCTCGGTGACCTTTGCTTGGCTGGGAGCATCTGGTGGCGGTGCCGTGCAGGGGGAGGATGCTGTTGCCAAGGGAGCTGCTGGTCCCCGTCTGTTGGTAGCCGCGAGACGGGAGCGCGGTCTGGAAGATGGCAGCGTGGAAAGCGCCAGAGCATCAGAAGGAAAAGCCCCGCTAGGACACGGGCTGAAAGGGAGCCTAAAAAAAAAGGGCCTAAAAAAAAAGGAGCCTAAAAAAAATCGAGGCGCTGCGTGAGGTTTCCACCTGAATCAGCACGGTGTGTGGCTCGTTGTTATTTGGGGCAGAGATGGGCTGGAATCCTTAAATACCACATTGTGGAATTTATTTTAAGTCTAATAGACCAGGTTTTAGTGACGGGGGGGTCAAGCCACCCCTGTCACCCCTCTGCCCTCCTGGCAGGGCGCTCGGTGAAAGCAGGGCTCGGCAGCTGGCATGTCCAGGAGGGATGCTGCAGGGCTGTTTGTCCATCACAAGCACAGGTCTCTGCAGGTGCCGGGCTAATTAGCAGCACGGCCACGTTTTGGGGGAGTAGCTACGTCGGAGAGCCCCGTTAAGGCACTGCAGGAGGGCTGCCAGGTGGCAGGGAGGTTTTGTAGCTCCAGCGTTATATTTGGGTCGCGGTTTCACTTTGCAGCCTGTGTTTCTGATGCTTTTCCTCCGGCCCTTGCCCTGTGATGGTGACATCCAGCAGGCATGGGCATTTAGGGGCGGCTTCTGCAGCTGGGGCTGGGTTTTGGTGCAAGGCCTTTGCTCGGGGTGAGCGTTTCAGGCTGGTTTGGGGAAGTTTCCTGCCCCTCGAGGGGTCTGCGAGCGGTGCTGGGGGGAGCACGCAGCCATCACCATCACTGCTCCGCTCCTGTCTCCATGGGAACTGGCAGCAGCATCCCCAGGGCTGGCCGGAGAGCAGGAGGAGGAGGAGGAGGAGGAGGAAGAGGAGGAAGGCACTGTGCCACCTTGTCCGGTGGCAGGGAGCGTGCTGGGCTCTGCTCCCCAGCCAGAGCACATCCCCTGGGGGATGGAGGTCTGCGTGCAGGGGGACCCACAGCTCCTGGCTGATCCCTCCAAATCCATGCCCCTGTCCCTCAGCCTCACCCCATGGGCTCATTTGGCAAGGCCCCTGCTGTCCTTTTGCTTCATGGAAACTGCACCCAGCGGGCCTCCTGGCAGGGGTGAGCCACGTGCGGTGACACAGGGACAAAGGGACACGACCCTCATCCCACCCCTTTGCTTTTCCCACACACACAAACCCCAGGGAGCCCTCCTGGTGCATCTCCCGTGCCACAGGACCTGCACCTGAGGCAGCCAGAAGGAGATTTGGGGTTACCCTTCCCTCCACCCCTGGGTGCCCTCTCCCATCCCCTGCTCCCTCTCTTCCAGCCGGTGACACCGGAGCTCCTGGTGAGCCCCAGCAGCCCGGACGGGGACCTGGGCTCCGAGTGCCCCGAGGACAGAGGGAACTGGACGGGCCGCCTGGATTTCCTCCTCTCCTGCATCGGGTACTGCGTGGGGCTCGGCAACGTCTGGAGGTTCCCCTACAGGGCTTACACCAACGGAGGAGGTACCGCTCATCCTGCCGGCCGCATCTCCCCATCGCTGGGCTGGGCTGGTGGGATGTGACCCCAAATGGACCCCTTTGCAATGCAAGAACCCAGCGGCGACGGCACAAAGTGCTCGGTGCACGCTTCCCAGAGCAGCTGCTTGCCACTTGCAATAATAACCGGAGGATTTTGTGGCGGTTGTGAAAGATCCAAGGAGGAAAAAGTGTCTGTGTGTGTGGGGGGGGAAACGAGGCAAGGCGTGATCACAGCCCCTTCCCCTAAGGGCTGGGGTGGGCGATGGTGCAGGGGGCTGCGTGCTGCCCCTTGCTGCCCCGTTAATATTCCTCGTGAGGAAGGCAGTGGGAGGTTGTGGCGAGAACGATTTCCTTCCAAATCTTTGCTTTAGGTGTTGGCACTGTGCTAATTTTAGTTGTTTGTTTGTTGTGTTTTTGTTTTTTTTTTTTTTTTTTTTTTTTTCTTTACTTCTCGCAGGAGCTTTCCTGGTTCCTTACTTCATCATGCTGGCCATCTGCGGGATCCCCATCTTCTTCATGGAGCTGTCGCTGGGGCAGTTCTCCAGCCTGGGGCCGCTGGCTGTCTGGAAGATCAGCCCTCTCTTTAAAGGTGCGTGCGTGGAACCCAGAGCCTCTGCCGGGCTCCTACCCGAGCCCCTTGAGAAGGACATGGACCAGCAGTGTCGGCCCCAAATCCCAAATCCTCCAAGCTCCCATTAGCAGCAGAGGTTAAATCCTGGGGGAAGGTGGAGCAGGCTGGACTTCGGGGTTGGTCATTGCAGTAGGTGCCAGCTGTGTGTAAGATCTTCCAGTCTGCAGAGGCTCTGGATGCGATGATCAGCTCTAGAAATTACCTGAAAGCAATTAAACCAGTGTGCAAAACACAGCGTGGAAGCTGCGCAGTGGCTGCTGAAGGCAAAGGTAAGAGGCAGAGAGCTTCAGGAGAAGGTCAGCCCCAACGCTGTTACTCCTGACACGGAGCTGGAGTGAAACCCTGCGTATAATGCAACAGGTCAACAATTTGGGCATGTTCGGGGGCACGGAGGGGTTCCCCCAGGAGGGGAACCTCTGGCCCGGAGCTGGTTAACCACCGGGCTGCTGGATCCCAGAGAGTGCCCCTGGTCGTGGAAGTGCTCCGACGCGGAGAGATGGCTCACTCCTTCTTTACCCTCTCCTTCCTCCAGGCGTTGGCATGGGCACGATCCTCATCGTCTCCCTGGTGGCCATTTACTACAATATGATCATTGCTTACGTTCTCTTCTACCTCTTTGCATCCCTCACAAGCGACTTGCCCTGGCAGCACTGCGGCAACTGGTGGAACACCGAGCTGTGCCTGGACCACCACGTCCTCAAGGCGGGGAACGCCACCTTCCCCGTCAACACCTCCAACACCGTCAGCCCCAGCGAGGAGTACTGGAGGTACCGAGCCTGGCCCAAGGGGGGACGGGGTGGGTGTCCCTCCGGGGACAGGCTGGGGGCGAAGGGGCTGTGCTGAGCAGCTCGTGGGTGCCCGCGCTCGTGGGCGCAGCGATGGGACCCCTCTGTCTGGGATCAGAGAGGGTCTCTGGCACTTGGTGGATGAGCCGTGGCTGCTCACCATCAGCTCTCCTTTGGCCCTAGCCGCTATGTTCTGCACATCCAAGGGAGCTCCGGGATCGGGGATCCCGGGAGGATCCGCTGGAACCTGTGTCTGTGCCTGCTCCTTTCCTGGACCATCGTGTACCTGTGCATCTTAAAGGGAGTCAAATCCTCCGGCAAGGTAAGGGCTGGGCAGTCCCGTTGGGGATCTACAGCCATGCCCACCCACGTTTGTGCACATGGGGAAGTGAGACCCGTGCGCACAGCAGCAGGACACAGCCTGATTTGGGCACGGCTCGCACACCCAGACACTGGTGCTGCTGGCCCTGCTGCATCCCGAGGACCCTGGCACTGCAGAGGGGTGCTGGGTGCTGGGGTGTCCCGTCCCGGGATGGGGTTACAGGGGGTGAGGTGCTGGGTGTTGCCCCCAGCTCCCCAGCCGCCCCCGTGCTCCCACAGGTCGTGTACTTCACCGCCACCTTCCCCTACCTCATCCTGGTGATGCTGCTCGTTCGCGGCGTGACGCTGGAGGGGGCCTGGAAGGGGATCCGCTTTTACCTCACGCCCCAGTTTGACCACTTGCTGTCTTCCAAGGTGAGCAGGATTTTCTGCAGTCTGCCCAAGACACAAAGCCAAACCTCCTCCTGCCCCCTCCAGCACGCGGCAGAGGCAGAGCCCTCACTCGGGTGGCTTTTCTGGCCACCCCCTGACCCAAAGTCCTCAGGGGGCTTCCCAAACCTTGCTCTGCTCAGCTCCGTTTCCCTCCCCCCCCCAGGTGTGGATTGAGGCAGCCCTGCAGATTTTCTACTCCCTGGGGGTAGGCTTTGGGGGCCTGCTCACCTTCGCCTCGTACAACACCTTCCATCAGAACATCTACAGGTGGGAGCCAGATACCCTCTGCTAAAGCTCACCCAGGCTGCGGGGGGATTCGAGGGTTTGGTGGAAGAAAAACCTCCTAAATATCAAGAGACAGCAGCTGGTGCAGGAGTTTTGGGCTGCAGGTGCTGGTGGCTGGGGCTGTGTGAGGCTGCAGATGTGTCTGCTGGGCCTGTCCCCAGCACCACCAGCAAAAAGGGGACTTTGGGTGCGGCACATCTGGGCATCTTTCCCCTTCTCCTGGGGAAAACAAGCTTGGGAGGAGCCCCACGGTGTGACCCATGTCATTAGACACAGGTCCTGCTGCCCCTGGGAAGTACCAGCCCGGTGCGGGATAGGGAAAGGCAGGTTGAGAGCATCTGCTTTGTCCTCCCTAGGGACACCTTCATAGTCACCCTGGGCAACGCCGTCACCAGCATCCTGGCGGGGTTTGCCATCTTCTCCGTTCTGGGATACATGTCCCAGGAGCTCGGGGTCCCTGTCAACCAAGTGGCCAAAGCAGGTGAGGCTGAAGAGGAGCCTTCCTCCCTCATCCTCTGCCTGGGGCAGCCGGGGCTGGGAAGGGGCAGCTCCTCCATCTCCATCTCCATCTCCATCTCCATCTCCATCTCCATCTCCATCTCCATCTCCATCTCCATCTCCATCTCCATCTCCATCTCCAGCTGCCAGAGCAAGGACCTGGGATGGGAAATTCCTTCTCTGCCTGCATTTCCCTCCCTGGCTGCCTTCCCACAGGCTCCCAGTGCCCTCCTGTACCTGGGTTTTGGGGAGGTGCCCGACAAACCCTTTTGACCCCGCTGCCCTTTGCCTCCCCTAGGTCCTGGGCTGGCTTTTGTGGTGTACCCCCAGGCCATGACGATGCTCCCCCTGTCTCCGTTCTGGTCCTTCCTCTTCTTCTTCATGCTGCTAACCTTGGGCCTGGACAGCCAGGTGAGAGCAGAGCCCCCCGAGCCAGCGGTGGCACCAGGCAGCCCTGGGGGGGGGCTTAGGGGTCCCTCTTGTCCTTTCCGTGCAGTTTGCCTTCATGGAGACCATCGTGACGGCAGTGACGGACGAATTTCCCTACTACCTGCGGCCAAAGAAAGCTTCTTTCTCGGCTGTCATCTGCATTGCCCTCTTCCTGATGGGGCTGATCCTCACCACAGAGGTGAGGCGTGGGGATGGGTACATCAGGGATAAGGAGGGGCTCATTTTAGGGAACGCTTAGGGGGGCAGGAGGACGTGATTTTATGGGGACGCTGGTCCCGGCGATGCCAGCCACCGGTGCCTTGTTCCACAGGGCGGGATGTACTGGCTGGTCCTACTGGATGACTACAGCGCCGGCTTTGGGCTCATGGTGGTGGTGATCGCCACCTGCCTGGTGGTGACACGTGTCTATGGTATGGGGTCTGTCCCCAGGGGGGCACGGGGCACGGCCTGCTGCGGGCACCCGGCTGTGGGGCAGAGCCGAGCCCTTGTCCCTCTCCATCCCCCAGGCATAAAGAGGTTCTGCCGAGACATCCACATGATGCTGGGCTTCAAACCAGGACCTTACTTCAGGGCGTGCTGGATGGTCCTGTCCCCGGCCACGATGATGGTAACCTCAGGGCTCGTGGTGCTGCGTGGTGCCAGCACCCCTGGGTGACCCCCCCTTGTGCCACATCGCTCCGCCGGCCCCTCCTGCTGGCCTCCACCTGGCTTGGGAACCATCCTGCTCCCGCTGGGAGGTCTCTGTGGGTTTGAGACCTCCCGAGGGCTCTGTGCTGACTTTGCCTCCCCCCCGCAGGCGCTGCTGGTGTACAACATCATCAAGTACCAGCCCTCCGAGTACGGCACCTACCGCTTCCCCACCTGGGCCGAGGCTTTGGGCATCCTCATGGGGCTCTTCTCCTGCCTGATGATCCCCGCGGGCATGCTGGTGGCCGTGCTCCGAGAAGAGGGGACGCTGTGGGAGGTAGGAGGCCCCAGAGCACCCCAGAAATGTTGGGGGGGGTCATCCCAAGCCTGGCCAGGGCTCTCCGGCGGTTTGCTGCCTGTGGGGTGCAAAGATGGGGTCCCTCGTGTGGGGTGGGCACGGGAGTGAGGGGTTTTGTTTTGGAGGAGCAGCAGTATGGGGGCACCCCAGGCACCATGGGGGGGTTCCTCTGCTAAAAGGCTTGGTCCTGGGATGCGCCGTGGAGCCGCTGGCTGCTTGCAGCCTCCCCAGCTCACTTGGCTTTGCTGCTCTCCCCAGGCTGCTCCCCACAGTGCCGCAGAGCTTGCTGCCCTCCCCAGGCTGCAGCCCTCGCAGGCAGGAGCCGGGGCACGGTGACACGGCCAGGAGCCACCCAGCTGCACGCTGTCCCCTCACCTAGGGGGATCAACAGCCCCCAGCCCCTACAAGCCCTCCCCAGCACCCCCTGCAGACCAGGACACCTCCCCAAACCACTGGCAGGGCGCCGATACGGAGCTGCCTCTCCCCAAATCCCCATCCCACCCTCACCGGGCACTCTGCCCATCCCATGGGGGTGACAGCAGGGAGTGTAGTGATGTGCGCCCTGCTCCCTCTGCCCGTCCCCTCGCAGCGTTTCCAGCAAGCCAGCCGCCCCACCATGGACTGGGGGCCAGTCGCTGGAGGAGAACCGCACGGGTGCCTTACGTGGCCAGCCTGGCCGGCAGCCAGTCCCCCAAGCCGCTGATGGTCCACATGCGCAAAGTACGGGGGCATCACCAGCTACGAGAACACGGCCGTCGAGGTGGACCGGGAGATGGAGGAGGAGGAGGAGGAGGAGGAGTCCATGATGTGAGGGGACCCCCCGATGCGGGGCTCGCCCCCCGGCTTTGCACTGGTTGCACTTCGGCACTTCAGGCCGGCTCGGGGCAGCGGGGGGGGCTTTGGGGAGCTGCTGCCCCTGTTGGCCCCCCTGCCACCATCCCGGCCCCCCCAAGGTGTTAGTGTCAGTGTCGCGAGCTGTGTAATGAATCCGTGCGTTCGTGTGATGGTGTCTGTGTAGGTGACCGGGCTGCCCCGATCCCCCCAGCCCAGTTTCTGGGTGCAGGGATGCTGGGTGCAGGGGCAGCAGCCCGCTGAGTTTGTCCGTTCTCTGCTAACGTGTATTTAACTCCAGTACCCCACAAAGAGGTGTAAGGAAGGATTTTAGTATCCTCCATGCCCTGAGGAAGGTGTGTGTCGGTGCTCTCAGAGGTACTCCAGCAAAACCGGGGCGCGTCGGTGTCCTGCTGATGAAACCTGACCTAATAAATGGGAAGTCAAAAAAAGAGTGAGAACTGAAAAAACGCTTCCTAAACAAGCTGGCTGGGGGTATTCTGAGCTTGTAGGTCCCCGTGGTGGCAGGGCTGGAAAAGCTGAAGGATGGGAAGAGGCTGAGTGACCCCCACAGACGCAGGAGATCATGGACAGGTCTCACCTGGCCCCCGTGCCAAAGGAGGACCCGTGTCCATCCCTGGGGGTATCCAAGGGATGTCCCCAGCCCTGGGTGTTGCTTGGGTCTGGGGGCGAGCTGCTGTAGCTCCTCTGCTGCCCCGGGGGAAGGTGAAGGGCTGGGTTTTGATGCCCAGGTGGGATTTTGGGGTAGCTGCTGGTCTGGAGGGTGTTGGGGAGCTTGCGGGTGCTCAGCCCTGATGCTGCCAGTCCCCATCGCCCTGCTGCTGTGTGCGCCTTCCCCGTGTGCCATCAGTTCTGCATTAAAAAGCAGTGTGTGACACAGCCTGGGAGTTATTGGGGGGCAAGAGAGGGGCAGTGGGATGCTGCCTCCCCCAGCGTGCCTCCTGCCAGGGAGAGGAGCTCACGTGGGAGCAGGAAGGGCACAACCAGGGGGGCTGCCGGGCATGGGGGGCACAGACCCCCAGGGCTTTGTCCTGCACATCGCCATCCTGGTCAGGTAAGTGCCAAAACCCAGGATAAACAGGAAAAAAAAATAGGGCTTATGCTGGGATTATGCCCTGATTCTCTCTGGGTTACTAATTCCAGGGCAAACCCTGGCACGAGGCTTCTCCAGCACGGCCGTGTCACCAGGGCACCCACGCAGAGCCACCCACGTCCCCATGCTGGGGATGCTGAGCACACCCCAGAGCCCCTCCTGGCAGGTTTTGGCCCTATTTTTCCCCCTCGGATCCCTTCTCTGGGCCTGGGGAGCTCTGGCAGCGCGACCGTGCCGCAAAGCACCCCCGCTAGTCCCCGGGTTAATGATTAGAGGCCGGCCATAAAAGCATCGCTGAAGGAAAGTTCAGGCTGTGGCGGCTGGGGAGCGGGGAGGGCCTGCCATAAACATTTATGGCCCCAATGAATCCCTCGCTCTAACCTTGACACTATTTACAGAGCGGGAGGCCTCGGCAGGTCACGGCGCTGCCCAGGCCATCGCCGCGGGTGCTGCATGCGGAGCCCAGGCTGGGGGGCACGGGCGGGGGTCTGCGGGGTGTGATGGAGCAGGGGGTGGGCATTTTGTGGGGTCACAGCGTGCCGCAGGCAGCAGGTGAGGCTGAGAGAGGCATAATACGGATCTGGAGGCTCCTCGAGCTGAGCACCCTGCTCGCCTCTGCATGGCTCCAGTTTGGTTTCGTTCCCGCTGTGGTGTCCCCGCTCCCCAAATCGCCCCTGCGAGCCCCTCGGCCGGCCTCCCCCTTGGTGGCCACCCCCGGATGGAGGCACAGCAGGAAGGACTGGGGCAGGGACACATCCCTTGTCCCCACACAGGACCCTCCAGTGCCCGAGGAGGGGGTGGCAGGGAGCCCCCTGCCCCTTGCCCCCTGCCCTCCCTATGCAGACAGCGGAGGCTGCGTCCTCCGCAGCAGCCTTGTGCTGACACCTCGCGGGGCCACGGCTCCACTGCAGGCTGCAGAGCCGTGCCGAGCCGTGCCGAGCCGTGCCAAACTGTGCCGAGCCGTGCCAAACCGTGCCAAGCCGTGCCGAGCCGTGCCAAACCGTGCCAAGTGCCGAGCCGTGCCAAACCGTGCCAAGCCGTGCCAAGCCGTGCCAAGCCGTGCCAAGCTGTGCCAAACCGTGCCAAGCCGTGCCAAGCTGTGCCAAGTTGTGCCAAGATGTGTCCCGGCACCAGGGATGCTCCAGCTTCCTCCAGCCTCCACCCCAAGCTTTCTCCGGGCCTTGAGACCTTGTTTTGGGGAGGCTGCAGGGCCTCGCAGTGAGGGAGAGCCACCCGTTTCCATGCTCAGAAGTCGGTAGCTATTTATTGCACTTCAACACCAAGAATTAAACCGACACTCGCCCTGCCCTCCCGCACCCGGCTGCTCCCCTTCCCTTCCCCTCCCGCCCGCCCTCCCCCACCTCCAGCATCCGAGCGGAGCAGTGAGCCTCCTGTTCACAGCCATGGGTGCCGAAAAGAAAGGAAAAGGACCCCCCAAAAAAACCCATTCCCACCCCGACACCGGCCCGCTGAACCCGACGCACGCCGCTCGACGGATCGAGGGCACTGGCAAAAAGACGACGGCTTCGGCTGCAGCCCCACGGCCCCCCAGGCACGAGGGGACGGGCGGCTGTCCCTCTCCAGGGCCTGGGTTGGGTTACTTGACAAATCCCGGTATACTCTGAATGATCATATAGTATTATTATTACCTTTTTTCTTTTTTTTTTTGCAATCATCTTAAATAAATATTTCCATAGAGAATTCCTGTGTGTATATTTATATTATATATATATTATATAAGAGAGACAGAGCTCGTTTTTCTTTTTTTTTTTTCTTAAACCACTGTTAACATTTTCCCTGCTCGTCCAAAAAAATGTTACAAAAGCCCTAAAGTTGTGCAACGGTTAGAAAAAAAGGGACAACAACCCAAAGCAGGAAGGAGCCGCTCCATAGAGCCCCCTCTATGCCCCCTCTCCCACTCCCTGTCATCCCACAGGAGGGAAGGACACAGCCAAGGGGCTGGGAGCTGCTGGGTGGCCTCTGGGGACAAGTGGCACAGGGGTCACCGTCCCCTCCTCTGATGTGCCCAAGTCTGGGTTTCCCCATGTGGTGTGGAGGGGCTGGGACCTGCACCTTTGGGAACGGACGGTGGCAAGGTGTGGGAGCACGATGCTTGCTCCAAAAGAGCTCTGCAGGCCATGGGATGTCCCACGGTGGCCATAAAGGGTTAGCCCTGGCTCCTGGGGTGATCAGAGGAGATGGTTATGGGGTTTTCTGCTTGGTCCATGGGGCTCTCAGACATGGTCCTGCTGTTGGATGGTCCTCCTGGGGAGGCGAGCGCAGCCAGCTCCAACCTGTGGGTCTCCGTGGGGTCAGGAATTCATGGGGGGCAAAGGGAGAGGAGGCAGGTTTGGGGTCTGGAGGGTGAAATATATATTCGGGAAGGGGGAAGACAGCTCTGTGCCTGGCTGGGGTGTGGAGAAGAGCAAAGAGCAGAGGTCCTGGAGCGGGCTCTCCCCTTCCAGCAAGACCTGAGAAATGAAGATGCTGCAGCTGGGCACAAAGTCAGGAAGGGAAAAGGGGCAGCTCCAGCCCTACCCACGGCTCTGGGAGCCTGAGACCGTCATGTCAAGCCCTCACACTGATAAATCCTGTGGCCTGCGAGACAGCAAAGGAGATCGGTTTGGAGGACTTGTGAATTTAGGTTGCCCCAGCTGGCCAGGCCCTTCAGGCCGTGTGTACGCGGGAGATAACGCAGCTGGGGTGGCACTGGGGCTGCTGGGGTGGCACTGGGGATGGTGCCAGCAGCAGCTGCAGCAGCCCTAGCTCAGTTGATGAAAATTTAATTATTTTATTTATTTATTTATTTCGGTTTTCCTGCAAGTTCTGGCAAAATCAGGAAGCACAAAGGAAGACAGACAGGAGGTGTTTCACCATGGCTACTAAAAGCAAAGGGGGTGGTTTAGCAGCGCTCGTTCGGAGATGCTCTGGGGATGCAGAAACCTGCTCCGGAGGACCAGGGCAAGGTGGGGAGAGAAACCAGGCAGAACAGACCCCTAAAGTGCCGGTGCTTAACGCTGCCACATCAGGCAGGTTGGGAAGTTGGGTCTTCCTTGGTCAGGCTTCAGCTCGACTGGAAGACTGGAAAGAGTTGAAACCCCAGACTCTGCTTCCCTTGGAAGGATCGGGAGCATTTTGGGTGTTGCAAGGACATCCAGGTGCCTCCAAAAGAATTTATCCCCGGAGAGATGACAGAAGGGAAGCCCCAAGGAGGAGAAACCATCTCCAAAACAGCTCAAAGCCTCCCTGGAACACAAGATGTTCTTCTCTAGCAGTGACCACCCAAAAAGGGCTCAAAGAAAGGAGATGGTGCCTACCCCAGCATCTCACCTGTCACCCCAGCACAGCCCTTTTTTCTGCCAGCAGCTCCAAAACCAGGCTGAGCCCCATGGCCCCATGCAGAGCCCTGCCATGGCCTCCTCCTTCCTCTCACATCCATCCCCAAAATGCTCCTGACGTGGGGAGGTGGATAAAGCACTCGCCACGCTGGAGAGGGGGAGAGAGGACTGTGAAAGAGCTGAGTCCTTCCCTTAAAAATGAAAAAAAAATCATCACTACACGACTACAGGAAGAAAATCGGGTCTGTACAAACACCCCAACTCTACCTTAAACGCTGATCCTCTCCCTGAAAGGATTTCCCTGCTTTAGGGGCCAACTTGTGTAAGCCAGCCTCGCTCCTAGCACAGGTCCACCAAGGGCGCATGGACACATTTGTGCCCATGGAAGTCCTGTTGGATTTGTCCCCCCAGAAGGCATCTCCTCTGTGCACTGCCAGCAAGGATCTCAGCCCCGGCACAGCGGGACATGGCCAACACCTCTCAGCCTCTCACTGCCCCAACGCTTTGGGTTACTGCCCCTCCATCCAGTGGGAAAATATTTTTTGCAGTCTGCAAGTACGTGGCTGTTTTACACGAGGCAGCCACCCCTGCCTAGACAGAGAGCAAAGCACTCAAAACCACAGAAAAGGCAAAATACACGCTCAGAATTTACATGGAGAAAACATTTCCTTTTTTTTTTTTCCTTTTTTTCCTTTTTTTTTTTATGTCCAAAACAAGCGCTTGTTTTTTTTGTTTGTTTTTCTTCTTTTTGTTGTTGTTGTTCATTTCTTTGTTTTTCAACACACGCACCGTCTAGAAAGTTAAACGCCATGCAGATGAAGAGAGTGCAGCTAGAAAGTCCCCGGGGCGGCGGCGCTGCAGGAGCCCCACGCCAACAAGCCAAGAGCTTCCATCGGAAAAACAGACCCAGAAACGGGAGGGCTGCCGGAAAAACCTCCGCCCTCGCGCCTCTCAGACCTGACGGCAAAGGGGCGAGACCAAAAATCCCCCTTCCCGGCCCTGCTTTCCATCCTGAAAAACACATCCTGGTGGCTCCAAAGAGCCCCCAGTGCTTGGTTTGCCCTGCAGGCAGCCCTGCGGGTGCCCCAGGGACGTGGGTGCCCTGGGGACATGGGTGCCCCGGTGCTGGGAGCAGCACGGCAATGCAACCCCTCTCCAAATGTAAACGCAACGAAAAAACAGCAACCCCCGAAAATCCCCACCCCACCCCACCCCCCGCCCTAAACAGCTGAACATTTCTAGTTATTACATAAAGATCCATTTCCGCAAATACTCCAAATCAAGTTACGAAATACACGGTAGGTCGGTTTTCTTTGTTCCTATAAAAAGGCATGCGCTCAAAGTAGAAGATAGCTAAAGGCTTGGTTGTTTCTTCGAAGCACGACCAGATTTCTGCAGAGTTTGGTTACTAAAGCTTGCATTCCTCGTCTTCGCTGGAAGGTGTCGTGTGGGCGATGGCGGATTGCGTCTCGAATCGGTGGCCAGCTCGGCTGCCCCGGCCCTTGTGCCGCGGGGAGCTGCGGGTGCTGCATGCGAGGGGCTGGGGAAGGGGTTCAGAGGGACGGGAGGAGGGCGTGGGGGCGATGCGGGTGCCCCAAACCCGCCGGCAGGGCTGGGAGAGCCAAGCCCTGGGGTGCAGTCGCCTATCTCCTCCCGGCTTCGCCGGTCCCGGCTCCCAGGGGAGAAGGGAGGAAGGAGGGCGAGCAGCCGGGGCGCAAACCTACTTACCCTGCTGGGAAGGAGCTGGCCCATGTTCCGTGGAAAGGAAAACGCCGGGTTGCCTTTACTCACCCCTCCACGCACACACGGCCCTCCTCACCCGGGGCGCACGGACGCTGAACTTTTTGCCGATGGTTTAAACCCAAATTCCCCGGCTGAGGCTGCCGGGAGGTGAGAAATCAGGGTGGGAGCCCCAGCGGCGAGCGAGGACCTCGATAGCAGCAAGGCAAAATCCACGGGTACATGGCAGGGGGCTGCGGCACGGGGTGGCTCCAAGCTGCCCCCGCGCCCTCCTCTTCCTCGGGGAGCTCCCAGCGGAGGCAGGGATGGAGACGGACGACGAGTCCTATCCCAGTCCAAGGGCCGTGCCGGGCTGCGGGGCCGTGGGGGGGCCAGAAATGCCATGCAGCCCGGGGTTGGGGGGAGAGGCTTTTGCCCCGGCAGGCGCCAAATGCTGAGGTTTAGGTTCGCGGTGTCTCTTGTCTTGGTTCATGCAGAGGAAAGGGGAGCCCGGCGGGTGGGGACGGTGGTGGGGTGCTTGCGGGCGCCGGCGGGGCCGTTGGGTGTGTGCGGTGAGAAGCGAGGGGTTGTTCCAGCGGGAACCAAGCAGCAGAGCCAACAGCCAAAGTCCCGTCGGGGGGAGTCGGAGGGGTCTCCCCGGGCACTCACTCAGTCAGTGACAAACCTGACACGGGCCGGGCCGCGCTTCAGCTGCAAAACACCGAGGGACAGAGCAGGATTTTGCTTCGGCCACCCCTTTTAGCCGCGCATCCCGCTCCCACCACCCTCTCCTGGCCATCCCACACCCCGTGGGGCAAAATCCCACTTATTTGCCCCAAAGGTGCCCTGAGGACCCCATGCCCACCCTGCCCCGTGCCCGGAGCCTCACAGGCTTACTGCGGTAGGACGGAAGGCGCGCCGGATCTGTGGAAGTGGACGATTTGCCATTTGCCGTCGCGGCGGTGCCAGATGCGGGTCTCCTCGGACTGGGCCGTGCGGGGGATGCCCCCCGCGTCCACGTACTGCGTGATGCGGATGTAGGCGATGCAGGCCGACTCGTCCCCCATCAGGTGGATGTGGGGGTTCAGGATCGTCGTGTGCACGGGTTTGCTGTTCCGGGACCACACTGGAAAGGGGACAAGGAGAAGGGGGGCTTTGGGTGGCTCCTCGATTTGGGAAGGGGAGATCCTGGGGTTAGGCTGAGTAAATGGTGGGCTCAGGATGGGTTCCCCTAAAGAGCCTCGAACCAAACAGCCCCTCGGCACATCAGCATGGCCCTAGCAGGCTTGATTCACCTCCTGCTGGGATCTCCCAGCTCAAGGGTGCTCCCAAAGCCACCCATACCCTCCTTTCCCCAGCAAGCTGCTGGAGGTGAAGGCGCAGACGGGCCCTGGGAGGTGGGAAGGGTCCCTCGGGGGGTGGGAGGTGGGAAAGGGGCTGCTTACGGTTTTCAAAGTAGAATCGGTGGAAATCCAGGCCTTCCACGAGGTTCCCCAGAGCCTCAGGCTCGAAGGCAGTCATCCCAGGGTCACACATCTTCCTGGAGAGGAGGAAAGGGAGAGGAGAGGTTATCGCGCTGCTCCTAGCACAGCAGCCTTTCTTGGTCCTCAGGCAGAAGCCAGACCTGGTCCTGGCCCTGCAGGAAGCCCCCCACCCTCATCTCCAGCCCTCCAACTTCACCAGGACCCCAGTGAGGTGAGCCGAATCCTCCCTCGGTCACCTCCTCCCGTTAAACCTCCCAAGGTGCTGCCCCCTTCTTTGTAAGTGGCGAGAGAAAAACAGCAGGGAAAAACCAATTCCCTCTGCTCTGTATCAACATATCCCCGCTGCCGTCCTCTGGGGCAGCGATGAGGACCTGCACTCGCTCAGAAACAGCTAATTAAATCGGCCCTGGACGCAGAAGAAACATCTCGTGAGGAGCAGCAGCTCTGCGAGCAGAAAGCAGGGCTGCTTCCAAGCTGCCTGGGGCAGTCCGGGCGTAATGGACACGGCGGATGTGATGTTCCTTCTGCCTCCATAAATCACATTTACAGTTACTCATCTTTCTGCAAAAGCAGAAAACGGGCTCATCCGTGCTAACCGGAGCAGAGCTGCGGTCACAGCGGTGTGGCAAGGTTTGGGAACTGAAGTCCCCTGCGTCTCCTGGGTGCTCTCCGTGCCCTAATACCACGTCAGCCCGGTCACCCTGCTCACGGCAGTGGTTGAACCACGAGGTTTGTGCTGTTGTGGGGGGCACAAGCCCCTCAGCACCCGCTCCAGGACGCTGAGCCCAGCCCAGAACCAACACACTCACGTGTAGGACTCAAAGTCGCCGTTGCTTATTGCTTCGATCAGCTGCTCTGTCACCTTAATGATTTCTTGCTTCCTCACTGTCGGCGTAAAGGAAAATAAAAAGGGGAGAAAAGCCACAACACCCATGTTACATTATCCGTCAGAGATTTTTGCCCCCTATGTGGCTGACCCAGCTCCCAGCCCCTGCACCCTGCACCCCAGGATGGGATGCGCAACCCTGGGCTTATTCTCTGTTGAATCAGTGCCATACCTGATTTAATTTAATTTAATTTAATTATTTTTTTAACTGTGGCTAATGAAAGGACGTGCCAAGAGTCACTCCTAAAGGAGAGGGACCCCGTCCATGTCCATCGCCCCTCGCGGTGCCACTCTCGCCCTGCCCCGTGTCCCGTTAGTGCCAGGCCCAAGCCCGCCTTGCTTTGTGCTGGGATCACTTTGTCGAGCGACTTTGCAAATTAGCACCGATAAATTATTCCCTGGGTTATTCTTAGAAAGCTGGCTCGGGCAGGCAGGCGACAGGGATTTCCCTGGAGGCTTTTCCCCAAGGGCTGTTGGCCTGGGAGCAGCCCGGGAGCCCAGCGGGAGCGCAGGAGGTCCCGTGGGGACCAGCCGTGCCAGGCATTTCCATGACATTTCAGGGAGCTTCCACATTTTTGGGAGCCCTCTCTGCTCTCCAGCACTGTCCTGATCACTCCTTGCAGTCAGATAAACCAACTGTGCTGGCATTTCACTCTGAAGGAGAGGAGAAAGCCACTTCTGGATGGCCCTGGGGTTCCCTCCGGCACAGGGCTAACGACCCCGGGGTGCCCCTACCCGCCTCCCTCGTGCCCCTGCCGGTACCTTTGGTGTCTTCATCCTCGATGGTGGTGTTGGTGCTCTCCGACGATTCCTGAGCAAAGAACAGAGAGGAGACGGGGGCACGGTGAGCCCGGTCTTCACCCGGCACGAGGAGGAGCTCGTGTGTCCGACAGCCCCCCGAGTCCGACCCCACAGCGCCCGGCTGTGCGCACGGCCGGCGCCCCAGGGCAGCGCCAGCAGGTCCAACCCGGCCTCAACCTCAGCTCTATCGCACCGCAGAGCCCCCCCCCGGCCCCCTGCCCCCGGAGCCGAGGGCACGAGGGCTGGGCTGGGGAGGGTCTCGCAGGGACGGCGCTGCCTTTTCCTACCGGCGCCTGCGGGGACAGAGACGGGGCAGGTCCGGGGTGGCCTGGCGGGGTGCTAGGAGGGGCAGGGAGAGGGGGCTGTGCAGGGGTGGAAGACACCATGTTGACTGTACGAGAGAGAGAGATGTACGAATTCACAGCGAGGAGGAGCTGGGATGAGAAAGAGGGGGGACTGTGCAGGAGTGAGAGAGACCACAGTGACCGCAGAGTAGGGAGAGAAATGTACAATACAACAGAGTGCTTCCAAGACCCACATGGACCACCGAAGGCTGAGACACGGCTCTTTCCATCAACGGCTGAGCGAACTACACAGATTTGGGGTGTGTGTTTGGGGGGATGGGGGTCCTGACCCCCCGTCTCTCTCCAGGAGCCCCATCAAGGCGACTCTGCTAGCGGAGCTAGAGCAATGGCTCTGCGAGCTCTTCCCAGCAGAGCCTTGCTGATGTATTACCCAGAATACCCCGATGGAGGTTGGCAAGGTGTCCCATGACCATACAGTCCCCGCAGAGGCATGGAAGGTGTTTCTCCAAGGCTCCTTGGACCGATGCAGCCTGCAGACCTGAGTCAGGAGAACTGGGAGAAACGGCATGAGAACCCATCAGCAAGACACCCAGGGCTGGCTTCCCACCAGCTGGCGGCCAGCGAGTGCCTGCACCAACCCTGTGAATGGGGTTTGTGGGTGATACGGCTTTTGAGGATGTTCCCTCCAACCCCGCTGTCCCTTCTTCCCTACCCCGAGGTAACTTCCAAAAACGGGGGGAGGCTGGAACATGTGGAGAGGCCCAGCAATATCAGCATTGAGGAAGACGAAGGACACTCACCATTAACTGAACGCTGGAACTGGACTTTCTTTTCTGGAAAAACAAGGAGAAGAGATGGAACAGGAAGAGACACAGAGTGAGAAAGGCAGAGAGCAGCACGTGAGAGGCAGCAGCTCCTGAGCCGCCCTCCGTGGTCCTCCTGGAGGGGCGAGCGAGAGGCGCGGGGGCCAACCTGGTGCTCCTGGGGCTGTGCCGGCTCCCACCCCCCTTCCTCCTGGCACCCTGCCTCTCCTGGCCTGCCACTGCCCCCGTTTCTGCCCACCCCAAGGACCTGGTTAGGCTGAGAGGCTGCTAGGAGTAGGTGGCCGCCCTGGTGGCTTTGTGCCCAGGCCACCAGGCTGGTGGGAGCACCAAACGGGAGGCTCACCGACCGGGGCTGCCCTGGGCGCATCTGCCGGTGCCGCTGGCTGTTGTGCTCACCCAGCTGAGCTGCATTCCTTCAGACCTAGGGTTTCCTCCAGCACCGAGCCGGCTGCTCTAAAGCCAGCGTGGCTACGGCTGCGTGGCCCTGCAGGGCAGGGTGCCACACGGGGAGCTGTCCTGGTGCCTGGGATCGAGCCACGTCTCCTCCAAAGAGAAGCTCTTAACTCATGCACATTTATCTCCGTCCTCAACCTCTCCCACTAGACTTTGGGTAAGAGCCCATAGCCAGCTTTCTGCCTGCAGTCCCAAACCCCTCCTGGATGTTCCTTCCTGTCCGTGCTCCTCTCCCCTCTCCACAGGGCACCGAGGGCCGTGCGCCCTGGCCTCGTGCCCTTTCCTCTCCTCCAGCTCCCCGGGGACAAACCCCAACTGGCGACGGGAGGCACCGAGGCAGGAACTAGAAGCTGCGGTGCCAAATCTGGAGCATTTTGCCAGCACCTGTAAAAGGCATCGCTCCTGCCTGCCCCACCAGGGGAAGAGCAAGCCCTGCGCAAAAAAACAAGTGGGGACCCCTGAGGGCGTACGGCTGGGCTGGGGCGTAGGGGCTGCTCAGATCCACCCCCTTCACATCCTGAGGGGGCTCCCACCAGCATCACCACCGAGGCTCTCCCCTCCTTCGCTGGGCCCTGCGTAAATCCTCAGCCCTCCTTCTCCAGGGAAGCTGCTGTCCCACAGGGCAGGGTGAGCTGCCGAGCTTCGGGAGGGACCCCCGGGGGGGAGCCGGAGGAGCTGCAGGACGGGCTCCCAGCCTCTGCTAACCAAGGACATGACACGGGGCAGTAAACTGCAGAAGTTTCAGACGCGACAGAATGCAACACAAAGCAGCGACCGCGCCGGGTCGGGACATACAGTAACAGGATGCGACACGGGGCAGTGAGCTCATTAATTTAGGACGGGACAGGATGCGACATGGGGCAGTGATTCCATTAGTTTACAATGTGACGAGATGGGACACTACACAGGGCAGTGAAGGTATCGGAGCTGCTGGGACCAGCAGACCTCCCGGAGACCCCCGAGCAGGGGTGGGAGAGGAATTTCTGGTCCCGTGAATGGTTTCTGTAAGGGGAACCTCCCCGGGAGGGTGCTTGGAGGCAGGGAGGTGCCTGCTCCCTCGGGGAAGGCCAGCACAGGAGGTTTCTCCGGGTGGGGACAACTCTTCCCACATCGAACCATGCGTCATGCTGACCCCAGCCCTGCTCTCCACGCAGGCAGCACCCTTCCCCTTCCCTCCCCAGCTGCCCACCCTCCCACGCACGTTTCCAGGCTCCTGCCCGGCTTTCCCAGCGAGGTGGAAAGGAACAAACAGCACCCGGCGATGCCCTGGCATCCTCCAGGTGCCCACAGTGGCCACCAGAGCCTCTCCAGCAGCAGCCAGCCCCCCTTGGCCCTCTGTTTTTCCCCCCCATGAGGGGGTTACGCTGCATGTCCCCCCCAGGCTGAGCAGGAGGAGGTGGGGATGGTAATGCTGGAGGTGCCCAACACCACAGCTTGTGGGGAATGAGCCTTGCTCGGCTTTGTCTTCTCCTCCTCCACGCTCTGCAGAGCCTCTCCAGCCGCCAATGCTGAAAAAAGCAGCTGGTGGTTGCTGTCCCCTGTGCTCCAGCAGCTCGCACCAAGCCACCTCTGCCCGGGGGATCCCTGCCCCAGTGGTGCAGAGCAGCAGAGGAAGGCTGGCAGGGCTGGCAGCTGGCTTCTGGTGGCTCCCCTGGGGGCTGTCCCCTCTGTGCCAGCGCCGCAGTGCCAGACCCGCAGTGCTGTCCTGGAAGGCACGCGGCACCCCGACACCGCGGCCCAAGGCAACGTCCCCTGGGAGCAATGCAGCCCAGCAGCTTCATGTTGCAGCACAAGGCTGCAGGGCCACAACGGGGGGTGTGTGCATGGAGCTGAACCCTGGTCTGGAGGGTTTTCTGTGGTCCCAGACCTTGCGGGTTTGACTTTTGGACAAAGGAAGGAAGAAACCAGCCGAGGGCTCTGCCCTTCCCAAACCCTGCACCCCTCACAATCCAACAGCAGGGTCCTGACAAAAGGGATGGAGGAAAAAAAAAAAAAACAGGCTGTGCTGCAGTCAGGGTCCTGAAGCTGTGCCTCCCACCTTGCATCCCTGCCCTGGGCTGTGGGGATGTGAACACACAAGTTCTTTGCTGTTTGTGTCCGTGGAGGCACAGGTAAGGAGAGGAGGACCTCCGCGTGGGCCGTGCCTCCCGCAGAAGGGTGGCAGCTCGCTAATCCCAGCTCTCCTTGCTGCCAGCAGGATTCCCCTGCCTCCAGGAGCCACCTGGTCCTGGAGAGGAGCTGTGGCAACCCGAGGGCTCTGCAGCCCTCCGAGCACCGGCTGCTTTCCAGCGCATCGCCGAGCTGGAGCGCTCCTGTGCTCTGTCTGCAGTGGGCACAGGGGGCTGGGAGCAGCACCGGGAGGGTTAAACACACCCGTGTGCCACCTGGGGACAGGACAGAGCTGGGGGACAGCCTGGCCCAGCCCCACCACCTCCAGCAGCAGGACCACAATGGGATGGGGGAGATGTGGCCACCACCGCATGGCCTGAAGCCACAGCCTGAAGCCACTCTCCTGCTGCTGGCTGCAGCTCCAGCCCCTTCCCTTGCTGCACTGCAAAGCCTCCACGCTGCTCCGCTGGCCCGGGGACACGCTGGTGGCCCGGGGACACGCGGGGACAGCTGTGCCAACAGCCACCCTTCAAAGCGCACGGTGCCACGGGGACCCCACCGCCGGCACGGGAGCGCAGGGGCGGGCAGGAGGGGGCTTACCTTCACGCCGTCATTCTTCTTGTTGCCACCGCTCTTGCCTCCTGGAGAGAGGAGGAAGGAGGTCAGGAGAGCCAGGCAGGGCACCAGGACCAGGAGGCCGAGGATCAGCAGCATGGTGCCGGGCGGCAGAGCCCCGCGGGTCTCCTCCTCTCTCCAGCCGCCTCCGGCACGGCCACAGGAGCTCAGGGGTGACCCCACCGGCACCGTCCAGTCCTTCTGGGGTGCCTCTCCACCAGGGACATGACCGTCCCCGAACGTCACGCCGAGTCCGTGGGGTGCCTCGCACGGGGAGCCCGCGGGCGGGCTGCGCCCCGGGGTGCTGGCGGCGCGGCGCTGGAATGGGCCGCCCGCCTGCCGCCCTCTAATTTTAGCCCCATGCTGCCGGGATCATGTGCTGCCGGCCTGCCGGCCCGACAGCTGCAGCCCACATTTTGACAATGATGAAAAGCAGACGCCTTCCCCGCTGCCCACCTCCGGCTGCCGGCCGTGCCCTGGCCCCCACCCCCGGGGCTGTGCCGGGCACCCCGAGGCACCCACGGGTGGGAGCAGCCCCACAGCCGGGTGCTGTCACCCAGCTGGGGTGGGTGGTGGGGACAGGCAGCCCCCGGCTGTGCGGGATGGCAGGGTTTGGAGGGAAGTTTTTGAATTTCCTGCCCTTTGATGCTTTGCGCCGCCGGTAACCGGATCCCCCCCAGCTGCCGGACTCCTCCGGCCCCGCACACGCTGCCCACAAGTGCTAAATCTGTCAGCACGATCCCCCCGCGACAAATGCGGATGCCAGCCCCTTCCAGGGACCTCTCCATCTCCCCCCGGGGAGCCCCCATCTCCCCCTGCCCACCCCGACACCCAGCTCCTGGGCACCTCAGCCAAGCTCCCCCAAAAGCTGATGCCAAGCCCACCCCGCTGGCATGCCGTGCTGTGCCAAGGCCTCTCCTGGTGCACAGGCTGGGCCACCACTCTCTGTCCCTGTCCCTGTGTCTCCGTGCAGCCTGGGGGATGTGGGATGCAGGGAGAGTGGCTGTCCCTGTGGGATCTGTGCCCTCCTGCCTCAGGAGGGCAAAGCAGGAGGGACAGGAGGGACCCTGCTGCTGCAATGGCACCTGGAGACGTGTCGAGCGCTTGCCCGGTGCAGAGGACGCTGTCTCTGAGGCTCTCTCCCTGCACCACAAACATCTCCAGGAGGGCACAAAAGCAGCTGCCTCCATCCCTTGCCACCCCCAGCACCCACATCACCGACAGGGCACAAGTAATTTGAGTGGGCACACACCAACCCCAGATCCTAAACCTCTGGGGAGCCTCAGACTGGAGACCTTACCCTCTGCCACCCCAGCAGCCCACCCCGTAGGGGCTGGGTGACCTGGCCCTGGCCTTACAACCTCCCCCCACCCCACAGAGCACCCGGCTGCACCCACAGCCCCACTGAGAGCCGGGGGCGAAGCCACCTCCCCATGGCCCCCACGAGCCTGCCCTGGGTGCTGGCACAGGGCGAGGAGAGGAGCCCGGAGACGGCACCTACCGGAGAAGTTCCTGGTGGCCAGCATGGTGGTGAGGATGGCTCCCTGAAACACACGGAAGCAGAAGGGAAGGGGGTGCAGGGCCCTGAACACCAGGGTCCCCATGCCCCCCAGCCCCAGCGTGTCACCTGTCCCCCTGCTAATATTCTCCTCCTGCCACCAGAAGCAGCCCTCGGTACCCAGCTCCTTATCCCCAACATTGGGTTGCGTTCTCCAAAACCTCCTTCCATCGAAGATTAAAGGGGTATTAAATAACCCGGGGCACATTTTGGACCTCATTCTGCCCTGCTCTCAGCCCAGGCTCCATCGGCCAGGGCTGGCAGCTGGCGGCGAGGGGAGCCAGCAGCACCAGAGAGGGATTTAATTGCACTGAGAGCAGTGGGGCAGGGGCTTCTCAAGGAAGCCGTGCAAAGAAAACATCCCGAAAAACTCCCCCCTTCTCCAGCTGACTCGACTAACTAGTTGCTCAGCGGGTAATGAGATTACTTAGGACTAATTGCCTACAGTAATGGATTACTATTTGGGAGTGTACGCCTGAACTAATTCGATTACCTGTCTAGCTGGAAAGTAATAATAGTTTATAGCCGGGTTCTTTCCCTGATAATCACGTTAGTAGCCTGCAGCCGCCCTGCTCTGTGCCACGCTGCGCTCAGGCTGGGACACTGGCAGGTCTGGTACAGATCCATGCTGGGAAGGGGTCGTGGCACTGGTCTGGAGGGGAGATTTGCTTTTCCAGAGCCTCCTGAAGCCCCTTGGTGGGGGACCCGGCTGGGTGGGGAGATGGAGATCCCAAAGGTGTAAGCCTGTGGGGCTGTGAGCCAGGGGGTTTTGCCTCAAATCTGGGAGAGTTTTCTCCTTGGCTGCAGCGTGGCTTTGCCACCAGGTATGGTGCTCTCACTACACCCCTGGGATCCCTGGCTTGCCAAAAAGAGGGACTTTTTGTGCTGTCACCAGCAGGAATGTCCTTGTCCTGGTGTCCAGCACAGCCTCACCCCATGGCTCAGCGCTTTGCTTCACCACAGCTTTCCTCTGAGCCCTGGGGAACCCCAGCCTGGTGCCACCACCCCACCCCACCTCCCGTCTCTCCTTCACAGCGGGATCCCCAAATCTCCATCAGCGCCGTGCTGCCGACCCACAGACCCCACCCTGCCCTTCCCCACTCGGTGAACACCCCCCGGGGACCCTCCCGTGCATTTGGCAGCCGACTCGGAGAGGAGAGAGCGTGAGTTACCTTTAGCTTCCTCCGGGCATTGAACTTCTTCAGGCAGTCCACGGTCTCCTGCCTGTGCATGCATGAGGCCACGGTGGCACGGTGCTGGGAGGAGAGAGAAGCTGCTTAGGGCAGGCACGGGGTGCAGGATCCCTCTGCAAACCCCGTGCCCCCCAAACCTTCAGCCCCTGGGGGTCAGTGCCACCCGGCTCACCGATATCCAGGGGTGCTTCAGAGCCTCCGCTGCCGTGATGCGCTTGGAGGGGTTTATGGTCAGCATCTTGTTGATGAGATCTTTTGCTTCAGGAGTGACTGTGTCCCATTCAGGGGAGGGGAACTGCCGAGCAAAGGGGCCAGGGTGAGTGGGGACAGCAGGAGGACAGAGGGGCAGGGAAGGGAGCAGCGAGACAAACGCACTCACATCGTATGCCCCAGCTTGATCTGCTGGTACAGGCGGTGCTGGTCTTCATCCCAGAAGGGCGGGTACCCCACCAGCAGGATGTACAGGATGACGCCTGCCCGGGGAGGAGATGTGGGGTCAGTGCTGTGCCAGACCGACAGCCTGCGGTGTCCCACGCTGCCCAGCCCGCTCCCCAAATTTCGGCCCCAGTCGGACTCACCGCAAGCCCACAGGTCCACGGCTTTGCCATAGGGATCCTTCCGGAGCACCTCGGGGGAGAGGTATCCCGGGGTGCCAGCGAAACCTGGGGCAGACAGCTTGTGACATGCCTTGCAGCCAGCCAGCCTCCCCGTACAAACACATCCAGAGCCACGAGCACAGCCCACAGCATCCCGGTGGCACGGGTACCCCCCTCCAAAAACACCCCCAGCTCCCGGGAGCAGAGCAAGCAGCAAGAGCACCATCACCCCAGGACGGTGCACAAGCTCGGGGCGCTCTGATGTGCCCCCCAGCTCTTGGAAGAGGCTTTCCTCACCCCTGCCATGGGGCTGTCTGCCTCGGCAGGACACCCGGTGACGCACCGAGCTCCCACCGAGCTGTGTGCGCATGGGCACAGGGCTGCTCCCAGGGGCACAGCAGGAGCCATCGAACCCTTCCCAGGCTGCTGGGCTCTCCCTCACCACCCCCCGGGGATGCTCGCCCCTCCTGGGGCAGCCTCGGTGGTCCCACCGACCGAACACGAGGGAGGGCTGGGGGGAAACCCGCAGCCGGCGCTCACCGAACCAGGCTTGCTGGTCCCCCTCCACCTCGATGGCGAGGCCGAAGTCAGCCAGCTTGACGGCGGCTCCCTTCAGCTTGGAGGCCAGCAGCAGGTTCTCGGGCTGCAGGAGGAGGGGAAGGTTGCAGAGGAGCAGAAGGGACCCGGGGGCTCTGCTGTGCCGGGTGGGGGATCCCAAAGCAGCTCCCAGCACTTTGGGGAGCTGTGTCCCATCGAGCACCCTCCTTAGAGGGCCACGGACTACCAGGACCTCTCTGCCCCCTCTCCTTTGTGGTGTTTCACCCCAGAGCTGCTGTTTGCTCTGCAGCTTTCCATCAGCTCTTGGGGCCCCCACGCCCTCCCACGGGCCCTTCCCCTGCGGCTCGTACCTTCAGGTCCCGATGGACCACCCCCATCTGGTGGCAGTGCAGGACAGCCTCCAGGATCTGCTGGATGCAGTGGCTGCAGAAGAGAGAGGAGAAAGCTCACGTAGGTGTCTGGAGAGGCAGCTTTGCCTTAGCTGCACCCGCAGGGCTGCATTTCCTCCCCTCACCCTTCTCCATCATCACTTCAGTGCCCATCTCCACACGCTGGTGGTCACCCAGGTGCCGGTGGTGACCCAGCCAGGGGCTGCTGGACACCCAAGCAGGGTGCTGGGATGATGTGTGCACCCATGGGCTCCCCAGAAGTGACACCAGGGAGCTGGGAGACCAGCGGGGAGGACACCACACGTGCCCAAGGTTCGGTCTCCAGACAGGGGCAGAGCAGCCGATGCGCACTTCAGCCCCATTTCCCCGGCCCCATCTGAGGCTGGTGGCTCGTGCTGTGTCTGTTCGCTTTGTGTCCAGGCCATTAAACCCTGGCTCGGCTGCGTGCGTGAGAAAGGAAGGGGAAAAGGATGAGGCAATGAGCACTTCTGTTCCCAACCAGCTGTCTGCGAGGCAGAAGGCCTTCATTTACATGTATTTTATTTTATTTGGATGACGCTAATCAGAGGATGGCTTGTAAGCGGATTCAGCGCAGGCTGCCCATTTAATAAGATCACTTTCTGCCTAGAAATGGGGAATATTTCCATGCAGCCAGGAGCAGCACGGAGCTTACCACCACCCTGGCCATTTGTATGGACGATGCCCCACGCACCGGGCACAGCCGAGGCTGCACCAGGAGCTCTCCCAGGCCGTGTGGGTGACCACAGCCCGACTGAAACCCCTCGAGGAGAGTCCTGGCCCCCTCGCCGAGCTGAGAGGTTCCTGGTTCCCGTTCCCTGCAGGAGCACTGTGTGTCTGGGAGCCCCGACTGCTCCTCCTTGCGCTTTCATGCGGCGAATGCCAGAGCACCGCTTGCAGATGGCTCTGGTGCAGCTGCAGGGAGGAGGATGCCAGCCCCAGGCTGGGTGCAGGCACCAGCCCTGCGGTAACACACACAGCTCTTGGCGCAGGAGCTGAGTTAAAACCAGCTTTTTTTTTTGCTTTTTTTTTTTTTTGGCTCTCCACATCTGGTTTATCAGCAAGCTCTGCAGGGCGGCTGTGGAACAGCTCTCAGCACAGAGGGAGCTCGTCCTGCAGCAAGCAGGGTGCGTAACGCCCTGGGAAGGGGCAGCGATGGGGAAAGGGGACCCCTCCTGTCCCCTCCCTGCCCAACATGTCCTTGCTCACCTGGCATCCGCTTCGCTGTAGTACTCCCTGGCCACGATGTCCTCAAACAGCTCCCCACCGGTGACCCTGCGGGAGGACAGGGGGGTCACAGCGGGCACGCAGGGGGGCTGGGTTGATTTACAGCACGCTCAGCCCTGGAAAACCCTCCCCAAAGTGCTGCTGTCCATGCACAGGGGGAGAGGGACAGGGGGAATGTCATGGCATGGATTGGGATAGGATAGGATAGGATAGGATAGGATAGGATAGGATAGGATAGGATAGGATAGGATAGGATAGGATAGGATAGGATAGGATAGGATAGGATAGGATAGGATAGGATAGGGGACCCCAAACCTCCCCGTTCCTACGGCCCCCCAGAAAGCCGTGAGCGAGCTGGTGTCAGCAGAGCTCCTCGGGGGGAGCCCGCAGCGGCTGTGGGGTCAGGAGCTGCATTCAGCCAGCACTCACAGGTCGAATATCAGGTAGTGGTGGCCCTCTTCGGAGATGCTGTCGTGGAGCCTCACTGCAGGCAGAGACAGGGGGGTTACGGCGCGCCCGGCTCCCGCCCGCGCTCACCCCCCAGGACCCAGCAGGGAAGGGCAGAGCAGGGATGCTCTTCCTCCCCCTCCTCTTCTTCTCCTTGCTGCTAGCTGGGGGGGCTCCCACTCGGCCAAGTGCCCCCGTGGTGCAAGGCTCAAAGGTCACGTCCAAATCGGGGACAGCGGGGACCTTGGCCCAGCTCCCGGGCAGGCTGCGGCCACATGCACCAGGGCTGAGGATTAGGAGAGGTGCCAGGCTGCCAAGCCCTGGCATTAACCTCACTTTTTATTTATTTTTCCCCTTCTGGTCACGACCTTCCTCAGTCTCCTTGGCGGGCTGTCTCTGGGGATGCCCAGGGACCACGCTCTGCCCCGTCCCCCTGCCTGGCTCCTCGCCCTGCTCCGCGGGGCGCCGGGTGCGAGCGCATCCCCTTGGGCTGAATTCTGGTAATTTAGGCTGAGCTCCCTGCTCCCGGCTTCGCAGGCAGACACGCAGCGAGGGGAAAGGTGCAGAAATAAGTAGGACAGGCAGACAGACGGGTGAGTAGATCAGGCTGGTGTCCTCTGCCCCCACCACACCCCGCTTTGCCCTGGGGCCACCTCCTCACCGCTCCCCGATCCCGCTGTCACCACCTCTGGGGTCTGTATTGGGAAACCAGGGAGGAAAACGAGATGCTCAGGGGAACGCTGCTGCAGGAGGGTTTGCTCCCAGCCTGGTTTACCCCAGCTAGGTCCCTCCTGTGGCACTGAGCGCTGCTCATCCCGTTCACGGCTCATTCTTCCCTACGGCCCCCGCAGACGTTCGCTGCCCTGTGCTCCGCCACCTGTGTTTGCTCAGCATCTCTCCCTGACACACAATCCCAGCTCCTCTGCCTTCCTGCGTTGAAACAAACACGTTTCCGCCCGTTTCATCTCATCTGAGAGGGATTTGGGGGTATTGTGCCTGGGATCCAAGAAGGTTCAGAGGGGGATTAGGCGCCTTCGGTGCGGATAGGGCGCGAGCAACCACGAGCAGATGGGCCGGATACATCCCCTGCCTGGGGAAGTCCCAGAGCCCGTGGCTGCCAGGAGCCGAGGGGGTATAACGAGGAGCAGCCGCCCTAAAAATAGCCTGGTCCTACAAGCATCTGTTGCTGACCATAGTCAGAAAGAGCACAGCAGCAGCGCCGTGGTGGCCAAATAGCTCCGCGTTCGGTGCCAAGAGCCGGGCTTGGGGCACAGCTTGGTACTGACTCAGACGGGGATGGGTACCCAGAGCTCCAGGAGTGGGCATAGCCAAAATTTGCCCCTCCAGCAAGCTTTCCCTCCAGGTAAAAGCACCTGGGGAAGCTGCCGCTGTCCCTGACCGAGCCCCATGGATGTGCTGTGGGGTTGTGGGCACCCTGTGCGCAGTCTCCCCATGCAGCCCCTCCTGCAGGATCCCTGCACCCCCAGCTGCCCAGCACAGCGTTCCCAGGGCAGATGAGGGATGGAAATGTGCTGCAGGAAACCCGAAGAGCCAGCACAGCCCCTCGGTGCCTGGGGTCTTCTCCTTTGGGGACCACTGAGCTCCAGTTTTCCCCAGCAGCACTGGCTCCTCTCCCTTTTGCCAGCACTGCTCTGCGCTGCTCAGCTCGCTCCTGCTCCCAGCTGCAAAGGCTGCAGAGCTCCCTTCCTACCCCCAGATGCCTTCCCAAAAGCTCCAGCAGCCCACCGAGGTTTGCACCTCCCGGGTTGCTGCAGGAGGAGAGGGGCTTCATCCCCAAAGGGGCCCCCAAACCAGCCCTGGGCGCCGGCAGCTTGCATCAGCATCGCTGTCAAGGCTGGGCTTTGGGAATTTTGCTGCATTTTTTTCCCCTCCCCTCTCTCTCTCTCTCTCTCTCTCTCTCCTTCTGGCCTATTTTTGTCTTTTGCAGGGGCTCGGGAGTTTTCCTGAAACAGCTTTTCCGAAGGAGGCTACTCTCAGATGGACGGCCGGTGGGAAAGTCTTCGCTTCCCCCCCGCCATCGCTCCTCCCACGCCCCGCTCTGCTGCTGCTGCTCGGAGCTGGAGCCGCTTTTTGGAGCAGGCAGAGGAACACAGCATCCGAGGGGTAAAAATAGCCCCCCTGCAGCCCCGCTCCCCCCGGAGGGACGTGCGGCCAACTGGGTTAGTTGGGACCTACTTAAATCCCCCTGCGCTCGCCGGGGGCCTCTCTTTGCCTGACCCCGTTTGGAGAAGGCAGCTGGGGAGGAAGAGGAGGAAGAGGAGGGATGGGTTTGGCACCCAGACCCATGTCCCAGTGCCCCCCCTGTGCCTGGGGTGCGTTGGCAGGGAGGGGAGCAGGGTGGGCAGCAGTGCTGGGTGCCTGCGGCACGCGCTTACCGATGTTGGGGTGCTTCAGGAGGCGGCAGATCCGAGCCTCTCGTTCCAGCTTCTGGTGATCTGAAAGAAGCAGCGGCCCCGAATTAGCGGCCGGGGAAGGGAACGAGCTGCTGCCAGGTCTCGCCGGTGCTCTCGGTGGAGCTGCCAGCATAGGAAAAGTGTAGGGGGATGGAGCAGCTGGCGAGGAGCGAACCTGCCTCTTCTTTTGGTTTTGTTCTGCCTTGTTTCAAAGGGATAACGGCTGCAGGGAGGTGTTCTGCACCAGGACCTGACAGACGTTGTCCCAGCATGGGCGCAGCACCCAGCCAAGCCCTGGGCACTGCTGCTGCAGGCGTCCTGGGCTTCTTCTCCTCGCCCTCTTCTCCCCATCGCCAATCCCTTTGCTGAACAAGCCCCGAGCTCCCCGCAGAGCTCTTGGAGGTGCCTGGGCGGTCGCTGCCCGCAGCCCTGCTGGGTTTGCTCGCAGTTCAGCCGAGCACAGACAATCAGCACGGACCCTTCTGGCTCCCAAATCTAATAACCAAACCCCTGAAGATGGAGCAAAATTCAAGTGGCAACTGGGGCCATCAGCCCCACGAATTCCCCACGCTCCCCACACCCCGCGCCGCTCTCCCTGCCCCGCGCTGCCTCCTCCCCGCAGCTCCGTCTGAAGGCAGTTGGTGATAGCAGGAACCCAGCAGCCAGGAGAGGCAGGGATATAATTAGGGCTGCTCGTCTCTCGGCACTCTTGCTGCTACCTTGCAAGTTCACACCCCGCAGTCTCGCTCTGCATCGAAGCAAATCTGCAGCCGCCGAGACGCGCGGGGCTGCAGCCTTCCCCAGGGCGCCCCACATCCAGCCCGTCTGCCTTGGCGTGCCTGGGCTGTGGGGACATTTCTCCCTTCAAAAACCCTTTTTGGGGTTGTGTTTTCCCCCGCTGGAGGCGATCTCCTCATGAGGAGGTCCAGCATTGCTGCTGCTGTTTGGTAAAAGCAGATTTGTTTGCTCTAAGAGGCCGGAGATCACCGGATCTCTGCACAGCCGGGGGCTCTGGGGATATTTCCAAAAGGAGCTGCTGCTCGGCCAGCAGAGCGAGGTCTCTCCAGGTGACAGAGGGACACGGAGCCATTGCAGGGCACGGCACAAACCCGAGGAGAAGATGGAGAAGGGCAGACTGCAGGGGACAGTCCACCTCCCAAGGGGGGGTGCCCACCGCGCAACGCCGGGCGTCAGCGCCGCGCTGCTTTGGCAAGCGCTGGCTCAATTTGAGGTCAGCAAGCAGCTTGTCACCATTTTCTGTGTTTCAGTTCTGCCTTCAGAGGTGAGCAGTGGCGTCAGGGAGAGAAGCAGAGGCAGGGAGTTAATTAAAGCCTCCCGGCAGGGCGCTCACTCTTCCAGCACCCATCCTGCGCTCCCCGGTGCACCCGGCGAGGAGGAGCCGCGGTGGGGACGTGGCAGGGGCCATCTGGTCCCCTCCGACCTCACTGCCCAGCTCCTCTGCCAGATATTTGCAGCACAGGAGCTCCTGCACGGGGGCGAGGGATGTCTGGAGTGTTTGTTTGCAGGATCAGCTCAGCCTGGCCCCGAGGAGCAGCCAGCACGGACCTGACAGAGCCTTGTCCCGGAGCCAGCGCTCTCCAGCACACCCAAAATTACCCCGCAGAGGGGGTCGTGCCCATCTCCAGACTGAAATGAAGCCAGGTCCCCACCGAAGGACCCATTTCATTTATGTGTGTACATCTATATGGGATGGGACCCTCTCCAGGAGGTGATGCTCCCAAAATTCCTGCTGCCCAACGCCGGGGCTGTCAGCAGATCCTTGCTGCCAGGCTGTAACCACGCTTTGCTGCGACATGGTGCGTGGGGTGCTGGGGCTGTTACCGCAGGGAAATGGGGTCCTGAGCCCCGCAGGAGTCCCCAGGGACCCTGGCCCAGCCCCGAGATGTTCGTGCCTTTGGTTCCCATCCATCCGAGGAGCTCAGTATGCACTGCAGTGGGGATGGGGTGGGATGAGGAGGTTCCCACCGTGGTGTAAAGGACACAAACTCCCCACTGCAAGCCCTGCCGACCCCCAAAACACCGCCAGCACCTACCTCGGGCAGACAGCTTCTTGGTGTTGATGATTTTGGCCGCATACTCTTGTCCTGCCAACACCTTCACGCATCTCCGGACGATGGAGAAAGCGCCCCTGGGGAGACAGAAGGGAGGTGAAGGGCTCCGTGGGGGCAAGGACGGGGCTTGGCCCTAATGTGCTGCGGGGTGAGGGTAGCGATGGGATGGGGATGGGGACGGGAAGGAGCTTTTGAGAGGGGGGAAAACACGGTGGGTGTGCCATCAGCTCCCAGGCACCACTGTCCTTGGGGACGTGGGGACAGGCATATATGGATGTGGGGATGAACGCAGGGTTTGCCCCTTGGCACCATCCTGGCAGAGCGCTGGCACCGTGCACCTTTCCTCCCTCCAAGCTCTGCCTTGTCCATCACCTGGGAGAGAGCAGGCCACGATTTACCAGGAGCTCTGGCTCCCCAGGGACACCGGGAATGGATGCAGCTGTGGCACCGCGCTCAGCCACTTCGCCCTGTGTGCGTGCATCTCTCTGCGTGCTTTAGACCTCGCAAACACAGCAGCAGTTTGCAGAAGCGGGCACAAGCACTCGCTGTGGCTGCAGGCGACCGATTTAAGGTCCCCGTGGCCGCAAACCCACCGCAGCAGCAGCAGGACCATCCCCGCTGGCTGCGGGTGCCGATGCCGGGGCTGCGGCGGCGCGCGCGCACGCACCCGCAGAGCCCCGCTGAGCACAACCTTTGTACCAGGTTCTCTTTCCTGCCAAACCCCTCCGATCGCTCAAATAACAACTATCAAAAGCAACGCCACCTCCCGCCCCACCTGCCCCCGCTCCCGCTGCACGGCGAGGAATAAAAGGCCGCGCTCGCGAGCGCGCTGCCAAGCAGCGGTGGATAATTGATTTTCCCGGTGGGGGCGGATGGAGACGGGCAATTTGGGGCTGAGTGTGATCTTTAGCAGAATAGGCGAGCGGCGGGGTGCAGGGGATGGGGCTGGGCACGCGGGAGCCCCAGCGGAGCCGCCAGCCCACGCGCCCCGTGCGGCATCGCCCGCGGCACGTGCCAGGCAGGGGCTGGGGAGAAGAAAGAGGAGACGAGCCCGGCGCTTCCCGAGCTCACAGCCCTGCCATCTCATCCCGGCCACTGAAAGAGATGAGTTATTCACATTCCCACAGCCTGGGTGGGAATTAACTGGAAATCAGGGGGGAAATGCTGCTTGTCCAGCCTGGGGAGACCGGGGTTGCTGCTGGCGTGGGGCTGGACGCACGGTGCCACTCGCCCCACCAGGAGCTCTGTGTGCACCAGGTCTGGGGGATTCTTTCCTCCCCGTGCCCCCTCTTTGCTCTTTTTTTTCCCTAAGGGCACCCCGCTGCAGCGATGAGCACAGCAGGGAAACCCCAGGTGGTGAGGGGAGAGCTCACCACCCCCAGCCTGACCCAGCTCGGGGCTCTCAACCCAGCTGTAGGGTTTCACTGCGTGACCCAACGTGGGCCTGGAGGGACGTGGGTGTCCCCCCCACGGGGCAGAGGGAAGGACGGGGTTCCCACGGGGCACAGGAAAAGGTTTGTGCACCCCAGGCTGGCTGCTTGACCCCCCTGGGTGTCTCTCAGTGGCCGTGCCATGCCCACGCACACCACGCAGCCACCTCCTGCTGCTGGCTCCCAGCCCCGCAGCTGCTGCCAGGGTCCCCCAGGCCAGGAGTGACCCCCGGACCCTGTCCCCATGCCCCCCCTCGGGTCCCTGCAGCCCCCACAGCGGCTCTGCCACGGGGATGCTCCACTTCCCCCTTCTTCACACCTTCCCTGCCAGCACCGGGCTGCGCTGCTGCCGCCCTCCCTCTCTTCAACACCTCCTCCTCCTCCGAGGCATTTTATCTCCTTTCTAGAGAGAAGAGTGTGGGCTGGGGATTTTTTGTTCCTCCGTAGCTTTTTTTTTTTCTTTTTTTTCTTTTTTTTTTCTCCCTTTTTAATGAAAACCCTCTCCTGCAGCTCAGGGAGCCAAGGGGCTGATCGTACCGCTCAGGTAATTGTCGCCAGCCTCTCCCTGAACCTGCTCCGCTGCGGGGGCGGATTCGGAGGCGCCGGAGGAGCTGCACTTTCTGTTTGTCCTACTCCTGGTGGCCGTGGGCAGGATCCTCTCCTTGTCCCCCCCCCCCACGCTGCCCCCGCTCCTCGCCCTGTCCCTCGGCTCCTGCGAGCTGTGGGGGCAGGTTTGGGGGGAGCAGGGCAGCCCCTTGGTGGCTCAGCTTTGCCTGGGGATGCTGTGGGAGCAGGTTTTCCCCAGCAGGGACATGGGAACAGCTCCATGTCCCCTGCTTGGGACACCCCCTTGCCTGTGCATGCAGGACACTGCCCGTGGAGCCCCCTCCCCAGCTCTGCCCCCCACGAAGCCCCATCACCGTGCTGCTATCAGCTGTGTGGCATCATCCTAAAACCTGGCTTGTCTCGGTGCCAGGATGCTCGGGAGCCTGAGGAGGTGGCAAAGAAGCAGGTTGGGCGCAGCAGCCTGGCACCCAGAACCCTTCCAAGGCCTTTTTGGGGTAGAAAACACCCCTGAGAAATGCGGGAAGCTCAGGAAGGGTGGAGGTAGCACAGATAAAGGTTGGCAGCCAGCCGTGTGCTGGGGGTGCCCCCGCTGAGCTGGCGGGCAGCAGCTGCGGCAGCGGAGCGCGGCGTGCAGCGCCTCGTCCTGGTTTCCCTTGCCGAGCCCACGAAGCAGAAATTTCCCCATGGGAAACCACTGGGTTTTTGCAAGTGGAAACCATCGGGGTGGAAAATTCCCAACCAGCTCCGCAGCGCATTGACCAGCCCAGCCAGGGCCCGAGGTTGGGATGGTGTCTGGGTGCTACCCACAGCCCAGGGGGGATTCTCCGAGCTGCAGGAGCCACCGGGCTGAGCCGCTCAGCCCCTGCATCGCCTCCTGCAGCAGGGGAGGTCGGGTGGGCCAGGCTGCCCAGGGTGTGATGCTCACAGGGCCGGGGAGCCTTGTTGCTGCTGTCTTTTCTTGTTTATTGATGAGCGTGGAGCAATGCATCTGCCCAGGTGCACCGCTGCGGTGCTGCGGGTGCCCCTGGGGTCTGGGCTCCCACCGAGCTGTCTCAGTGCCTGCCTGGCAAAGCCTCGTGCCCTGAACTCCTCCAGCAGCTGTCCTGGTCCTTCCTCATCGTGCCCAGCCTGAAAGCTCCCCTCCACGGCCCCTGCACCCCTGCCTGCCCCGCCGGGCCCAGCAGCACCCCTGCAGGCACTGCTGACCCTGCTGCGCACCCCGCAGAGCCCAGAAAAGCTGAGAAACCTCTGGAAAATCAGGTCCCAAACCCAGCCGTGCCCAGCTCCTCGGGGTGTTCACATCCCCCTGCCTGCAGCACCGGCTGGAGCTGCCTCCCCAGCTGCTGCTCCCCACCAGCCCCCCAAGCAGAAGGGGATGTGCGTGCACACCAGCGCATCCCAGCACCAGGGGTCTGCCCGCCTCCGAGGAGCTGCACTTGTTTGCAGCAGCCACCTGCCCCCCCCCCCCCGCCTCATTTTGGCAGGAAACATGAGCTGCGTTCAGCCCGGCACGAAGTCCCCCCCTGTTCCAGCCTCTCGCTTTCTCCATCTTTGTCCTCTCCTTTCTCTCTCGCCCCCGTTCTGCACTGCCCACGCGCGCGCGGGTGCACATTTCGGCGCAGGCTGCCCTGCGGTGCGGGGCTGCGGGGCTGGAGCAAGTTTCCATGCCTACAGACGGACATAGCTGCACATCCACCACCCAGCACCCCGCCAGCAGGCTCGGGCACCCCGCTCCCGAGACAACCCCGCGGTGCACAGGGCTCTCTCTGAGCTGCTCCGAGGGCACGCAGCCCAGATTTCCACAGCAGCTCCAAAAAGAGGCACCGAAACCGAACCCGAGGCACACGCCTGTTGTTTGTGCTTCTTTTTTTTTTTGGATCCAGCCACGCAGCATCCTTCTGCCCAGCACTGAGGGCATGGACGGTGCTGGGACCAGCGCCCTGCTTCACTCTGGGGTGCTCAGTGCCCCCCAGGCAGGCGTTCCCCACACACGGATCCGTGCGGGCAGGCACCACGCGGTGCCACCCGCAGCCACCAAACTGAGCCCCTCCCGGCTGTGTTTCAACGTGGGGCACTCGCACACCCGGCTGGGACTGGGGATGGGGTGGGAGAATCCCAGCTCTGGCTGGGCTTTCTCCGGGGGCTGCCAGGCGGGCTGGGTCTCCTGCAGGAGTTGTCAAACCCCGGTGAATCCACGCAGAGAAATTCCCCAAAGGAATCGGAGGGGCGCCCGCCACTTGGGCTTCCCTCCCCGGCTGTCCCGTCCCTCCTCCTGGCTGGGGAAGTTGCTGGGGGAGCCGGCAGCCTCCTCTCTCCGGAGCTGCTTTTCCCTAAGAGGAGCAGCTGTCCCCTTCCTGAGCCTGAACCCAAAATGTGGCACGGGGAAAGCTGCACCCAGCACCCCAACTCGGGAAGGGACGGAGCTGGAAGGGCTGGGGCTGGGGGACCCCTTCCTAACCACGGTCCCCCCGCTGCTCCCTTTTCTCCGTGCCCATCATCCTGCCCTGGATCCATCCTTTCCCAGCCCTGCCGAGGCTCTGCCCCAGCCGGGGCGCATCCAAGCCCCGTCTCCAACTTACTTGCCCAGTTCCTCAAAGAGCTGGTACTCCTCGGTGAAGCGGTTGCAGGTGATGGTGGCCATCCCCGGGGGCTGGAGACTCTCCCTCCCGGTGCGGAGTTGGGGGCAAGCAGCTCTCCTCTCGCTCCCTCCCTCTCCGTGTGCTCCCGGGGCTCTCTCCTCGCCGAGGTAAATAAGGGAATATGTTTGATTGACAAGCCCGGAGATAATGATGAGGGCAATTTGTCTTCTCAGCCTCGCAAGCCTTCGTCAGCATCCCCGTCCCCATGGCGACCACCGCTGCCAGGAACGCCCTGCTCCCGTTGCCTGGGCAACTGCATCCCAAACCCCGCCACCCGCCATGGGGACCGCGGCCCCGATGGGGGACCCAGCCCCAGGGGCTGCCCCGGGGGTCCCCCCGAGCTCTGCGGGGATGCAAGGGGGGCAAATCCAAAACCGCCAACCCTCCAGGCAAATCGGAGGACGTGGCGGTGGCAGGAGAACTGGGGCAAAAATGGGTTTCCATGGAAACCTGGGTTTCCATGCTGCAGGAGGATGCCGTCGCCCCAGCAACTGCCCCCCCAACTAAAAAAAAAAAAAATAAGAAAATTAAAAAAAAAAAAAATCCAGGCCCTGCTGGTTGCCCTGCAGCAGCATCCCTAGGGGGCTGCGGGGAGGGGGGGGACGGGGTGGTGCAGAGCGGGGCGGGCGGCACGGATGGAGCAGAAGTGTGTCAGGAGAAGGCAGCGAAACCAAGGCAGGTCCCCAGGTCCCCAAACCGCCCCGCCAGCAGCAGGGTCCCCCGGGGGGGCCTGACCCCGATCGCCGGCACCTGGGGGTCACCCCCTGTGTGGGGAGAGCGGCTTGGGCTGAAACACACCACAAGGGGAGCCCTTGGTTTAAAAAAGGGGGAAAAAAATGAAAAAGGGCGATAAAAGTGGAGTAACGAGATCCGAGGCCTCCGGGGAGCACGCCTTGCTGCCGGCATCTCCACCTCCAGCCTTGCAGGTGCCCGGTTTCTGGCCCCTATTTGGGGTTTTACCCCATTTCTGGTCATTTTTGCAGGAGGAGAAGGGCCCCGGCAGCAGGGCTCTGGGTGGCCACGGAAGGCGTTGCCTTGGGCAGATGAGGCCGATGCAGCTCCCCTCCGGGGAACTGTAGGGTTAAAAGGAAAAGAAAAGGCTCTAACCAGACAAAAATAGGGAGAAATCTTTGAGAGGAGAGAGAGGAGGAGCGGGGAGAGGGAGAGAAGAAAGGAGGTGGAAGTGGAGGAGGACAGCAAGCGGCTGAGTGAGGAAGAGGAGGGGGAGGAGGAGAAAGGTCTAATGGCTTTTCCATTAATTGCACCATTACCCGCTCCCATCCCCACCCTCATGGCCCCACATCCAGTCTCGGTGCCAGGGGCCCCGTTCCCACATGGGGCCGGACATGGGGATGGGGACCGGGACCCCGAGGGCAGTGGACGGGGACAGGGAGCAGAGCTCACCCCGATGCCTTCACACCAGCGTGGGTGTGCTGTCCCTGCGGGGGGGTTGTCCCCAAGGGGAGGGATGGAAACTGATGCAGAAAGCAGCCCCCTGCGCCCCCCATCCCATTAAAGCCCCCCGTGGTGTGCAGGGTTTGTGGGGTTTGCGCAGCCCGGCACAGGCAGGGCTCTCCAGGAAGGGTTTCTTCCCTTGATGGCCTCCCCTCTGTTTGCTTTTTTTAATTTTTTTTCCTCTTTTTATCAGCGTTTTTCCCTCTTTGAGGAGAGGAGGAGCTGGGTGTTTCGGTGCCGAGCATGTTGAGCGTTGTGACCGAAATTCTCCCACCCGGGCCCCGCCGTGCGCCGAGCCCCATCCCTGGGCGCAGCACCAAGGCTCCGGGCTGGGAGCCAGCACGGGGGGTCCCTGGGCCCAGGGGAAGGGAGAAACCCCATCCCTGCCCCTCAAGACCCTTCTCAGACACCTCTCCTTGGCTGATATCTCCTCTCCCAGCCAGCTGGAGCCCCAAAACCCGCTCCTTGGTGGCCCTCCACACGCAGCCACCGGGCTGCTCTTCTGCTGCCATGCTGGGCTCTGGCCGCCTGATGGAGACCTTCATCCCCAGAGGCTCCTCTCCATCGCCGGGCTGCCTCTCCCGAAATGCCTCCCGCTCTCCCCCGGCTCTGCCTGCAGGCACCCAGCGTCTGCATCCTGCCACCAGGCTCCCCATCGCGGCCACCTGCCCAAGAGAGCAGGGTCTGGTTTGGGATTATGGCAAACCCCACACGTGTGGGATCAGCAGCAGCCCCACGGGGCTCATAAGGACCTGCAGCAGCCCCCCCTGCACCCCTAACAGCCCCCAGCAGCCTCTCACAGGCACAGCAAGAGGATTGCGTGCTGCAGAGATCCCAAAATTACTGGGACGGTTTCACACGCAAGCTGGGGTCTGGGGGATGCTCAGTTGCTGTCCTCTGGGAAGCTGAAAGTCTCGGTTATTTTTAGGAAGGGATTATAAATACCGCGGAAAGGAGAGCTGATTTACACTTAAGGTTGTGTTTGCAAACGTGCCCTGTCCCTGCGGGCTCCGGCACTCACACCAGTGGCAACACAGAAACTGCTTTTGGTGGGACGGGGGGGTCCCCAGGGCCACCTTTTCCCTGACACCAGGGTCTGGCGTGAGGTGCAGCCCTTTGCCCAGAGCACGCCCTCCCCAGCAAGCAGCGCCCGGGGTGCTGGCTCGCTCAGGTTGAAGGGATCTGGGGGGCTGGAGAGGCTCCCAGGTGCACCCATCCTGCCTGATCCATCCCATGCCCTCCCCGTTTCATCTCCAACTCCACCCCATCTCATCTATCCCACTCCACCCCACCCCATCCCGTCCATCCCATCCCATCCCATCCCATCCCATCCCATCCCATCCCATCCCATCCCATCCCATCCCATCCCACCCCATCCCAAGCGGGCTGAATGGTGTGAAAACACCCGATTTTGGCACATTTCTCTTTGTGCCTTTAGCTTGGAGCTGCCTGGCACTGGGTGCCACTGGAGCCATCCATGAGCCATGCTGGGATGGGGATGAGAGGACGTTGAAATGAAGCTCTCCAGCTGCTCACCCGCTGTTCTCCAGCCCCGTTACCCTAACTCGAGCTCCCAGGGACAAATGGGGCAAATTCTGCACAGCAGCAAAGCTCTGGAAGGGTGCTGGTGCTGGTGGGGCTGAAGATATGGGGAACAACAAGCGCTCTCCTGGGTGTGCTGAGAGAGGGACAACTCTCTCCCAACACCCAGAGGTTTTTCTGCCTACTTCTCCTCTTTTCAGGGACTAGCACTTTCCTTCAAATGCTTCTTTTTGATAAAATTCAGATTTCAACTCTAAAAAAAAAAAAGAAAGAGAGAACCCAGACCTAAAACTCTGGCTAGACTGACGGCGCGAAACCGGCACCGGCCCAGGAGATCAGAAACTGGAAACGAGACAAGACCAGGCGAACAGTTTTCATGGAGATATTAGTGAAACTGAAGGGAGAACAAATCGAACACGTTTTCATGGAAATTTCCATTTTTGAAGAAAAAAAAAAATAAAAAATAAAAGGAGGACTAAACTTGGACGCGTTTACATAAATATGGAAATGAAAACCGTTCCTCGCACCTCGCCGCCGCCCCAGGGCCAGCCCCGCTCCCTCTGCCTGCTCCCCCTGGCCCCGCAGCCCCGTGTCGGGACCCCGGGGGGACCTCAGCCCCTGCGTGCTGAGCACTGAGCACCCTCCTCCTGCAAGGCTCCGGTTTATATTTGGCACCTTCTCGCCAGGAGGCTTTGCCAAATGGCAGCCGGTGCTGGAGCCGCGCTGCCGATGGGCACGGGGTTGGTGGTGTCCCAGCAGAGCACCTTGGTAAGTGAGCTGGGGATGGAAATGGGGCATTGTGGGGCTGGTGGGGGAGCTGAGCACCCTGTGAAGCCCATCCCTGGTCCTGCTGCAGGGGACGTGCCCACGGAGCCAGCAACACGGTGACAGGGATGCGAGGAGCGGCTGGGACGGGCGCACCGACAGCCAGGCTCCGGCTTTGCAAACTCCTTCCCATCCCTGCAAGGAGAGGGCCTCCTGTATTATGCCTTGCTGTCAGCTTTTTTTTTTTTTTTTTCTTTGTTTCTATAGAAAATCCCAATTCCCCCAAATAATCCAGCTAAGAGTAAAAAAAAAAAAAAAAAAAAAAAAAAAAAAAACCACAAACGTGTCATTGCATTCTCTTCCCGTCCCCGTCCCTCTCTCACACGCAGGGCTTGAAAGCGCACTGAAAGGTATTCAGCGTGCATGCTGCCAATTGTCACATCTTTCAATGACAGATTTTAAATGAATGTTATTTTGCAAGGGAGAGAGAGGGGGAAAAAAAAAAAAAAAAAAAAAAGCCCACACTGCTCATCCAAGAGCTGACAAGTCCTAACGGGCCTCATTTTCCAGAGACAAAAATAACTATTTTCAAAATTCACAGCAGGGCCTTCGCCTACACACGCTGCACCAAGAGAAACCTGTGGGGAGAAATGTAAAACACATTGTGTAAATGGAAATGCACCATGCATCCAAAATGCTTTTAAAGCTATTTACCCTCTTTCATCCAAGCCAGCTCCCATCTGAGTGCACGTACGCGTGCTCGCACCCTGCGGAAGGCGCGGGGGCACGGCGCTTTGCTCGCTGCCCGCGCTGCCTGGCCCCACACCAAGGCATCGCCTGGAGCCCCTCGGTGGTCCCCCCGTGCAGATATTGATGGGGGTGCAGGGTCTGGCCATGGCGAGGGGATGCGGTGACAGCTCCGGGGTCCCCAGGGTGGCTGCAGCAAGAGAGGAGGGGTGCAGGGGGATGCTCCTTCCCCGTGTCCCCGTGGTTGCATGTCTTGTGGTCGTGGAGCAGGGCAAATCGTCTCTGCACAGACCTTCCTGAGATCTTCCTGTCCTGGGGTCATGGAGTCAGCTGGTCGCAGGTGGAGGATGCACGGGGAGGAATTTAGGGGTGCCCACTGCCATGCAGCTGCGGGGTCTGGTCAGAGCTGGGGTGAACCTGAGCCATGTGAAGGCTGCCGGAGCTTGGGACAAACCTGCCCCAAATGTGTGGGGCCGTGCGGAGCCATTTGTCCTCTGTGTGCACATCAGGGGACCACCACCAGCCACGTCCCTGTGGGCCACAGCCCTGAGGCTGCTCCTGGCCACCCCGAACCAGAGCGGAGGAGCTGTGGCCCCACGCGGGGTCCCCGTGGCAGCAAGGTTGGGTCCAGCCCTGGTGGCTCCAGGTCTGACATCCGTGATCAGGAGTCCGTCCTTCTGCAGGGAAGTAAAACGGGGAAATTTGGGAGTCGTGGGCTAGGGAAAGCCCTGGAAACTCAACAGCAAAGCAGACAGCTGCTTGGCAGCACGTGGGAAGGCAGCAACACGTATCTACAGCGCAACGCGGAGGGAAACGTGCAGCCAGAGCAGCCGAGGCCGGTGGCACCTCCACCTCGTGCTGCTGCCACGGCCAACACTTAGAGCTTCCAATTTGGTCCCCAAAAAAATGTGTCCCAATTCGGAAGGGGCTGTGCACAGCTCAGCCTTGAGCCTCATCACCCATCTTCGCCCACCAACCCACCCGCCCCTCCTGCAGCTGCTGGTCCGGATGGAGGGCAGCGTTTTGGGGGCGGCGTGCCCCAAAGCAAAGGGGCTAAGGAGAGCAGGAGGGCGCTGAGCACCCCCCGGGATGTCCCTCTCCCTCCATCCCACCCCACGGCGCTGCCGGCACCCCCCCGGCCAGGCTGCATCGACGCTGGGGAGCCCCCGGTCAGATGCGGTTGGACATGAGCCTGGTGTTGAGCTTGCGGAAGAAGGAGCGCAGCTTGCAGATCTTGCACTTCTTCTTCTTGCCCCGACTCTTCGGGGGCTCCCGGCCCCCTTCCCACTCCTCCACATCGTCCTCGCCGGCCCACGGCCCCCAGGCGCCGCCGTTGAAGTCCGGGTGGGCGCGGGGGTTCTCGGCGGGGTACCGCACCGGGATGGCCGTGCGGTTGTAGTAGGCCAGGCGCAGCAGGAGGGCCCTGACCACGTCCGGGCGCTGCTCCGACAGGTCGTAGCGCTCGTAGGGGTCGGCGGTGATGTTGAAGAGCCAGACGGATTTCCTGGGGCCGTCGGTGAGCCGCTCCAGGTTCCACCAGCTGCCCGGGAAGTTGGTCAGCGTCTGCGGAGGGATCCAGTCGCTGTAGCCCGGGTCGCCGGTGAGGAGCTTCCACTCCCCGACGCGGATGGAGGCCTGCACGGCCGTGTTCCAGATGCCGAAGCCGTCCTCCAAGGAGCCGTACTTGGCGTGGTTGTAGAGGGGGTCGATGTTGTGCAGGATTTCGGTGCGCGGCGACTCCTTCCCCTCGCTGATGGCCGGCCAGACGTTGTAGCCGTCCAGGCCGGGGACGTTGCTCAGGTTGCCCCTGGCCAGGCTCACCAGGGTCGGGTACCAGTCCGTGATGTGCACCAGCGCCCAGCTGGTCCGGCGCTTGCGCTTGATCAGAGGGCTGTGCACAAAACCGATGCCGCGGACGCCCCCTTCCCAGTACGTCCCCTTCCGTCCCCGCAGCGGCCAGTTGCTGCCCCCGGAGAAGGTCTGCCCGCCGTTATCCGTGGAGAAGACGATGACGCTGTTGTCGTAGTAGCCGTACTTCTTGAGGGCCCAGGTGATGTTCTTCACCGCCTCGTCCATGCAGGTGACCATGGCGGCGTACTTGCGGCGCGCCACGTTGCCCATGGAGCGGTAGCGGTAGATGTACTCCTTGGGGGACTGCAGCGGGGTGTGCACGGCCTGGAAGGCCACGTAGATGAAGATGGGCTCCCTGGGGCTGTGGGAGGCCAGGATCTTGCTGACACGCTGGGCGTAGAGGAAGGTGGAGTACTTCCCGCTCTGGTCCCACGCCACGTCCTCCCCCTCGTGCAGGTCGTAGCCGCAGACCCCCGGCCCGTCGCAGTTGTCGTAGGTGTAGTAGTCCACGTTGCCCGTCAGCGAGCCCAGGAAGGTGTCGAAGCCCCGGCGGGTGGGCAGGCACTCCTTCTTGTAGAAGCCCAGGTGCCACTTGCCCACCATGTGCGTGGAGTAGCCGGCCTCCTGCAGCTTCTGGGGCAGGGTGACCTGGTCGAGGGGCAGGCAGTTGGGCTGCCGGGGGCGGATGATGGAGTGCTGCAGCCCCGTGTGGATCTGGTACCTGCCGGGGGAGAGCCAAGAGGGATCGGTGGCGGTGGGGAGCAGGGCTGGGGGATGGTACTTCATCTTATGGAGACCCCAAAAGCGTGTGGCTTTTGGGACCCCAACCCCACGGGATGAGCTCCGTGCCAGAGCAGGGAACCCCTTTCCCACACAAAAGCACCAAAAGCAAGTGCAAAAAAAGAGAGTGTGTGTGTGTGCACATGCTCAGGAGACATTGCAAAAGTAGCCTGGGCTCCCGATCTTTCAAAACCAGGATGCCACCAGCAGTCACCCTGCTGCAGCCGGCCTGGCGGAGTTGTTGGGCTCTTTGCCAGGACAAGCAGGAGCTGCTCAGCAATCCCAAAGGGTTTGCAGTGCCCCAGCTGCGTGCAGATCCCCGTCCTCCCTCCCCCTGACCCGGTCCATGCGGCATCGGATGAGCAGCAGGAAAAGCAGGGCCCGAGGGAGAGGCAGCATCTTCAGGGGAGGGAAACCCTTCCACCCCACAGCCCAGCAGCAAATGGTGAGGGATTGGGACGGGCTGCCCAGGGACGTAGTGGGGTCACCATCCCTCTGGGGGTACTCAGGGGAAGGCTGGACGTGGTGCCTGGGGACATGATTATTGGGGGATGCTAAGGGTAGGGGGACGGTTGGACCAGATGATACTGGAGGCCTTTCCAACCCTAATGATTTTATGATCCTATGAATCCCCATGGGCCAACGTGAGAGCAAACCACCTCAGAGACCGGGCACCCCGGTGTCACCCACGTGGGACCACCCTGAGGACACCTCCCTGTGCCCTCGTGGCCACAGACCGCCTCCTCCCAACATGACTTCGGTTTCCCAACCCCATCCTCATTGTGGCCTCGGTGACCCATCACGTGCCATTATCAAACCAGGCAAAAAAAAAAATCAACTTTTCACCCCCGGAGCCAGCAAGACGCCTTCCCTAGCGGACCTCCAGCACAACCCCATACCCTGGGGCATCTGCCTCGCGGCGAGCCGGGCTCAAACCTCGAGGGGCAGGGGACCAGAAGGGGACCCGCGGGGCAGGGGGGGCGCACGGGCTTACCGTCCGGTTATCAGCTGGCTCCTGGAGGGCGTGCAGATGGGCTGGATGTAATAATTCTCCAGCTTCACGCCCTCGGCCGCCAGCCTGTCCAGGGTGGGCGTCTGGATGTCGGAGCCGTGGTACCCGACGTCGTGGTAGCCCTGGTCGTCGGTCAGGATGAAGATGATGTGGGGCGGCCGGGCGAAGGTGGGGGGCAGCGATTTCTCCAGGGGGCCCGTGGGCACGTCGGCCACCAAGCCGGGCTTCATCCAGTCCCAGGACAAGTAGCCAAAACTCAGCAGGCTGACCAGCGAGAAGCCCGTCAGGGCGTACACAGCCATCCTGAGCCTGCCTATGGGTGCTACTGTGCCGGCATCGCCCCAGGGCCACGTGGGGTGCCCGCAGAGCCCCCCACCTAGGGGCTGCCCCCTGCGGGGGGAGCTGCCATGGAGGCAGACACACAAAGGGATAAATCCGCCGTGCCGGGGTGTGCTCAGTCCAAAGCCCGCTCGGCGATTCCCAACAGCCCCACGGCTGCTCACGAAGCGTCCCGAGCGCCGCGAGCGCCGGCTGCCTTCCCTGCGCTCTCTTCCTGGTGTTTTCTTTTGCAAGCAGCACCGAAAAAGCCTGGCTGGAGAGAGCGGCTGGCTTCTCCCGGCTGGCTCAGGACGAGGCGATCCTGCTCCGTGCGCTTTCGCAGAAGAGGGTGCTAAAGTTCAAGCCCAGAGGTGCTGGGCTCCCATCCTCACCCCTCGGGGAACAGCCGCCGTCTCCTTTTCTCACCGTCCTCTCCCGAAGCGTTTCTTGGCAAGCCCGCACCACCATGATTTTTTTTCCCCTTATTTTTTTTTTTTCTCCTTTCTTTTCCCTCCCTCTTTTCCTCTCCGCTCACCCGGCTCCTTTCGGCCAGCCCCGAAGTCTTTCCCAACTGTGCAAAGAGCTCTGGAAACTCGGGCTCAGCGCGGCGGGGAGGACGGGCGAGGCGCCCAGCTCCGAGGGCAGCGGGACGCAGCCTGTGGCCACGCCGTGGGGGGACGAGGAGAGTCCCCACATCTGCCGGGCCCTGGGCGAAGCGGCCAGGTTTATGGGGAGCCGCAGGCTCGGCCCCTCCCCGCTCGCTCAGCAACTCCAGGAAAAAAAGCTGGGAAGACCCGAGCCTGCAGGGTCCTAAGCGTGGCTGCGCGCCTCGCCGCGGCTCAGCCCCGGGACGTGCAGCTCATGGACCCCAAACCCGCAGCCCCCCAGACCCCCGGCATCCATCCAGCCCCAGGGGGACGGCCGCCCACGGGGCCAGGACCACCACCCGGAGAGCACCCAGGGCAAAAGGGGGATGTAAAAACTTTATGGGGACAGCTCTGGGGTGGAAGAAAGGCACCCCAGGGCATGCTGAGAGGGGGAGGTGGGTCTGCTTTGTGGGTGGGGAAACTGAGGCAGAGAGGGGCCGCTTGGAGTCGCCGTGGCCACTGCTAGCCCAGGGAAGGGGTTGGTGTGAAATAGGGGCCCTGCCTGGCTTGGCACGGGGAGGGGGGATTCTGGTGGCACGGACCCACACAGTGTTCCCCCACCCCTTGTGGAGCCGGGAGGTGAGCCCTGGGAGATGCGGGGGGACATTTGGGCACGTGCACGTGTCCTGGATGGGGACCTGAGGGTCCCTGCATGTGGGACACCCCAGCACACCCCCCCCCCCAAGCCACTGCCTGGCTTTAGGACCGCAGGGCTGCAGCAGTGGGGGCTTGGCGGGGGCTTTGGGATGGCTGTGCCGCACAGCAGAGCCAGATGGCTCCCCTCTGCGGGCCCCCCCCGGCCCCCTTCCCTCCGCTCCCCTCTGTGGGCCCCCCACCGCTGCCCCCTCCCCCTGGCTTCCCTCTGCCAGGCCCCTCCACGTCCCCTCCCCTGGGCTCTCCGGTGGGTCCCCCCATGTCCCCGGGTACCCCTTCCTTGGGCTCTCCTCCTCTGTGTCCCCCACCACGTCCCCTCTCTGGGCTCTCCCCCACTCTGCCCCAGCCACTGTCCTTCCCCTGATGCCCCCAGCCCCTCCCCGTGCCCCAAATCTCCCCCCATCCCATACCAGCCTGCCCCTCGGGGACCCCAAGCACCAGCAGGGAGAGGGATGGGAAGGTGCTGCACGGGCTCCCCGCTCCCGTGGGCTGGGGGTACCCAAAGGAAAGGAGGGTGGGCTTCTCCCTGCTGGAATCAGACAACAGGCAGAGGGGACAGGGACGGGGACAGGGACAGGGACAGGGACAGCTGTGCACAAGACTTCCCTTTCCCTACTGGCAAAATCCCCGCTTGCTCGGAGCAGTGCTGCAGGGCTGGGTCAAACCCTTCGGCGAGGTTTGATTAATCCCCGGGGGTTAATCACTCTTTCCTTCCGCCCGCTCCTCCTCTCCCTTCCCCACTCTCCTTCAGCACGGAACAACTCCCTCCTCGCAGAAAAACCTGGGTCTGACTGCGGGGGAAGAGGGCTGGGTTCACAAAGGAGGTGGCCCTGGGTGCCAGGGTCCCGTCTGCTCCTCTCCTTTTCCCCACAGACCCCAGCAGCCGGGGCTGGGGGCCCTGCACCCACCTCTCCGTGTCCCCCTGAGCCACCGGGGGCTGCGGGACACGGGGAGCACCCCAACGTGCAGCCCCATTCCCGTGGCTCCCCGCAAAAACCTCGGGTCACGGGCAGGGTTAGAGGCAGGGACTGCGATCCCAGCTCCTTCCAAACCCTCAATAATAGTTGGTTTGGATGAGTTCCTCTCGGAAACATTCAAACCCGGTGCCTTCCCTGCCACAGCCCGCCTGCTTCCACTTAGCCAACACGGCTGGTTTACGCTCTTTGTTTATAGCAGAGCTGGGAATTAATGGCAGGGTGTTACCGAAAGCTGCCATCGCTCACCCCTCCGAACCACGGGGGAACGTTTTGCAGGACCTGCTGAATTACGGATCGGAGGGGGAGTTATTGGAGGTGTCGGGGCTGAAGGGAAGGGTTTGTGGCAGAGCTGGGGCTGGGGGAGCGAGCCCAGGTGTGACAGCGTTTGGGGACACTTTGGAGAGCCGGGAGGGATGTGCAGAAAGGGAGAGGCAGGGATGGACGGCGTCACGGCCGCTGCAGCCCCGTGGTGGGTCACATCCTGCCCACGCCTTCAGCAGAGGAAGCGTGGGCTGGGAAAGTCACCGGGAATTTAAGCTGCTGGAGGCTCAGAGGGTCGAAGGCTGGGAAGGACACGGACACGGGCACGTGGTGGCACCGAGAGGGGACCTCCTGCGCAGCCAGCCCAGGGTCTAGGGGGGAAGCCAGTGGGTTAGTTCGGCTCGGGGAGGTTTTCCAAGAGCCCAAGGCCCTGCTGGCAGAGCACAAACACCGAACCCATCAGCAGGGACCCTGCTTTGAGGGCTCGGGTGGCAGCGGGCAGAAGCGTCCCAGGGGCGCACAGCCTGGGGTCCCCTCCAGGACACGGCGACAGGGTGAAAAGGGGTGAGAGGCACATGGGGAGCTCTCCAGATCCCAGGGGAAACAGCAGGAAAGGTACCCGCAGACCCTCCGAGCAGCCCTGCTGGGATCATTCGAAGCGGAGGGATGGGATGGGAGCGGCCGGGAGCGAGGAGGAGGAGGAGGAGGGAGAGGAAGAAGCGTGACGGAGGCAGGGGGAGGAATGCCAGCTCTGGAGGCTCGGGGTCAGGGAGTTTTAGCCAGCTGCGAGGCTGCTCCGTGGGTGATTAATGCATCACAAGGTCTACGCATGGAAAAAGCTCTCAGGGCCTGTAGCCACCCCCCCAGACCGCCCTGAATTCGGGGCAGCCACTTGTCCGGCCTCGCTGGGAGATGTCTCAAGAGCCAGGAGCTCCTTGGAGAGCTCCAGCATTGCACAACGGGGACGCTTCCCCTGGCAGCTGGCCTGGCTGCATCTGCCGAGCGGGCTGGCGTTACGTGTCCCATCCCACAGCCGCTGCCTGCCTCTGTCCTGCCTCTTCCCCGGGCACAACCACCCTAATCCCCCCGCTGCACCCACAGCCACCTCCCACCCGCGGTGCCCAGGCCATGGGGAGCCCCACGGGGCCGTGCCGGGTGCTCCCACGGGGCTGGCAGCGACCCCATGGGCAGAGCATCCTCCGCCTGCTCATGGGGACAGGCAGCATCCCACATCCCAACCAAATATTTCCGCATCCCTATGGACTCATGGCCCATTTTTGGTGCTTTTTAACCTGGTGGATGGGTGCCGGGTGCTCTCCTCGGCCAGGAGCCGAGGCGCTGAGCCTGGAGCTACATCCCAGCCGTTTTTTCTCCGTGTCCCCGCAGCTGGCACAGCAGCCTGCATTTGCACAGCTGTTCCTCTAACCAAATATTTGAACATCAGCTCTTTTTTTTTTTTTTTTTCCATTATTAATTTTGTGCGGCCTGGGGCAAGAATTAAAATAATCACGGCCCTTCCTGCTGCTTCTCCCCACCACCCCCCGGCTCTGGCCGCACTTGCGCTTGGCTCCCAGGGCGCTTGCTGCACGCCGGGTTATGCAAACAGGCTGCGCACACTTCTCCACGGCCACGATTTGCCACGAGGGCCACACAGCAAAGCTTCAAACCAAGCCTCAAATCTCTCTTTTTTTTCTTTTTTTTTATCCCTCCATCTTTTCTTTATTTTTTAACCCTTCCCGGGGCCGGAGCCCCTCCAGCCCTCAATACCGCCTTTCTCTCGCCAGTCAATGGGGCATTATGAGCAGGGGAATTATTGAAAGCAGAACTCCCAGGCCGTACAATGGGAGCTCTGTGCGAGGCAAATATTGCACAATCTGTTTGCACGCCGCGGGCTCGCTGCCCTTCCCCCTCGGCAGCCCCGCTCCCAGCTCATGCCTCGGCCTCTGGCCCCCCGAAATGGGCCCTGGGAGCGAGAAATAGGAAAGGTTTTTTAATAAGTCCCCTCTCTCCTCCTTCAGAGCGAGGCGTCCGACCTAACGGGGCATCAGGGGCCGTGCCTGGCCTCGGCAAACACAGCCCGGCGCTGCCGCCTCTTAGATGTTTAAGGGTTTCCGCTCTCCCCGGCCAACGTGTGATGCATTTGCTTTTTTATTGGCGTGATGAAAGAGCTGAGGCAAGTCTGGAAAAGAAGCGAGCGGTCCCGAGAAAGGGGAGAGCTTGTTATTTTGTCTAGAGGGGGGGGAAAAAGGATCAGAGGGCGGCACGGCCGGGCGATCTGGGGGCTCGGTGGGAGCGGGGAGGGTGGGAGGCCAAGGGGGTTGGGAGCCAGAGGTCTCCCGTGAGCTGCTTTGCTAAGAGAAAGTCTCAGAATTGGTCGGCTGCTGGGAGAGGGGTGTCAATAAAAAGCCCTCTGAGAGAGGGGTGAGAGGTTTCCAATAGCTGCTGCCCTGTGGGGAGCCGGCACGGGACAGGGCTGGGGCCAAACCATCGACCTGGGGAGCCTCGGAGAGACCCCGAGGGTCCTGCTGCTGGCCAGGGGATGGATCACGCTCCTGTCCTTGTCTTTTCTCTGCCTCCTTGCTCCTCTCGTGTCTGATCACCCAGGGGACCTTCCCCTGCCTGGCGCACAGCGGGTACGCAGCACTTCTGCCTCCTCCCTGGTGGTCCCCGGAGCGCATTTTTGGGGTGGGATGTGCCAGAATGCTTTATCCCCCCAGTTTTTAACACACCCCATAATTTGCTCCCTGGAAGCGGGAGCCGGGGGGGGAGGAAAGAGCAAATCTGCACCGGCTCCTGCAGCATCGCTAACGCCACGGGGATGGAGCAGCCACAGCCCGCAGGCCATGGGGCACAGAGGGACAGAATTGGCCGTGGCAGGGCTCAGCAGCACTTGGGATCTTGTTTTGGAGCCATGTGGCCTTTTCCAGTGCCCTGCCTGCCTCCGTGCCACTGGGGCAGCTGAAAATCACCATCACCGAGAGGCGCCCAGAAGCCCCAGCACCATCCTGAAGCCTCTCCTAACGCACACGTGTTGGGCTTGGCCAGGGCTTGTTCCTGACCAAAAAACACTGCTGCTCCCCACGCTCCTGAAACCAGAAATAAAAGCTCTCAGTACGAGTCAGCTTGTCTCGGGCTAAGGAATTTTTCTTCCATTTTTGGTCCCCGATGGCACATTTCAACGATTCTGCGAATTCTCTCATGAAATGAGCTGCGCACATTCCTGCTCGCGTTTCCTTTCTTTCCCCTTCCTCCGGTAGCCCCCAGCCCCGCTCCTTGCTCCAACGTTTGTCCCCTGGGCTCACCCCAGCGCCGGGTGAGCAGCTCGCCGCCTTCCCCTCCCCTCCCGACTGCCGTGCTCGCGTTGAGGAGCTGACGAGCTGGAGAGAAGCCCACGGGTTTGGCACCGCTGCTTCCTTCCCATGCCTTATGGCTTGCTTTGTGCCCCGCCTGGGTGCTCTCCCTCCTCGTTCTGCCCCCGGCCCTCAGTTTCCAGACCCCAAATCCAGCCCCTCCTGTGAGCAAGGTGCCCCCCACTGCCACCTCCCAGCCCCGGGGCTCGCTGGGGGGGTCCCAGCTGATGGGAAACATCCCTGCGTGGGGCAGTTTGGGATGGAAATCTAGAGGTCCCCGTGGGCAGGTGGGTTTGTGCCTCATCCCATCAGCTCAAGCTCCTTGGGTAGATGCTGTGTTCACTCTGCCACCCCCCAGAAGGGAGAAGCTTCACCTACCAGAATAACCCCCCCAAAAACAGCAGCTCCCTTTGCCTCCAAGGGCCCCCTTTGAAGCAGAGAAGGTCCCGAGGCGGCGGAAGGAAGGCTTTAAGCGTTTAGCATAGCTGGGTTCTGGCAGCGCCGCCGCCTGACCCCGAGGTTGGCTTGCCCAGCCTATTGCTTTTGGACTCCCCCAGCTTCATTCCTGCCACGGCTCGCCGTGGGATACACAGGAGCTCCTCACTCGCTCCTCAAAGCATGCTCCAGCCACCCCTGGCTCGCTAAGAAGGAGCGATTCTTCCCGGCACCACCTGGGCACGGCCGGGGGCATCTCCGTCCCCGGTGCCCCCCGCTCCCCTCCCCAGCTCCCGAGGGCTGGGCAGCCCCCGGATCCATCCTTTCCCTTCCCTTCCAGCTCCCCTTTCAAATTCAGGCTCTTCAAAGGCTGCGGTGGGTTTGGGCTGGCAGGAGATGCGAGGGCCGGCAGCAGGACGCCTCCGGGCTCCGCTCCCCACCAGGGCGCAGCGAAGGAGGGGAGAAAAACCCTCAACATCCCCCAGCTCGGGTGCCTGCCGCAGACAAGGAGCCCTTTATCACCTGGAGAGCTCGCAGCAGGGCACTCCAGTCCCCGTTGCCCTGCTTGTTTATCCCCCTGTCCCGTTCAGAGCAAGGAAAACACACCTGCCTCCGGTCCTAATTGCACCTGTAACCCATTAAGGCGAGCACCGCCTGTTTGGGGTTTGTTCCCCAAGGGTTGTGTCCCTGCTGGACAAGGGATGGCTGGGGAGCGATGTCCCGGAGCACAAAGCTGGCCCCAAACACGTTGCGGTGGCAGCAGGAGGCAGCGGGGGTCCCCTGCCCACCCCGGCCCCGCAGGGTGCTCGGGGGCAGCGTTGTGGAGCGGGCAAAGAGCCCAATTAGGCGGCGCGTTAATTGCACACAAAGGGGATCCATAACCCCGCGGAAGGGATGAGAGCTCGCTCGCGCGCTGAGGATGCCAAGAGCACAAATTGCCTTCTTGTAAGGGAAAGGCTTAATTTCCACAGAACACGACAGATTAGAGCGGGAGTGGGTGGGTCCACTCTATTATTCATCAGCCTTCCCTGCTACCAGGAGGTGCTGTGCTGCCTGCTTTGAAGTTTCTCCCAGGGCCCCGGGTGCCCACAGCCCTTTTAGCGGGGTGGAAGGCAGGATCCCAAAGCTGGGGCTTCCAGCACCCACGTTCCCCTCGCCCCGTAACGCAGCCACTGCTGCTGCTTCCCCTGCATGAGCCTGAGGGGGTGATGATGAGACCCCGAGACCCGTCTGGGTGCTGGACCTCAGCCAAAAGCAAGGAGGTTGCCCCAAAATTCGTGTCCAAGGGCTGCCAGAGCTGCCTTTCCTAGCCGCGCAGTGAGCTCCATCAGTGAAGGCAGCCTGGAGGAAATTTGGGAGGCTGGATTCTTCCCTCCTGAACGGGAACGGGACCAAAACAATAATAAGAAAAGCGAGTTCCCATCAGCTGAGTTTACCAGGGAACGTGCTGCAGGGTTTCACAGAAATGGGAAGCTCCGGGAGGGATTTTTGCAGCACGTCTCGCTTGCAGCTGAGCTCTGCGGGGTGAGATTTGTCCACGGAAGGACAGGCTGCGGGGCAGCTCCTCACAGAGCAGCGGGTTGGGGCGAGCTTTATTTGTTCAAGTCTACCCAAATGACACACACGACACGGACGAGGTGCTTGTCCCTGTGGTGCAGGGCAGGAGGGCTCCAGCCATGCCTTCCCCAGGCCTTTGGGTCCGCAGGGAAGCCCACCAAACCCTTTAAGGGGATCAGAGGGGAGGGGATGCATCATCTCCTGCACTGCTGGAGGTAGAAAATCCCTATTATTAGGGATTATGAGACCTTGGGTATGTTTTCCTAGAAACAAATCCCCTAGAAGTGCGTGCAGTTTCCCCAGACCCTCTAAACCTGCCCGTGGTTAGGGTCAGGCACCCCTGCTGCCCAGCCTGCAGAACACCAAACCCCGTTTTGGGGAGGGGGCTGGAAGCCAAGCAGGGCGCAGCACAGGATTTCTCCCTCTCCGAGGCCTCGGGGTGGATGTGTGGGACACTCCTGGGAGCCACAGGCTCGAGGCTGGCACCGAAGCACACAGCAGGATGCGGAGCGCCGTATTTCAAGCCCAGCCGTCGGCATCGGGGGTTTTCTGCTCCCAGCCAGGGGCGTAACGTGCAGGGCGGCTGTCGGGAGGCTGAGAGTCCCTATATCACTGCTGCAGAGGGTGATTCATGATTACCCGCAGTAATCCAGAAGCTCTACAAAACTGCTAATAATAGGCCTTGCAAACCGACATTTTAGTCGAGATAAAAAATGACGGGAACGGAATCCAACCGTGCCTCGCTGGAACTATAAATGGAAAGGTATTGCCCGTGCTCGGCTCCAGAAACACGGCACAAAGCGAAAGCAGGGGACGGAGCTCGGCCCCAGGATCCCAGCCGAGGTGGGACAGGGATCCCACGGCAGAGAAGTGAGCGTGGCACGGGCAGAAAGCACCTCCTGATGTCCCTGGTGTCCCAGGACTGGCACAGATCCCAAACTCCAGGGCTTTGGGGAAGGGGTAAGCGTGAGCAGGGGCCCGGCAGGGACCGCGGTCCTGCTCAGCACCGTTAATTTCACGCCGCCGTGCGAGAAGATGCAGAGTTGCTAGGTGACAGGAGCACGGGAAGCACGGCGAGCATCAAGAATCAGCACAGGTCAGCCTGGCACGGGCATGGGCAGGGGCAGGGGACAGACCCTGCGGGGTCTGCGGCAGTGCTGGGAGCCCTGGGGGTGCCTCCAGCCTCCCCCCACCCGGGACCAGGGCTCCTCGCCCCACCAGCCCCAACTTTCTCCCCCTTGCAGCTCCCACATTCCTGATGGGAAATGCTTCCTCACCACCAAAACGTGCCGAGCACACCCCGCAGAGCCCGGTCCCCCCACCACGGGCTCATCCAAAGCAGCACCGCCGCGGCCAGGGCCTCGAAAATCCCCATGCCATTAACACCAGGCGCGGCCAAAGTCAACACCAGATTTGCCAGAGGTTTCCGTGGGATGGAGGGTGGCTGAGCGAGCGATGCCGGGGGCAGATTTACCGTCCTGGTTCTCGCCCAGGGCTGTAAAACTTGGCGTGGTGAGGCTTGGTGTCATTAACATGGGCCGTGGGCTTTCAAGGTGCTGGCCGGGGAAGCAGTAGCCGGCGGTTCTGCGTGCTGCTTCGGGGCTGCTGGCAAGCCGCACGCTGTAAGCAGCCCCTCTTTCATCCTCCCAGCCCTGCCCGCAGACGGAGGCGATGTTTTCTCCCTCCTACTCCCCGGGGAAGTCTTCACGGCAGATCCCGGGCACAGGCGAGGAAAGGTGCCCACTTCCCCGCCACCGCCCCATGAGGCTGGAGGAGAAGGAGCCTTTCTTCGGGTTTTTTTTTTTTCCTACCGAATCACGAGGCCGTTCGTACTGACCACTTTAAACGAAACCAGGCGGTTTAGCCCAAATGATTACTCATGAGCAGCGTCTAATTAGCTCTAGTATTTAAAGGGAAAAAAGAAAAACCTCCTCGGAGCGCAGGCTGCACGGATGAGCTGCCTGTCCCACGCACAGCCTCGGGGAGCCGTCAGCCCCTGCTCCACCTGAGCAAAGGCACCTGAGCCCAGGTGGTGCCCAACTCCCTTTTCAGAGCAGGCTTTTTTTAAATTATTTTTTTTCTTCTATCAATCAAGCATGGGAGCGAGGGGATCTCCAAGTTCACCTCCCAGATCCGAGCCTGGCACGGGTCGCCCCCCTGCCGGCTTTTCCTCCACGCGATGAGGTTACGGGGAGCTGGCCGCGGCTCCTCGCCAGAGATGCTGCCAAGCCCACAGCCGCTGCCTGGCCTCCTGGGACCGTGGAGGAGGAGATTTGGCCTTGGAGGAGCCCCAGAGCGTGTTAGTCCTGTCTGGGACGGTGCCTCGGGCTGCTGGGGCAGGCGGGCGATGCTCCGGGAGCTCTCGGGGCAGATCAGGGTGCAGGAAGCCACACGCTCCCTGTGCACATCATGCCATGGGGAAGAGGGGACAGGCACGGGCAGCGGGGACCACTGCTTGCCCCAGAGCTCCCCATGGGACCGAAGCACCACGAGGAGCCCAAAAGAATGGGCACAGCCACGGCTACAGCCTGTGCAGTGTGACAGCCCAGCCTGGGCTCTGCTGGGACAAGCCACCAGGGCACTGGGGTGTCCCGGTCACCGAGCCGCCCCCATCCCAGCCCCATCTGAGCCTGGGTGGCTCCTCAGCCCAGCCGTGTCCCCAGGTCCCAGCACCTTCCCTGCAGGCAGCCCGGAGCTGCAGGGCAGGCTGGCTGTGGCCGCTTGCTGAGGAGTTCTTCCAGGATCCCTCTGCTCCCTTCTTTGGGAGCTCTCCCCTCATTTGGCGACCGGACCGTTTTGCCGATGCTAACTGAAGCCAGGTGGAAAAAATAAAAAAGCCCTCAGCTTCTCAGCACTGGGATCTCGTTTCCAGCCAGCGTTCCCTCGGACTGAGGACTCCAGCAAGGGTTTTCCAAGAGCCTCGGGTCACCCGATCCCAGCTAGCTCCCCAGGGTGGGCTGCTGTCCTGTGCCAGCTGGGGACATCCCGGGGTTTGTCCAGGGCCACCACAACGCAGGATGGGACTTTGTCACCCTCTTGTGGCTGACGGGCTTGTTGTGGCTTCGAGGTGGCCCCAAGCAGGGTCCCTGATCCAGGGACAGCTGGGGAGCACCTTGGGCTTGACCCAAATTGGGGGCTCCACGCTCCGAGGGGGCTCAGGAGGGTGCTCACCATGGGGATCCCTGGAGCATCGCCTCTGCCCAGCTCTCCAAACTGCGCCCACCTGCCTTGTGAGCTGTGTCTTGGTAACAATTGCTTGCCCATTGGGTTTAACACTGGCCAAGGAAGCCTTCCCCTGGTTCGGATAGCCCATGGCACACAGGAAAGTGCCCGCAATCCGCTCGGATCGGGTTGCTTTAAGAGGCTCCCTCCTCCCCGGTTTAGGTGGCTGGAAATCTCCCACCCCGTTCCCAACCCACCCAACGCTCGGCTGGGAAATCAGGCCACAGCAGCCTCAAAGGGAGAGGGAGACTCATTCAGCTTTATCTGAAAGCCATTTCAAGCATGTCCAGATTCCTAAAGAAACTTGGATAAAACCCCAGAGATTAATAACAGCGCAGGGCTCTTTGGATGCCAGAGCTTTGTCTGCTTCCAAGAGAAACATATAGATGTGCCTCGGTGGAATCTCGCTGTACATTTTTTTGGCAGAAAGGCCGAAATAAATCCCTTTGCTGCAGTAACCCTCAAGCGAGATAAGGCAGGGAGCTCTCTGCAGTCCCCCTGTGCTGCCGCAGGCAGATAGCAGGCGGCACTCGTTGTGCCATCCCCTTGGAAGGGCAGGGAGGACAGGGACTGTCACTGCCGTCAGGAGGGTGCAGATCCAGGCTGTGTCCCTCCACCCAGCTCACTTCTGCTGGGAGGAGGGGGACATCACCCCCCACCGTACGGGGCACGGCTCGGAGACGGAGCCTGCAGGAGCCTGCCCTGAACGTGCCAACATTTGGGCACGGGGAGCTGGCCACGGGGAGGCCGTGCTCCTCACAGCACTGCCCTCGTCCTCCCGAGGCCAGGGCAAGGCACGTGTGGAAGGAAAAGGGTCTGAGGGTCTGAGGGTCTGAGGGTCTGAGGGTCTGAGGGTCCACCAGGACTGCCCGGAGCATGGTGGCTTCTGGCACCCGGCCACTCCCCTCCCTCAGCCGCTGTGGCTTTTTCCATCTTAACGAGCAGGGAAAGCAATCACCGTAAGGAACGTTCTCTAAAGCTCTCAGCACGGCACTCAGGATGTGCCGAACGAAATAAACACACATCAAGAGCTCCTTAATGGCCCTCTCGGCGTTCCCAGCAGCCACGGCCAGGCACGAGAGGGACCGGGAAGGGATGTTAATGTGCAAAGCAGAAACACCCGGTAAGAGGGGGGTGCGTTCTCACCTCCTGCTTCCCCCCCAGCTGAGGACAGCCCCCTGTACCCCTGTGGCTCCGTGCTGGCACGTGGCTGTGCCCACACCAGGGCAGCAGGACGCGGTGATGTCCCCAGGAGCACCCTTCTCGGTGTGCTCCTCTGCCTCCCAGCCTCCCAGGCACCATTTGCTGTGGGATTTCAGAGCAAATCAACGGGAAGGAGGCAGGTGCTGGCTATGGGTAGGGATTTGGGGACAGACCCCGGGGCTGGGCAGGACCCCAAGTCCCCATTTCTTCCCCCTCCACCCCCAGCCGCGTGGCCCCGCTCCCTCCTTCCCCTCCTCTTCCTGCGTTTGCCATGAGTTCAATCAGCAAAGGACGCCTGGCAGGGGAGAAAAAACAATCCCCCAAACCCCTGGCTTTGCAAAGACAAACACAGCCCCTCTTCCTCTCATTTTCCTTCCAGGTAGAGCTGCTGAAACCTGGGCAAACACGGCCAGGCTGTTGGTGTTGGCCCCGCCGTGCCGCGGGGCTGCCAGGCCCTTTAACGAGGATCACGCTCACGAAGCAGCCCCGAGCTGGGCGAAAGCAGGGGTGGGATGTGGGCTGCGTGGTGCTAACAACCCTTCTGCCTGCTCCAGCAGCGCGTATTAGAGCGAACGCAGGCACGAGGCATTAAACGCCTTAATGCTGGCGGCTTCCCGGTGCCAGCGCCGAGTCTCTGCCATGCCAGGAGACACGCAGGCAGCTCGACATACCCAGGGACGCCTTTCCAAGCTCGATCGTTAAAATTAAGCATATTGCAACCAAATTTTAATGTCACGTCTTCTGCTCGTCGGAGCTCTCAAATCTGTTCGTGCAGCCACCCGAATTACAAGGCTGCTTTATGCTCCGCGGGCTGAGGGGTGACTTTTTTTTCCACGCTTAATTAGTTAAAAACCAACAGGGCTGGGTCACTACGGCTTTGGGTCATGGAGCTGCTGGGTTATGTGTGCGTATATATATATATTTTTATTTTTTTTTTTCACTTCTGAGCTGCTGTTTCTCATCTGGCAGCAGGCTGCCCGCCACTGAGTCAATATTATTTGATGCCTGCCCCATGGCTTGGCTGAAACGACCCCATCTCCCCGAGCAAACCCCCAGCCGCAGGGAACCACATCACAGAACCCATGCACACGGCCGTGGGACGAGGGCTGGGGACACGGCCCCGCTCCCCAAAGGGGCCACGGGCGAAGCTGGAGGTGCTGGGGACAGCTCTGCTGTTCCTCTCCATCCTCCATCCTTCTGGGGACCGAGTTCCTGCACCTTGTGCGGAAATCCTATAAACGCAACATGGGAATTTGGTGTAATTTATAACCCCGAAGGCAGTGCGGACCAGATGTTTCTGAGCTAGCTGCTCTTTCTGCCAACGATAAGGCCCCCTGGGCTCGGTTTCGACTCCAGAAATGTGGCCGGTTAATTAATTAACGTGACTCGAACGCCCCGGTCCTGTAGGGCACCTGCCCCCGGTGCGGACACCTCCGTGCCCCTGGCTGTGCCCGTGAAAGCCGAGGCAGAAAGCTGCCGAGGCGAGGCCGAGCCGCAGCGGGGCCGTGCACACAAAACAATGCCGTGATTCATCGGAGATTGCCATAACCCATCGCGTTTCATCAGGATGCTGTGGCATTTAAATTAAATGGCATTTCCTCCCATCTGTTGCGCATTAGCAGACAAAGAAAAAGGAGGGGGGGGGGGGGGGTGAGGAGGAAGAACAGCATAACAAAACGGGGAGAAAAACGGGATTCCTGAGTCAGGCTGTTCTTGCGGGAGGCTCCTCGCCAAACCCGAGCCCACCCTGTGGGATGAGGGCAGGGGGATTCACCGCGGACCCCTCTGCCCCCGCTGCTCCCCCGGGCCCGGCAGCGAGGGCTGCTGACACCCGCGGTGACTCAAAGCCTCGCGGAGCAGCACCTGGCAACCCTCTCCCCGCACACCCCGAGCTGAGCAACGCCAGCTTCGGGCTGGCAAACCGGGGGCAGGAGTAAAACCAAGCCCCCCGAGCCAGCCGCTCTTGTGGCTTTTATTTTTCCTTGGCCGTTTCCTCCTCTTCGCCTCTCATTTTCCATTGCCTCCTCCCTCCCCTGACTGATTTTCCCTTGGAAATGAGGATTTTTCCTCATCCCCACTTCTCTCTTTCATCTAGTTTGGTTCCTTTGCTCCCGGTTCCTCTGCTCCCCATCCCTTCTCCCTCCTCCTGTCCCTCTTGCACTGCCCCTGCCCTAACACATCCCCACTCCTGCGCCACCCCAGCAGGGAGCACCCTCAGGACCAGACCAGCCAAGGCAGCGGTCCCGTGGAGCAGCCACCCTAAAGATGCTGCGTGAAGCACCCCCGACGATCCTTCCCCTAAGGGGATACAAGCAGCACCCTGCACTGTAACCACCAGCAGCAGGAGGCAGAAACATCTTCAGGCAAGCAGCCTGGGACCCCCGAGCAGCCAGACCCCAGAGATGCCAGGAAACAACCCAGCACCCTCAGGGATCACGGCGTCCCCTCACTTTGCTCAAGGCAACCTTCGTTCCCCAGCATCGCACAAGCAGAAGCAATGCCTGAAAACCACCCCTAATGCATGAGCAGACAAATCCCTCGAGCCAGAGCTCATAGCTTGAGCAGCAGAGAGCAGAAAAGTGTCCCTGCAAGCCCAAGGGTCCAGCAGGCGCGCTCAGAGCCCGTCGGCTCCCACCCGGCAGAGGACGGGCAGCGCTTCCAGCTGCTAGCACGCTCCCCGAGCCCGGCTTTGGCCAGGACACAGGCAGTCATTCAGGACGGAATAGGGACAGAGCAGCTTTCCCCCAAGCTCTCGGCGTTCAGGGCTGAGGGCACGGCCGGGGCCGTGCGGTTGGTAGCAGACGGAGCTGAGCTGGCTCCCAAATTACGGCCGCCTTATCCCCGTCTGGGTTTGACACGGCTTCCTCCCTTCCCTTCGTGACTCAGTGCCTTGGCACCGCGAACGCATACCCAAGAGGTTAGCCTTTGAAAGCCACCGGGGACGGTTCACCTTCCTAAAATAAAGAGCGGGCGAAAATATTTTCAACATCCCTGCGAAGAAAAAAAAAAAATGCCCCCGAAAACATCGCCGCTTAATAAATGGATGTTGTTGGGCCTCAGCTGGCTCTGGGCTGAGGTAAATTTTCCTATTTATAATCACGCAGCTGTTGGCTGGCTGAATAACTGTATTTATTATTTGGCATGTTTACTAACCGCCTCAAATACCTTCTCTACCTGTAATTGTGGTGCAGCGTACACATATATATGTATTTTAGATTTCTTCATTCAAGTGGTTTGTGTTACTCCCGGGCTCCGTGCTGCGGTTTGCTGAGGGTGCCCATGGTTTGGAGGTATGGAGCTCTGGACTCAGGTGACCCTGAACTGCAGCAGACCTGCAAAGAGACACCTGGGAAAAAAAATTTAGACATTTTTTAAAGCCATTTGTCCATTTGCACTCTGGGCTTTAGCATACTCTATTTGCCTCTCCTATAAGCAGCACCTCCTGAATGTGTTTCCCCCTTGTCTACGCTCATCTCTGCCTCTTTGAAACCTGGCCGAACGCCCCCAGCCCAGCCCCTGAGCCCTGCAGGACTCTGAGGGTCTCCCTCGCCCTGCCCGCATGTGTCTGCCCCTGTTATCCGTCCCTGTGAGTCTCTGGGATGTGCTCCCTGCCCCTTGTCTCTGCAAGTGGATGTTCCGATGCTCTTGATGATTTTCTGCTTGCTCACCTGCCCTTTTCCCAGCACCAGATGTCCCGTCCTTCCTCCATTCAGCCCAATCTAAGCGCTGCTCTTGCAGCTCCCTACACCCCACAGGACTCCTTTTGCGTATGCCGTTTGGTGGGAGGGCTTCATTGCCTGGCAGAGGGGCTCCTCTTTCTGCCCTAGGCATGGGCAGCCCCTCCTGTGCTCAGGGGGCTCCTGTACACCATGGGGTGTGCAGGGATAGGGGTGCAGGAGGATTGGTCTGGCTTTAGGAATTTATTTATTTTTTTAATAGAAGAACAAACAGAAAAGGAGGTATAAAAGCATTGCAGATGGTTCTTGTTCCACGTCAAAGTGGGTCAAAATCTGTTCATCGATAAGCTTGCAGCAGGCAGCACCCTTTGTGTATCACAGGGGCTGAATCTCAACCCAACCCCATTTCCAGAGGTCCTGGCCCACAGCATCCCCAGGAAGCACACTTCAGGGCTTTCTGCCCCAGGGATACTCTCCTTACAGAGCTCTTCTCCTTCACTGAAGAGGAGAATTGGGTCTCCAAACCAGGCTGCTGGGCTGATCAAGCCTTGCACCTCTGTGTGAGGGTCATCTCGGAGCAAGGGGATGACATCTCAGCCAGCCACACCGTCGCCCTCGCAGGGCTGCAGCTTCCACATTTACCCCGAGCCTCAATGACCATCTGTGCCGGCGGAGGTCACCCCCAGAAAGGACTGGCCAGGTCCGTGCCCCATTTACAGGGGCTGTAAAACCGCCACCTGGCCGCTGGCTTTATGGCTTTGGACGACGCTGGTGTCAAAGAAACTTGGCGCGGGAGCCAGCTGGAGCGGGGCCAGTTTTATATTTAATCTTGCCTATAAATGCAAATAAAGGCTCTGTATTTGGAGTGAGTGACAGGCGCACCGTGGACATTATTAAACCTTCCAAAAATAAACCTCTGCCAAAGTGACGGGAGCCAGATTTTTCCTGGAAAGTATCAGGCGCGGGGAAGGGGGGAGCGCTAACGGGGCAGCCCCTCTGCCACGCAGCCGCTCTCCAGCAGCTGCTCCGTGTCAGGGGCTCCTTCTTCTCTTCTCGTTGTTTGCTTGTTTTAGCCCAGAAATGCCTGGGCAGCTCCTCACAGCAGCTTCACGTCCATCCGACAGTAAATCAGCCCGGAGGGCTCAGCTGGGGAGAGCTCTGGGAGCGAGGAAATTTTCCTCACGGCAGGAAAATGCAGCGGGTGGTGCTGCGATAACCACCACCCTGCCCGATAACCACCGCCCTGCCCGCACCCTGGTGGTTATCCACCCATCCTCTTTGCTGGGGGGGTCTGATGGCCTGCTGGGGGCTGGTGGAAGGGGTCACGGCCCCTCCTGGGACACCCCATTTCACACCTGCCCTTAACTGAGCCCCCAGGTAGTTCCTGGGCTATACTCGGCTCTGGTGAGGCCGCACCTCGAGTACTGTGTTCAGTTTTGGGCCCCTCGCTACAAGAAGGACATCGAGGTGCTTGAGCGGGTCCAAAGAAGGGCGACAAAGCTGGTGAGGGGCCTGGAGAGCAAGTCCTATGAGGAGCGGCTGAAGGAGCTGGGCTTGTTCAGCCTGGAGAAGAGGAGGCTCAGGGGCGACCTTATTGCTCTCTATACATTAAAGGAGGCTGTAGCGAGGTGGGGTGGGTCTGTTCTCCCATGTGCCTGGTGACAGGACGAGGGGGAATGGGGAAAAAAACAGGGTTTTAGGTTGGATGTTGGGAAGAATTTCTTTATTGAGAGGGTTGTGAGGCATTGGTGTGGGCTGCCCAGGGAGGTGGTGGAGTCACCATCCCTGGGGGTCTTTAAATACATTTATATGTTGAATGTGGAGGTGTTTAAGAGATGTTTAGGTGCTGAACATGGCGATATGGTTAATGTCCGTGTTGGTGATTCCAGGCCCCTGGGGTCCTGCCCCCAGCCCCCCGCACTACATTTCCCAGCAAGCCCCGCGCCTCCTCCCACCCCCTCTCCCCCAGCACTACACTTCCCAGCAGGCACCGCGCCCCCATAGCGCTCCGTACACCCGAGGACTACATCCCCCGGCGGGCACCGCGGCGGGGGAAGCGGAAGTGACGCGTGGGAGCGCGGCACGCGGCGCCAGGGGGCCTGAGGGGGAGCGAGGGCCGCGCCATGGCGGCGGCGGCGGGCGGGCGGCGGGAGCTGCTGGCCCTCATCCACCAGCACCTGCTGAGGGCTGGGTACGCCAGGGCGGCGCGGGAGCTGCAGGCACAGCTCGGGCAGGTAACGGGGGGGCGGCCGGGGGGGGCTCTGGGAGAGCGGAGGCCTTGGGGGGGGCCTGGGCCTAGGGGGGGGGAGGTCTCAGGGGGAGGCCTGAGGGAAGGGGGCCTCGGGGGGGGGGGGGGGGCTGTGGGGAGGGGGCTGGGGGAGGAGATCTGAGGGGGGAGGTTTATAAAAGGGGGTCTGGAGGGGGGGAGGTCTGCAGGGGGAAGCTTGGGGGGGGGGCTCTGGAGGGGGGGGTCTCTGGGGAGGGATCTGGGGGGGGTTGGTGGAGAGGGGGTGTATAGGGGAGGTGTTGGAAGGGGAGGGTTTGGGGGGAGGGGGCTATAGAAAGGGGTCTGGAGGGGGGTGGTCTGCAAGGGGAAGCTGGGGGGGTCTCTGGGGGAGAGTTTTTGGAGGGGGGAGTCTCTGGGAGGATGTTTGTGGGGAGGGGGTTAGGGGGGAGGTCTTGAGGGGGCAAGGTCTGGGGTGGCTGTCTGTGGAAGGGGGTGTAGAGAGGGGGAGGTCTCTAGGAGATAGCTTGAGGGGAGTTCTGAGGAGGGGTCTCTGGAGGGGGGGGGGTCTCTGGGAGGAGGTCTCAGGGCAGGCAGTGGGTGCTGCCCCCCTACAGGGTGCCCAGGGGGCCCCAACACCTGACGCTTGCTCTCTGCCCCCCCCCCCCAGAAGCTGCTGCCTTCCCTGGCCACCTCTCTGGAGGAGATCTTCACCCACTGGGAGAAGTAAGTCAGGAGTGGAGCTGCTGGCGGCTGGCCCGTGCTACACGTGCAGTGATTTATAGGGGTTTCCCTCCACGTGCTCTCCTCCGAGCCCCTGCTGTCGGGCGGGTTGGTTCAGAAGGTGTTTGATAAAGTTTCCCTAGGTTAGGGGTAAGCTTTTACGTAGCTCTCAGAAGCCGGAGGTGCTTCTTGCTCATGGAGGTTGATACCAGAGTGTTGTGGGGGTGTCAGAGGCACGCTGCACTGCCAGGATCTCCCCCCCAGCCCTGTTTCACTTTCTTTTTAAAGCCACGTGCTGTACGGGGAGATCAGCCCCAGCCACGCAGAGAACGTGAGCAGAATCTGAGGTGTTCAGGGCTCTTACAGGGCCTTAAACCTCGGCTTGGCTCCAGCTGCTGCTTTCACCCTGCCCGTTCAAGCCCCTGCATGCTCAGCCCGATGCCTTCCTGTGCAGTTCTCCCACGGAGCGCCCTGCCTGCAGTGAATCTGCACCTACCCCGAGCTCTGGGTGCCCGGGTGCAGTGGTGCTGAGCCAGCTGGGGGCTCTGCCTGTGGTGAGGAGCTCTTGTTCTCCTCGGCCTGGCCATTGATGCTGAGCTTACCCTGTGACAGTTGTCCTGGGGGCTGCTGCAACCCCTCCCGTGCATTATTTATTACTTTGAAACCTGGGGGGTGGCAGGGCATTCGTGTTGTGTTTGATTCCTCAGTCTCTGGTGGCACTCGTGTCTCGTGGTTCCACCCGTAGTGGTTTGGTTTGTGCAGAATTTGCCCCGCTTAGCCGTGTGGGTGAGCTGTGGTTCTAATTTTTTTGTCACTTCAGAGGCTTTTGGCCCCAAAATGCCCAACCTCAGACCCTGTGCCCTGACTCTTACCCATCTAACTGAGCCCGACCTCGCTGCTTTCCTGCAGAACTCTTTCGAAGCCAAGCTAACAGTAGGGATTTGCAGTTATTAAGGAGTGGCCTCCCTCCAGGGCTGTGTTTAGTGTGCTGGGCGGGCAGGGAAGGTTGCAGAGGTGCCTGGGTGTGGTGGGGAAGCCCAGCACGGGGTGCAGGAGGAGCAGGCAGAGCGCTGCTGGCCTCAGGAGCTCCAAGCTGCTGCACTGCTGCCCTCCTACACCCTGTATTCAGACCCCTGGTTGCACGTGACAAATCCTCACAGCAGCTTCTGTCCCATTACCAGCCACTGCAGAGCTGGTTGTGCTGCCTGCCTGTGTAGCTTGGGTTCCCTGGGTTTTATTAAAGTAAAAAAGGGTAATTGGAGTAAAAAAATAAAAGGATAACTGGAGTAGTTAACGGGACTTTGTAACAGCAGATCTGCCTTGGGTCTGGCTCGGCTTAAACAAGTAGCCCTGCACAGCTGAAACACTCTCACAGGAAGCACCATCTTTCCTGGTCAGATAGTTAACTGGACTTCTTTTTAAATCAGATCAACAAATAAAATAAGGCAAAACTAATATAACTGGCACAAAAGTGGTTTGTTTGTTTGTTTTCTGCCTCTGACAGTTACGTGTGTTTAAGGGGTTTTACCAGCTTAGAAATGCTGCACGTGTGAATCACACAGACATGTGCCCAGCCAGTGTTACCCTCCCAATAAAGCTAAGGTTTTACCCGTGCCTTCATTTGAAAAGTAACTTTAGAGAGAACTTTAGCCATGTCATCTGTCCGGCTGGTACAGGTAGGATTCCGAGCCTGGGAGCATCTTTCTCCAGTTTAATGTTTTAATCCACTTAAACAGCTTAGGAGTTTAATGATTGTGGCCTTTCCCTCCCTTTCTTTCACCACATCTGCTCTAGGGCCAGGCACTTCCTTTCATAAATCTGTCTGTAGCCTGACCCTTACCTCCTTTTGGTCTGTGCGCCCAAGTTCAAATGGTTTTGCAGCCTTTAGGCTCACTTCTGAATGACACTACCTGTCCTCAGGGTTGAGCCTGGCCTGAGGGTGGATTGAACAAGTGTTCCAACTTGTTCATCGTTCCCCTTTTTGACACACATTCTGTTCCCTCAGAACTCCCTCGAATGCCAGGAGAAGGAAGGTGAGCGATGACGAGGCAGCCATCCCAGAGAAGATCAGAGTTCCTGATCCCGTGAGCAGCTCGGAGAGCTCAGAGAAAGAAGAGGACGAGAAAGAGAAGATAAAACCCGTGAACGGTAGGAGCCTGCCAGCTCCCTGGCAGGGTAGCAGCAGAGGGTTGTGTAAGAGCGGTCCGATTTGCTCTTCAAACGATGGCTATTCCCTCGTGCTCGTATGAAAATAGGACAACAGATTTGTCACCCCCTTCGCGTGTAGCGTTTTTGGAGGAGCACAGATGTCTGCCGAAGCCAGCGAAAATCTGTTAGGATTCGTTGGGAAGGGAAGGAATGGGTGTTGCAGCTGGGGTGAAGCCTTGGGGATCTCACACTGCCCGCTGCGGGGCACCTTTTAGCACGTCCCGGCTGGCCAGCAGAGGGTGGCCTGATTCATGGGTGAGGGAAGGGCTTTTTTTTAGTTGCTCTGGGTAGTTCTGCTACAGCTGATGTGGGAGGCATTGGCTTGTGCAGCCTAACAACAAAAACAACATGTATCTGCGGTGTTTTGGCTCAGTCTCATGTGCTGCAGACCAGCCCCTGGCAGTGTGCAGGTCCTGGCCAGTTTCTTGTCTTGGCTGTGGGCAGGACGGGCTGCCAGGAGCAGGGCAGCTGCCTGCTGGAGCCCTGCTGCACACCGGGGCTGGTTCTGATGTCAGAGGCTCTGTCCTGATTTCCTGGTGCCTCTCCGTGCAGCAGCCAGCCGTGCCCTGGTCACGAACTCAGCAGTGAGTGTAGAAAGCAGTGAAGATGACGACTCCTCATCAGAAGAAGAAATGCCAGCTGGAAAAGGAGCAGTTAAGGTGAGAGGCTGCTCGCCTTGGCTTTGAATGCTAAGAGTACTCTGAGGCCAGGGCTGGCCCACGTTCTTTGCCCTGTACAGAAGTGTGGGCTGGGGTAGATCCATATTTAAATGGCCCTCCTGTGCTGGTAGAAGCCTTCCTTAGCTGTCTCTTAAGTGTTACGGCTTGCCCAGCTGCAAGGTTGCTGTTTAAGGTATGCTGTGCCCAGTTTATCCCCTCGTATATCTATGGGCTTCTCATTTATTTTCTTTCCTTTAGGTGCCACCAGCTGTGGAGAGCAGCAAAGCTGCCAACTCGCTGCATTCTCCTCACAAACCCAGTGTTCCAGTGGGCAAAGCAGCGCTGCCTTCTGCTGCAAACAGAACTGTGGGCTTGAATAAGCAGCAGCCCAGTGCACCGGCTGCGTCTCCGGCCAAAGCTGGGCAGAAACAGCCTGCTCCTGGGAAGCCCGCACAGGCTGCAACAGCCGTGAGCAAAGGAGGGCAAAGCAAAGCACCGGTAACAACCAAAGCAGCCGAAAGCTCCAGCTCCAGCAGCAGCAGTGGCAGCAGCAGCTCCTCATCGGACAGCGAGGAGGAAAAGGAGGCTCCTGCTGCGAAGCCCCCAGCCCCCAAAGTGGGTAAGGAGCCTGCGGGCAGAGCGAGCGCACGCGTGCTGCGGCTTTGCTGCAGGTCAGGTGTGAGCCGTTTCGTCAGGGTTTTGCTTTCAGCTCGCCTGCTGGGAAGCTCGGAGCACTGCTTGCTCCTGGGGAGGCTGCAGCAACGCGAAGCAGGCAGCTCTGGAGCTCTGCTGGATGAATCCAGCATGTTTGCTTCCGCTCTGAGCAGCAGATCCTGTGCTGAGGAGTTTTTTGTGTGCATCTCTGGCAGCATCCAGCACCACAAGGCTGGAGATGAGTGCAGCATATCCGGAGGAGGTGCAGCACTAATCCTGTAGACGCTTCTGGCTTTCTAGACAGGAACTTCAGCATCTTCTCTTTTTTCTTTTAAGTCTTTAGGGAAATCTCTTTTACCGCTTTGAAGAGCGCTTGTTTTGGGGCTGAGGAATAGACTGCAGAAGCTCTGCAAATTGTCCTGCTCTTGGCTCTTTCCCAGAGGAGGTCCAGCAGGGTGTCCCTGCAGGAAGCTGTGTGTGGCTGGGCAGCTCCCCACGGGGTCAGAGTGCCCAGGAAGGGATTTCCCATCTCAGCCTGCACCTGGGGAGCGGTGTTTGTGGCTAAACATTTGTCTGCAGAAGCTGTTCCCAGCAGGCAGCTGATGCTTTTGGCAAGACTGGGCCCTCTTCCCTGCAAATCCCCTTAGCCTCTCTCTGCTGCTTGATTTGTTTTTCTGACTTCAAAAGCCGCATTAGCATCGTGCTCAGGGAGCTCGGCGCGGGCAGCAGCTGTAACAACTCCTTTCTTCTGATGCAGAACCGAAGCAGGCAGCTGGGGCCGCAGAGAGCAGCAGCAGCAGTGAGGAATCAAGCAGTGAGACATCTGAGGAGGAGGAGCTTGCCACTCCAGCAGTCCAGGTAACCTCTCCAACCCAGGGTCCTTGTGCCTAGGAAATCATTTGCTTTCCCTTGAAGGGGAGAGAAGATGCTGCAGAGCTGTAGTCTGAGAACATCTCTTCCCCGGGGTGCGTGAAATGCCCAAATCTAAGCCCATAGAAACGTGCTGTGTGGCTGGGAGCTGCGCTAGCCTCTGCCAGCAGCAACCACTCCGTTCCAGTTCCTCCCAGTGCCTGGAGTGGGGGGGAGACCCTTTGATCTGTAGGAGGCGATTAAGCACAACTCCATAGATGTGACACTCAGGAGGAAGGCAGACAGGGCAGGCAGTCTTTTAGAAGAAGCAGCTTGGCTCAGCTGCTCCACAGCCTTTGAGCCTGAACAAGCTTTTCCTGCTCAAACTCAATACGGAGGCCTCGCATAAAACAGATTCCACGTAGCTGCAGCTCTCATCCAGTTTCTTCTCCCCCGAACCTGTAAGATGTTACCTGCTTCTCCTGTTCTTCCCGTTCCCAGGCAAAGCCAGCTATGAAAGCAGCGCAGGTTAACGCAACGCCTGTGAAAAGCCCACCTGCTGCTGCAGCGCCCGCCAAGAAGAGCGCAGCGAGGCCAACAGCAGTGCCACCGAGCCAGGCCAAGCCCACCCCAACGACGCTTCCTGGGGCCGTGAAGCCTGAGGACAGCTCGGAGAGCAGCGACTCCTCAGACAGCGAAGAGGAGAAACCTCCAGCAGGACCCCAAGTGCGTCTCTCCGAGGCTCTCTCCGTGTTTGCCTCGCCGAGGCTGGGAGTTGCAGCGGGAGGAGGATTTTGTGAACGGATCTCGTGTATAGCAAAGTCATCTCGGGGGTGGGAGGGAAGAGGCGTGAGGGGGAAGGGTGTTTAAAGGCACCTGAATGTCTTTGAGCTTTAATCAAACCTTTAAAAAATAACAAAATCCACCAGTCCTTTTGAATTTAAAAAAATATATATATATATATCTATGTATATATACACTCAGCAGTTCTTTTCCCATCTGAAGAGGCAAGTTGTCATGGTTGGATTTGCCTCTCAGCTATAAATTGCAATAAATAGCATCTAATTTGGCAAACCGTCGTGCAGCTTAGCTTCCCTCCTGTGGAGAGTGCTGCTCCTTTACCTCACTGGAGGTGACTGTAGTACCAGAAGGCCGATGAGAAGTGTCTGGTCTTATTTTCTCATCTTGGGAAAGTATCCCCAGCCAGCTGGTTGAAAGGATGCCTCGTCTTTCCTGCCAGTTGCTAATCTGTCAGCATTTGCCTTTCCCAGGGGGCTCTGAAATCTTGCCTTGATTACGGTCTGAGGAAATGAATTATGCTAATATGGGATTTGCCTTCTTTCACACTGCTCTTGTCTTCTCCAGACGAAGCCACCTCCAAAACCCTCCCAGGCCATCCCACCCCCAGTGAAAACCACACCAGCAGCATCGCTCGCCAGCAAAGCAGCTCCAGCAAAACCCCTTCCGCTGTCCCAGGGGAAGCCAGCCCCAAAACCAGCAGTGCCAAAGCAGGCTAAAACCCTGCCGGGAAGGACTGCTGCTCCCGCAAAGCCTGCTGAAAGCATAAAGCCGGAGGAGAGCACTGACTCCTCGAGCAGCGAAGAGGAGGATCTGCCTGTGCCTGTCAGCCAGAAGGTGGGTGGTACTGCAGGCAGCTCGGTCCCGAGCTTTGGGGTGTGCAAAGCCACTGGGTGCTACCACTGATCGGGTCGGGTCGATGGCTGGATGTGATGATCTCACAGGCCTTTTCCATCTTAACTGCTTTGTGATTCTGTGCTCCTGAGGGTTCTCCAGATCTTTCCTGAGGGGGAAGTTGCAAAAGCTGTTGGAAAATGCAGCAAGCAAGCTCAGCTGAGGACTGGTATCCCAGCAGCAGGAGAATCTGTGTGAGGGGAAGAGAAGCCAAGTGCTTCTCGCCAACCAGTCTGATATCAACTGGTTCGTTCCTCTTGTGCCTTGCCCCTCTGAAATGGGCCTTCTGTGAGGGGTCATCAGTGCCGTGGTCTTGGCTCTCCTGCAGAGGCTTGTTTTGATTCCTCTCTCTTTTGTTGGACCACCAAATCCCTTTGTGAAAGCATCCTCAGCTGTAAGAGCATCCTCAGGTCCATTGTGGGGTGACCTGCACTGCCTGCCAGCAGCAGGGCCTTTTGGAAAGTGCTCTGAGAGCAGCGTTTTGGAAATGGCAGCTATTATCTGCCGGGGAGGAAGGGAACCTGGGGGCAGAGCCTCACGTGTCCTTGCAGGGAGGCTCTTTGTCAACACATCCTTACAGTACTGACAGGCAGGAGCCAGAGAGGCTCCGCGTTTTTTGTCTTCCTAGCCTTGGTCTGCCGAGGTGGGTGGAGGGGGACGCATCTCGAACAGTTGGCTCCGTGCTGCTCTCTTCCTGCGTGATTACATGTGAAAATTCAGCTCGGGGTGGCAGGTGCAGCTATTCTGCTAGCTGGACCGGGGGGGCTCATTCTAAATCTCTTGAGGCTCGTCCATCCTAGCAGGGCTGTAGGTGAGGAGCTGTAGGTTGGTTTTTCCCCCAGTGCTGATTTGAAGCTGGCAGCAGCAGGTGGCTGTCTTGCAAGGGTTATTTAACCACGTGGGCATCTTCCCTCCTGCAGAGGGCTCTTACCCCTCACCAGATGCAGTCAGCGAGGAAGACCTGGTCACTAGGGGAGCTCTTATTTTTACCAAACTGGCCTTTTCTTCCCGTGTTAGCAGCCTGCAGGCAGAGACCTCAAGCGAAGGCTGAAGATTAAACCATTAGCTTAGCTGTGTCCACGGTCCTGTCCTCCCAGTCAAACTCTTCTTAGCTCATCCTCACCATCTGCTACTTGGGCATATGCTAACCACTGACTTACTGCATCCTGCAACTTCCTCTGGCTCCTGTGCAAGATCCAAACAGATACAGAGCGTTGGAAGCTGCTTCGTCTTTCCCTGTGGGGGTGGATTAGCACAATTAAAATGAACATCATGCCTAAATTGAACTGCTTAATTGGTATGTTTACCCCTGAAGACTCAGAGAAGTTGACAAGGTGTTTGCATATTTTTGGGGAGGAGGCTGTTGGAGGGGGACAGCGCAGAATGACCTTAACGATGCTATGAGCGGCCTTTCTTCTGGAAATGTTAGCTCTGCTCTGCTTCCCCTCTTCTGGACGTGGTGAGCCACAGTTGGCACTCAGGCCCTCCATGGACAGGCTTCTGTTTCAGCTCAGCAGGACTGGGCGCAAGATGCACGCATTGGGAACCTCTGTCATCCTCCAGCATCCCAGGAGACCCCTGGGCCATGCTGGTAGTTGTGCCTGCAACTTTTTGTCTTGGACCAGAGGGAGAGAGCCAAATCTCCGGTGAGACAGTCCCTGCCTCTCTCCTGACTCCTGCTGCTGCTCCTTGCAGGTGGCAGTGACACGTTGTGACACGGCTGAGCTGCTGGCCCCAGCCCTGATTCCCTGGCAGTGTTTCCCCCTGCACGGGCAGCCACAGAGTGTGATCCCTACAGAGTGTGATCCCTACGTGGCCTGGCGTCGCTGTCCCCTCCTGCCATGCAGCGCTGCATGATGCCAACGGCCCCGGGTGGCAGATGGGTTGTGCAGGAGCTGAGTCATCACTTGTACCGAGCTGCAGGCAGCTCCTGCCTCGGGGGCTGCAGAGGGAGCAGGAAGGATGATTTCCTCTCCAGTTATTTTCCTCTTCTCAGAGTTACTCCAGTACCTGTGATTCGAAGCTGTCACAACCCCCCCCCTCCTCTGTCACCCTGTTCTCAGGGTGGAGTTGAAGCCACGCTGCTGGCCCGATCCCGTCTGGAGCCTCGCCATGGGAAGTGGCAGCTGCCTGGCAGGGACCGAGATGAGGTGGATGGAGGGACCTTGGACTCCCTCCAGGAAGATCTGAGGAGTCCCGAGGCTGTAGAAAAGCTCAGGGTGGTTTCTCTGTGTATGCTGTGCTGCTCTTTCTGTGCCAGCATGCTTCTGCACAGCTCTTCTGTAGCTTTTCTCCAATCTCTTAAGTTAGACAAGCAAGCAGTCCTCATGCCATGCAGCCAAGGAGAAGGATAACCCAGTCCTGATGCTGTGAAGGTCTTAAAAGTGAGTTAGTGGGGCTGGATCTTGGGAGATTTTCCCCTTGCACTGCTTGGGAAGGAGAGGGAGAGGAGCTTGTGCATTTGAGTGGACCATTTGAAGTCTCATTTCTGCTTCAACTAGCTCTCTTTCTTCAGCGTTGCAAATCTGGCCTCTCTCCTGGAGATAGTGACTCACTGGTATCAAAACAAAACAGCCGAGCGAGGTTTGCAGCCCCCCCCCCTCCCCAAGTGCTCGTGGAGGTTTCTGTTTCTCTAAGCAGAGTCAAAATGTGCTTGGCTTGCTCCGCGGGCTGTTCCGTAATGGGATAAACATGCAGATGCTGTTGTCTGTTTGGCGTTTGGCTGGGGGATGATAAACACTGCCCCGGTGGCAGTCCTCGGTGGGGCTGTGCCAGGCAGCATGATAAGATCTGGCCTCCCGGGAGGCTGCTGGGCTGCTGGCCAGGACCAGCCCTCGGATGGACCACGGCTGTCGGGGGGCTTCTGGCCCTCTGCTGCGGGGCTGAGAGCAGGCGTGGGCTCTGCAGCACCACGGGATTGGGAAATAGGGGTGGCAGGGGCCGTGTGGCAGGGCAGGAATCCGTCCTCACCATCTTGCAGCAGCTCCTGGGCCCTCAGATGGCACCGAAGCCGGCTGCTGTCACGTGCGGGGTGGGATGGGGCCTGCCCGCCCTGGCAGAACAGCCCGGAGCTGAGCGATGAGTGGAGTAAACTGAGTGGGCGCAGAGCGCTGCCAGCCTGCAGCATTTCTGCGCCTGGTGCAGCTTCCAGCTCTCACAGGGAGCATTCTCTCTCCCTCTGCTGCTGCTGGCCTTCAGCGGGGTGCAGGAGAGAGGTCTGCGGCCCTCTACCCAAACTGGGAGAGGGGCTGGGAAGTGAGCAGCTCCCCCAGTTCACCCCCAGTTGTGTGCCTGGCACTGCCGTAGCTGTGACTGCCTCGTGCTGACGCACTGGCTGCTTGGGAACCACCTCGCGGCCCGTCCCGGGGCATCTGGGTGTGGATGGAGCTGTGCAAGGCACATCCTTAAACAACATAGAAATCCCGTTAGGATTTTTAGGTTCTGCTAAAGGCAGTGACTGAAGCCACTTCCAGTCGTGGCACTCCTGAGGATGGAGTGGGTGTTGGTCACAGCTGTTAGGGTTAGACAAAACCCTGCTGGAGCTGAAACTGCACTTAAACCCCTCAACAATGCCTTTACTGACACCGTTTTTCTTTCCCTGTGTTTCTTTTTGGTTAAGAGGTTAACAGAACAGCCTGGGCCCGTTCCCAACCTGAGCCAGGCGAAAGCCGGGGTGCCCGAGAAGGCAGCGGGAAGCACTTTGAAAAGCCCAACCTCAGAGAGCGGGAGCAGCGACTCGTCTGACAGCGAGGAGGAGTCCCCGGTGGCACAGCCGCAGCCTCCGCAGGCTGGTGAGTCTCTGGTAGTGGCCGGGATCCCTCACATCCATCTCTGTGCTTTCCTCTTCTGCCCTGCACGTGGAGCTGCCCAACCTGTCAGTGAGAGCAACCTCTGCTTGTGCTGACGATCTGTTTTTCTTCCCCCTGCAGCAAAAACCAACGCCGTGCCCCAGCCAACGAGTGTGAGGAAGGCCCCAGCTCCCACGCCAGCCCCGCTGCCAGCCCCAGCCCCTCCTCCTGTGGACAGCAGCGATGATTCCAGCGAGGAGTCGGACTCGGATGAGGAAGTGGTTCCCCCCACGCAGGTAAAGAGCTGCCGACCTGCCCGGTGGGGGCTCTTGGGAGGTAGCACAGGAGGCAGCAGTTGGGTGGGTGACAGGGAACCTCCTGTCAGCTGGAGGAGGGTTTCTTGGCAGTACCCCCGGGTCTCAGTGACCCCTTCTCTGCGTGCACGTGTCAGCAAGCTTGCTGCTGTCTGTGAGAGCGGCGGAGGGTGTGAATATTTTGGCAGGAAGGTGACTGGTTGTGCAAGCCTCAGCCTAGGCCTCCTCTGTCCCCTTGGCCCTACTTGAGGGAGTTAAGCACGCTGGAAAAGAAGTCAAAAATCTCTCAGGCGGAATTTTCCATGGGCAGGGGAGCTCTGAGACAACCCACCTGCTGGTTCCTCCAACAGCTGGAGCTCTCTGGACTCCTGCTGACCAAGCCTCGGGAGGCTGGAAGGAGCTCTCCTGAAGTGGCACGGCAGTTGTGCTGCCCTGCAGCCAGAGGAGGAGGCAGACCACTACTTTAGAGTGGAGGTGACCCCGTATCCGTTCAGAAGACACTCCTGAGTGGGTGTGGAGCTGATCCCAGCTTTGTAATTCGGTCTAGGGCCTGAGCTCCCTCTGCATGAAGCCAGTTTGTGTGTCCCTGCAGCTCTGCTGTAGCTTGAGCCCAAGAAAAAAGCACAAGAAAGCCTTGACTGAGGAGCGTGGCTGCCAATCCTACATGGTGGGGGCTTGGCTGCTCTGCAGGGGCTGGTGCCACAAGCCAAGTGCACTTCTTGTCCTGCACACGTCTGCACACGCGTCCCCTTTCTGGCCAGTACCCTTGCTGGGAGAGAGGGATTACGTGCGTTGAAGGAAACCCTTCCCCGTGTTGGCCCAGCTCTAGGACCAATGGAAAGGCTGCCTCTTCCTCAGCTGGTGGGAAGGCAGCCAGCCTAAAAAGTCCTTGCTTAAAGCTTGTTTAAAATACCAAGACTATAAACTAACGCAGTTGCTATAACTCGAGTTCTGTGCAGGACGGCGGAGAGCTCGCGTCAGGTTGGCGGCTCTCCGTTTTGTGGAGCGCTGCCTGCCTTCCTGAAGGCCAGATGTTGCGTGAGAAATGTCAGCCCACCAAGGCCCAGCTCCTCAGAGATGAGGAGGGCTGCTCGCTAAGCCTCGTTCGTAACACGGAGCAGGAGTCTGAGCGCTCCCTCGTTGTTCCTGCTCCCTCCTCTGCTGGCATTTGTGTCAGTGTCTGAGTTCTGTGCCCCTGGCTCTTCTATTTTTAACCCCTCTTACGTTTAGTTGGCTCCAAGTGTGAGGAAACACAACTGCTTCTTGTTAATTTGCTCTCTAATCCGTGGCTTGTTTGAGGACCCGAAGGCACGTTTGCCCTGTAGTTGGTGTCCTTGCTTTGTGTCTGTAGCCAGCTAACCCTTAACGTGTGATAGTAAAGGGAAAAAAATCTGAGCATTAGGGCTGTGCTGAAGATGATGGAAGGGCTCAGGAGCTAGCGGTGGATTGCTGTGTGTTTCTCTTTTTCCCTCCGAGTAACGCTCTGTCCTGATTTTCTCTCCCATCTATTTCAGAGCCTGTCCCAGCAGAACATCAGACCAAGCACGGCTTCCAGCACAGCGGCTGCCAAGGCTGTTGCCCCGTCCCCTTCTGGGAAGGGGACAAAAACGCCTGCTGTCCCTCCGCTGTGCAGGGTGCCTGAGAGCTCGGGGAGCAGCACGGTGGTGGGAGAGGTAACGGCAGGGGAGATGAATGTGGGGAGCTCCCCTGGGGAGAGGTGGGCGGATGGGGTGGGTGTGCTGGAGCCTGAGGCTGGAGCCACGTCCCCTGCTGTGGGAGCTTGTTCGGGGAGGAGATGGGGGAGCAGGGACTGCTCTATTTTTCAACCACTGTTATCACACTGGAAGGAGTTGGGATCTGTCTGCTTGGCCACAGCTCCCTGCTTCATCTGTGAGTCTGGGCGAAATGGGGTTCTCTGCGCCCTGCATGAGAGCTTTTGGGCTCTCTTTGATGTGATGTGGAACTGAAGGAGGGCTGAGGTGGTCCGAGCCCAGCTGCTCTGGGCTGCTTCGTGCAGCTCCCTGGCAATGCATTCCATCTTCCTCTCCTTAGGCCCTTCCTCCTCCTTGCCTAAAGCAGACGGCCTCCCCAGGGAAAGCTCCTGCAGCCAACGCTGCTGCCCCCCAGCCTCCTCCAGTGCTGAGGAGCCCCACGGACAAGTCAAAGAAGCCAGGCCCGCAGCCAGCACAGGACTCCAGGCTGAGCCAGGCTGTGCCCCCCAGCCAGCCAGAGGAGAGCTCGGACAGCAGCAGCTCCTCCGACAGCGAGGAGGAGACGCCCAAGCAGCCCCCTAAACCCGGTCAGTTCTCCCAGGGTGATGCTCTCAGTGCTGCTGGGCAGGCTGGGGTGGGACAGGTGGGAGGTGTCACCTTCATGTCACAGCTGGAGCGCAGTTTCTTTCTCTCCAGCTGTGCCGAGTGCTCCCCTTTAGAGGCAGAAGCCTCTTGGTGGCAGTCCCCGTGTACCGGGTAACTGAACTCAGCCCCACGTGGCAGGGGAAGGTTTAATGGGATGAATTCTGCTCCTCCAGCAGGCGTGCTGCAGAAAGCAGGAGGGACTGAGCCAGGCCACAGCTCTTCCTCAGACTCCAGCGAGGAAGAGGAGGCAGTGTCACAGGTACGGGCGGGCTGGGGTCCTCTCCTGTCTCACCACTGACTCCTGGGTGGAAGGGAAAGGGCTGAGTGAGTTCTCAGCCAGAGCAAATGGGTGCTGAGTGGGTTTGCCAGCAGGGGAGTGGGGGCTCCCTGGTGCAGCGCTGTGAGTAAGGCCGTTTGATGTGGGAAGAAGCAGCTCTCTGAATCTGGAATGCTTCCCCGGGCAGCCAGGCCTCGTGCTGAGGGCTCGTGGCACCTTCCCCTGCCGGAGGGGATGGAGGAGGTGGTGCCGTGCAAGGGTTAAAACAGAAGAGCTGGCGCGCGGTGCCAATAGCTGCAGGATTTTTCCCCCCTTTTATTTGTAACTTAACCCGTGTCCAAGCCATTAAATTCTCTTTGTAAGTAACGTGCAGGGCGTGCAGCACATCTGCAGTGCATTAGCTGTGCGTGGGTGCCCGCTAATGGCCAGGAGCCTCCCCCGTGGCTGCTTTGCTGGGCGAGAACAAAGGAAAAGACCCTGTCACTGTCAGCTCTGGCTGCTGCAGCCTCAGACAGGGTCTGGCAGTGCTGCCCCCTCTCCTGGCAGCCCGGCCTTGCCGTGGCCTCTCCGCAGGGCTGGCTGAACCGTGTAGGATGGCTCTGCAGGTGGCCAAAGGGGGCTCTTTGCTTGGGGTGCGGGGGCAGTAGCAGAAAAGGCAGGTGTGTGTGCGCGGTGGGAGGGAGGCTGCCCTGCTACGGCTCCTCCTCAGCGTGTCTGTGCTGTTTCAGTCCCTCCTCGCAGGCTATCCGGGCCCCTCCAGCACCCCAGCAGCACCTCAGGCACCAAAGACAGCTCCCCCCCAGCCTGTGAGCAAAGCAGGGCAACGAAAAGCAGCCGTGCCTGCCGCTAATTCCCTCGCCAAGGTCCCTGTGAGAGCAGCCCCAGCTGACAGCGACAGCAGCGACTCGGAAACAGACGTGGAGCAGGTGTCTGCAAACCACAGAGCAGGTGGGTCCCTTGGCAGAGCCCGGAATCTGCTTGGCCCGGGAGCAAAGCTGTGCTGGCACGGCCGTGTGACACTGGGACAGGGGCCTGCTCCCATTGCAGCTCTGCTGCAGAGCGCAGCGTGGAGTGCTGCTGCCGTCTGCTGGCTCTCCCTGGCCACGGCGCTGTCAGATCCTCCCCGAGCTCCCCTCCTGCGCTGGCTGCGTCGCGAGAGCGTGCTCTGTGCTCCTGCTGCTCTGTGTCCCTGCCTTTTCCAAGCTCTGCTTTGACTGTGGTAATTAAAGCAGGAAGCAGGCAGGGCTCTCGCTGAAAACTTAAGTGCATTGCTGTGCTGTGCTGGGGAGGGCTTGTAGGGAAAGTTCAAACGCTGCCTGGAGAACATCCCTGCAGTGCCAGCACCCCTGGGGTCTTTCTGGGCGCTGTTCCTGGAGGGCAGAGGAGGTAAGCGAGCAGGAAGACCTACAGAGAAGCAAAACATCGTGCCATTTTCCCTGCCTCCCAGTTTGGTTTGCTGCACCCCTTCCACCTCGGGGAGGCCCCGACTGGCTGGCTGCGGTGTTCTGGGGCGGAGCGCTCTGTGCTCACCCTTCTGCTGCTGCTGTTCCCCCTGCCCTGGTCCCCCTTCTCCTGGGATGTGGCCAGGATGTTGGGGCTGTTGTTACCCACTTCCCAAAAATCTGATGGCAGGCTAAGGCATCTTTCTCCAGCCTTTTGGTAAGGGATGGCCAGCAGATCGGTGCTTTTGGGGAAAGAACTGGGTATTCCTCCTCAAATGCACGTTTCCCTTCTCTGCTGACTGCATTCTGTGTGATGAATGCTCCCAAAGTTATCTCTCTCTCATCACTGTTCCTGCAGAAACCAACCCCCCTCCAGGACAGGAAGCCCCAGGAGCCTCCAACAAAGAGAAGGCGGCAGGAAAAATGGAGCCAGGTTATACCAACCTCAAACCTTCCCCGGTCAAGAAAGCCCTGGCTGTGAAAGAGAACGATGTCGGGGCAAAAGGGACGCCTGTGACCCCCGTGCCAGGCACGCTGCTCTCCGTCCCACAGGCAGAGGATTCGAGCTCGGGGAGCGAAAGTGACACCGTAGCTGCCAAAATTCCAGCACTGCAAACGTTGGGAGGGCGGGAAGAGAAAAAGAAGAAGAAAAAGGAGAAAAAGGAAAAAAAGGAAAAAAAGGAAAAGAAGAAAGCTTCCTCTGCAGCAGGCAAGGCTGTGAAAACATCGAAGAGCAAAGACAAAGAGAACAAGAAGCAGAAAGCGTCGCAGAAGCGGAAACTGCCAGGAGATGAAGGGGCCATTGGGCAGCCTAAGGAAAAGAAGCGGAAAGAACAAGCTAATGAAGAAGTACCCAAAAAGAAGAAGAAGAAAGCTGATGACCTGGGGAAGCAGACAGGCAGCAAGGAGAAGAAAAAAACAAGTAAAAGTGAGTACCTGTATGCTGTCGCCTGGGGCTGCATTTGCAGCATGGTTTGTGCAGCTGTTGAGTGTTCAGCCTCTGGTGCAGGACCTTGTAAGCAGCACCCACCTTGTTACTAGCTTCATCTGCTTCCCTCCTGCCCCCCCAAAGCCAATGCCAGGTCCCTCACTCCCCAGTCCACTGCATTTTCTGCACTTTTGGCACCGGGTCACGTTGCAGGGAGCAAGCTGGGCACTCCTGTCCTGCATCCAGCCTGGTAGGCACTACAGCAGGTCCTTACTGATCCTTGCAGGGCGAGCTGATGTCCCAGTGTGTCTTCTGGGGCATGACCTGTCCCACCAGGGCGTTTTCCTTTCCTGGCCTTTACCAGGGCTGGCAGAAGTTGGAATCAAGCCTGCGCTGAACCTCCTGAGGCCTCTCTGCCTCCACCTGCAGCCCACCGGGCTCGGGGAGAGTTCTCACCAGGTGTAAGCCACCAGACCTCGAAGCTGTTCTCTGCCTGCTCTGCCAGCGATGCAGAACAGCTCTGATTCACCAGCCCCGGCCCCTCTGACGTGCACTGAGAGTGAAGGGGAACCGTGGCAGGTTGCTGTTACCTCCCGAGGGACTGACTTGCTCCGAGCAGGGCAGAGGAAGCCCGCTGCCTGTATGCACGGGGCTCTGTGTTGGAGCTGCCTAAAAGCGAGTGGCTCAACCAGATCTGTCTCGGCGTTGTTTCTTCTGCTTTCAAACCCTTGGAGAAAGGGGAAGAAGGCAGCAGCCTCCTGCTTATTACTCCCAGTTAAGCATTTCCTGCCTCTCCTGCCTGTGTCTCTGATGCAGTTTGCTGCCCTAATGCAGTGACCTTTTTTTCTTTCCCATTGCAGTACAGCCTGCATTTGCAAATCCTAGCTGGTTCGGTGCTAGCTGCTGCGGGCTGCTTCCTTCCTTATGAGAGACAGAGAGAGAAGATGGAAGGGGTGGGCCAGATCTAGGGTTCCTGCTCTGTTCTCCTTCCTTTTGGAGGAGGCAGACCTGTCCGTCAGCCCTCGTGGAGGTGCACAGAGGTGCCCTGCAGCCTCTTGGCTGTGCTGAGCTGTGTCCATCTGCTGGTAGCTCCCTGTGCTCTGCTTTCTGGCACGTGCCCAGCATCCAGAGCTGAGTAGTTCCTCAGCAGCAGGAGGTGGGAAGAGAGAGGCAGCCTGCTGAATTCTGCGTGGTGGGATTAAAGTACCCTGGCCCAAGGGTATTGGGGAAACAGGCCTGAGCTCTGCCCTCACCCTGAGGTGCTGCTGGGGTTTGGATGTGACCAGAAACACACCAGGGATGTCCCCCTCCCAGCAGAGAGCTCCCGCCGTTCCGTGTCCCCTCTTGGAGGTCTCAGCTGACTTTTGTTTCCCTCTCCCAGAAAAAAAGAGTGGGAAAGAAAAGAAGAGCAAAAAGGGGTCTGCAGAAGGGGAGCTGCCAGCAGACGGCTCTGCTGACGTTCAGAAGAAGAAGAAGAAGAAGGTAGGTGCGACGCCCAGGCTGGGGCAGTGTGGGGCAGAGCTGCTCTGAGGAGGGCTTGTGATGCTCCTGCCTGCCGTGCGTGAGGCTGGAGAGGAGCAGAGCCATGTCCTGGCCTCCTGTCGGTACAGGGGGGGCTGCAGTTAACTTGTGGGTACTCCTGAGACACAAAACCTGATCCCTGGTTGTGTGGGATGGGGGTGGCTTGGGGAAGGGCTTTGTCCTGTATCAGTTCTCCAGGGGAGACCCCTTCCCTTGGAAGGGTAAAACCCAGGAGCCCTTTTGTCTTCAAAGAACCTGCCCAAAGAGCAAGAGGCCTTCCTTCGCTGCCTCTTCAACTAGGTGTTTTCAGCAGAAAGGGGAACTCCCGGGGGCTTTTGGGGCCGTTCCATCCCATCCCAAGGGCTAGGAGAGGGGGCAGAGGGAGGCAAAGGGGTGTTCCTTGTTCCAGCCGTGTCCCTGTAGAGCTGTGAGCTGAGGATTTTGGCTCATGGCTCTGCCTGGCCCTTTATTTGTGGTGCAGGCGGTACTGATTTGTCTCCCACCCTTTCCTTTTTTCAGAAGAAGAAAACATCCGAGCCTGAAGGCATGTTGTGAGAAGGTACATGGCCCGGGGGAGCTCTCAGTCGGTCCCTCTGAGCGGCGGTAACCTTGGCCAAATTCAGTCCTCCTGGGCCAGCCTTGGGAAGACAGTGTGCCCCCTGAGCACCCTCTGTGAGCCCAGCCGGCCCTATGCTAGAGAGCCAGGGAGCGGAGCAGTGTCAGGAAAGCCACGTAGAAGTGTGCTGGCCTCTGGATGTGCTTGACCTCGTCTCTAGCTGCTGAGAACTAAGCGGACGTCCAGCCGAGGCGTTGCTGTCCCCTGTCACCAGCCTCGCGGCGTCCGCGCTGACCACAGGGAGCTTGGCAGAGCGATGCGGATCAGCTGGCGAAGCTCTGGCCGGCTGGAAGTGGACCAGATGGATCTGCCCTGGCTCTGCTCAGCTGTAAGGCTGTTCCTCTCCTTCCCCATCCCTAACTCTTTTAAATCCTCTCCCCAAAGGTACCGCGGCCCTGTGATTAAGGATTTATGGGTGAAGATCAAACAGAAGAGCGGACAGGAAGCTCATCAGGAGAATTCCGACTTTTTTTTTTTAAACAATAATTTATAACTTCTTTTAACTGTGACTTTTAGAGCAGAGCAGTGTAACTTTCTGCCTCCTCCTGTCCTGCTGGGGCCCAGAGCTGCATTTATTGCCCTCCCCAGCTGCACCAGAACTGCTCCGAGGGAGGCAGTTTGACCAGAGAAGACCCAGCTCGCGTAGGCTGCTTCCCTCCTGGTTGACACCCGGCCATCTCTTTCTCCTCACAGAGCTCTATTTTTAAGAGAAGAAACTTTTACTCTCTCTTTTTCCCTTCCATGACTCGTGGTGTCAGTCCTTTTGCTGCCCATGGAAGAGAGCTGTTTCGGTTTAGTTTTTATTCTAACCCTGCTGGGAATGGTTATCGTATCCCGGGAGTTGCACTGAGCAGCTGCTTCCAGCAGCTGTTCTCAGCCAAGGCTGCATATGTATATTTTTTTCCTTTTTTTATGGAATACAAAATAAAAGGAACGGTCAGACTTGGCTTCAGGTGTGTCTGAGGGAAGAGGTGCGAGGAGCCCTTTGGTGGGGGGGCAACCCTGTGGGGTTTTGGAGGTGGGGAAGGAGGGACCAGCCCCCTCCTGCTCCTTCCCAGGCTGTGCAGCCTGGCTGTGTGCTGGCTGCCACCCTCAGCACGTGTGAGGCGTGGGCACAGCAGGGAGCTCTCCTTGCACCCCCCTTAACCCCTCCCAACTGCCTTTGAAGGTGATTTCAGCCCCCAGAGCTGGGCAGGGGCCACTGGACAAGTGGGGTAAGGAACGTGCTGTGTACCAGTGTGCCCGCAGGGGCCCTGCAGTTTTCTTTTCCTGAAGTCTTCGTTAGGGCAAGTACCCAGCTCTGGGGCTGCTTGCTTCTGAGGCTTTCTTATTCAAAAGTTTATTTGAAATAATTAGCTTGTGACATCGTTTATCAAGGAAGTATCAGATCGGTCAGGAAGATTAAAAGCCCCTCTGCCTCCAGGCCTGAAGTTGAAGCTGAAGGTGAGCACCTATCCCTACAAAACTGAGTATTAAAAAATAAAACACGAGAAATAGGAAGCTTTAGTAGAGCCCCTACCTACAGATTTTAGTTAAGAAGCTGGTGGAGGTGGTTTTGCTGCGTTTAATGTTTGTTCAGGCTAAGAAAGCAGGCGTTAGTGGCTCGATCTTCAGCAGGAGCAATCGCAGAGCCTGGGCTGGGGGAGAAGTGCCCTGGGGGCCAGGCACAGGGCTGGGAACCAGCTGGTGTCCTTCACACAACGCCCTCACTGCAGCTCGTACCCCACCAGCAACAGGGGAAGGGACTGGGGATCTGCTGCGGCTGAAAATGCTTCCAGCCTGCTCCACCTCCAGTTTTAGGAAACGTTTCCTCTGTAGCATTTATCCTGGGGACAGCCCCAGCCAACTCTCATCAACCCCAGGCCAGGCCCTGGAGCAGGGGAGGGTAAGTGATCACGGGGAAGGAGTGCCGGGGGTGTTTGGGAAAGCGAGGGAAGAGCAGAAAGGGGATAGAGCAAAAAAAAAAAAAACCCGAGCTGGAGTGCTGAAAGCCGTGTGGGCAGCTGCAGGTGTCCTCTTCTACTTGGCTGTTGGGAGAGAAAGAGAAGGGAGGGATCAGCACTGAACCCTCTCTGTCCCCTTCATCCCCCTGAAACCCAGCCCCGTGTCCCCATCCCCTCCCATACCCGTATCCCTGAAGCCCACCCCTTTATCTCACCTTTCTCAGCGCCCAGCTTGAGCATGTCCACCCCGGAGAAGATCATCTCGTCGGGCTCTGTCAGCGCAGCCCCTGCAGGGGGACAGCAGCAGCTCAGCGTGGAGCCCCCACGGCCTCACCCAGCACCCCGGGGGCTCGGCAGCACGGCGCAAGGGGCTTTAATTATATTTTGGGGAAGATTCATGCAATTCCTCAGCTCCCAGGGCACCAGGAGTCGAGGGGACGGGTGCCAGCCCCGTGCTCGCCCTCTCTTCTCCCTGGCTGCCTCTCCCTGACCGTGAGCTGGGCACGCTGCTCGCCCCGCCACCTACCCGAGCAGTCCAGCTCTCCCCGGGTGGCCGTGCCCTCAATCTTGGTGCCGTTTTTGTAGCAGCACCAGCAGTAGCCCGTGCCGGCGTGGCACTGCTTGGGCAGGTAGTCCCCGTTCTCATCGCACTCGGGGCGGAAGCGACCCGGATGGACACCACCGAAATTGGCCTCTGCCTGGCACTTAGTTTGCACTAGGGCAATAAAAAAAAAAAAAAACAGGAGCCGTGAGCTGCTCCCTCGGGCTCTGCTACCCCCCGGGAGCCCAAAGGGCTGCAGCAGGGGGCAGGCAGCAGGGCGAGCCCATTTGGGGAAGCAGCAGCACTCGGGAGCGTGGCCTCGCTGGGATTTCCCCAAGGAAACCCGTTTCCCCTGGTGGGAGCAAGCACCGTGACCCTGCCTCCTCATCTAGAAGCAGCTAATTAATTTTAGAGATCCGCCTCGAGCAGCTAATTAACTTCAGCGAACTCCCTGAAGCAGCTAATTAATTTTATCCCCCCCCCAGTGATCCCCCTGAAGCCCCGGGGTAACCAAACCCCGAGGGGTCCGGGCGCTGCTCTGGCTTTTCAGCCTTGCTTTTTCTCCCCAGGGGCCTCCAAAGGGAGGCTGACCGCAGGAGGAAGAGGTCAGGAGGCAGGGGACAGGGGGTGCAGCTGCCTTTGGGGTCAGCCCTAACCCCCCACAAGCTCAGGGTCCCCATCCCGGTTACCTTTCTCCGCCGGGATGGCTTTACGCTCGTCCGGCTTGGGGCTTTTGGCCATCTCGAACAGCAGCCACTTGTGCATCCAGGACTCGAAGGACTGTGGAGAGGGGAGCAGCGTTAACTGGGGGCTGCCCAGGGTCCCCAGCCCCGGTTCCAGCAGGATTTATGCTGCCCCCCCCCAGGCCATGGCAGCGAGGGAAGGGCAGGAGGACAGAGACCGGCACCGACCTTCCAGTCCGCGTCGGTCATGGTCTTCTTCAGGCTCTTGAGGTTGCCCAGCAGGCTGTCCTTCAGCTCCGGGAACATCTTCTTCGGGTCTGCCTGCTGCAGAGGGCACGCGGGGTGAGACAGAGGGAGGAGAACACGGGGACGGGGTGGGGGGAAGCCTGGCTTCCATCACCAAACCCAGGAGCTCCAGGAGCCCAAGGAAAACCCAGTCCCAGCCAGCAGAGCTCATTGTCTCATCGCCTCATCGTGGGGCTCGGTGGAGCTCCTGGGGGAGCTTACCAGCAGCAGGTGCCTGACTTGGTCCTCGGTCTTGTTGCTGGGGGGCCCCATGTCCTTCACGGGCTGGGGAAGGGAAGCAGAGGTGGGGGTGAGCACCGGGGGGGGCTCTGAGCCCCGCACAGTTTGGGGCATGTGGCCGCAGCGTGGCTTACCGTGTCGTCTAGGGAGGGGGCGAGAGGCAGGACCCTCATGGCCAGGGGGGTGTTCACCATCGACATCTTCATGTTGCCGGTGGACTTGCTGCCTGCCGAGGGGGGAACGGTGTGAGGAGCAGGGCACAGCCCCTCGCTGTCACCCCCCCGTTTTAATCCCCTGGCTCCAGGTGGTCCTAGGGCAATCCCCACACCCCCAGGGACCACCAAGCCCTCGCTGTCTCCTGCCTTTGGTGGCAGAGCAGGACCCGGTGCCTCTCCCCGTCCCCCCCCCCATCACGGCGATGCCCGGGGGGGTACTGACTCTTGGGCAGCTTGCGCTGCAACGCCTCCAGCTGCAGATTTTGGGAGGTCCTGGTCAGCTTGCTGATCTGCCCGCTCTGCTGGTACACGAAGTAGATGGTGACAGCCTGGCCGGCGATCAGCAGGGCCACCAGGATGGACAGCGTGGACAGGGCGGCTCTGCGCCCGAAGGAAGACCTGCGGGACACGAGGGGGGGGGACCCGGTTACGATCCGGTGCGCATTGCCAAATCCCTTCCCAATGCCCAATGGAGGAGCCCTGTGGTCCCCACTGTCCCCAAACCATCCCCAAATCTCACTCCGAGGAGCTCGCTCGCACCCAGACAAATGCAAACCCCCCCCGGGTGCTGCACGAGCGATTCGGCTGCGCTCGGGTGGCCGCCACGCACCGGGAACTGAAACCGTGGTGGGGACACGTGGGGGCACCCGCGGGGCTGGGGTGTCTGGGGTACAGCCCTACGTGGGGTGGTGAGGCCGCCCGAAGCCTGGCTGGTCCCAGGGGTCAGAAAACACGCCCTGATTTATTTATTAATTAGTACAAAAATTGGAGAGAGCAGAGGAGCGAAGCCCCCGCTCTCCGCAGCCTGGACGCGTGCCCGGGGTGCGGTGTTGGGATTGCACACAGAAGCCAAAAAAAAAAGCAAAAAAAGGCAGAAAATGGCTACGTGGCCTGGCCCCGAGCCCTTCTGGACCATGTCCTGCCCCAGGGAGCCGCCCGTGCCCTGCGGGGTGCAGCACCCAAGGGTGCTCCCTGCACATGTCGGGATCTGGCCCCGCTGCCAGGCTGTCTGCCTGGTGACCGATGATGTCACTGCTCCTGGATTTTTCATTGGCTGGGGGTGTTAAATTGGGGGGGCAAGGAGGTTGGGAGGGGGGGCTGGCTGGGGCATGGCGGTGGCCCCATGGGGCTGTGGGGCCATGCTGTGCCCTCGTCCGCCCTATAACCAGAGGGGAACCTGCCCGCCCTTATAACCGGGATGGGAACCTGCCCCACAGCCAGGACAGGACCCCCCCACACCCCACAGCCTGGACAGGACCCCCCCTCACCCCACAGCCACGCCGTGCCCCCCCCAAACCCCACAACCAGCACACGAAGCTCTCGGCCCCACAGCCACGCCATGCCCCCAGCCACCCTGCAGCCACGCCATGACCCCACTGCTCCACCACCACACCGTGAACCCACCCACCCCATACCCACCCCATGCCCCAATCACCCCAAAAAACCCTCCACAACCCCCCCTCGGCCCCCAATCCGCTCCCACCCCATAACCACACCACGCTGCTCCATATCCATGCCGCGACCCCTTCCACCCCATGGCCACGCCGCAGTCACCTTCGCTCAGCCTCACCCCATTTAGCCCCCCAGCGTGACCCCAACTGCCCCACAGCCCCTCTGTCCCCCCGTGCCCCCCCTCTGGGACCCCCCCAGCACCTTTGGCTGTCCCCCATGGGGACCACCCCACTGCCGCGGTCGGAGATGAGGTCCCGCTGCTCCTCGGCCATGGCTGCACCGTCGGCACCGAACCCAAACCCGATGGGGAAATGAGAACCCTGGGGGGGGCCAGGGCTGGAAATACCCCCCCAGGGCACCCCCCCACTGCCACCCCCGGCGGGGGGGGGCAGGAAAAAAAAAGCCCCATTGGCTGCTGGCACCCGCATCAGCTGTTGCCAGGCAGAGCTTTGCTCAGAAGGTCTCTGGTCCAGAGATGATGCCGGGTCCCGTCCCGTATATTGCAGCTGGGTGCAATCCCAAATATCTCGCTCCCATCCCAAATATCTCACTGCCACCACCTCGGGCATTGCCCCCAGTCCCACCACCATGCCGTGACACCCGGCACAGCACCACGGGGCTCTGGGGTCCCCAGGGGTCGGGGATGGGGTGTGGGGTACAGGGTATAGGATGGGGAAAGTAGGATGTGGGGTGCGTTGGGGAGGGCTCCCAGCCACCAAAGGGGCTGAGGGGCACTGTTTAATGAGCTGCTGGGTGTTCCCAAGCCCTCACACCCTGCCTGCGGTGGGTTTGGGGTGCCCATGAGCAGCCCCCACCCCACAGCCCCCACCCCAAAGCAAGGAAGGACGAGCAGCCCCACAAATTGTCCCCCACACACACCACAATGGGGCCGTGCAGCCCCCGTCCCTGCACAGTGCTGGTGATTTTACAGAGGGATTTTACAGCAGGAGCACGGCCCTACAGATCCACGGCCCCAGAGGTAGGACCCAGCAGGGCTGCAGGCAGGGGGAGCAGAACTGGGAACAAAATTAAAGGGGTGGCGATGAAGGTGTCACCAGTCACCGGGCAGCACTCGGCGCACGGCTCCTGCTGCATGAAGTTGTGATGCTGGGACGAGGACAAGAGGGGGTCTTTAGCAAATATTCCCATTTCCTTGACTTCTGTGCCAGCAGGGACTGCACTGAAAAAATAAAAATAAAAATCTCAGCCAGGCAGCTGAGAAATGTGGCCTGGGGAATAACCGGAGTCACCCCCAAGGACTGGGGCTCGCAGAAGCCCCCTTGCACTGGCTCCAGAGGCAGGCATTAATTAATGAAGATTAATGAAGAACCTCTGCTGCTCTGAGGGCAAACAACTCTTTAGCACGTCCGTAGAAATCAGCAACACACCCTGGGCATTCAAAAGGGAAAAAATCCCGTAAAACCACCCAGTAACACCTCCGGCCCTCCCCGCACCCAGCCCAGGGAATTTGGTTTCCTCGGCCCCTCGCTGGGTGCAGGGGGAGCGGGGCTGCGAGCCCCCAGCCCCGGGGCCGTGCCTCCACCACAGCTTTTGGCCCGAAGGGGGAAGTGGGAAGAGAGAACAGGAATTTGGAAAGCGAAAGCAGCGATTTCATGGAGCTCTGCCCCGTGCTGCGGGCCAGGAGCCACGGGGGGAGAGGGAGCAACCGAGCCCTGAGCCGGGCCTGCCCCTGGCACCGAGCCCCCCGTGGGGCTTTCAGCACTGCATCAGCCCCGGCTCTGCACGCAGGGTTTTAATTAAAAATAAAAATTAAAAAAAAAAAAAAACAAAAAAAAAAAAAAAAAACTTCTACTGTGCACACATGGCTGTGGCATTTGAAGTTTTGCAGAAGTAAGTTACCGGTTTTCCTAGGAAGATGGCGACCTTCCCTTTAGCAGCTTTCAGCCTTTTACTTACTTACTTACTCATTTATTTATTTATTTATTTATTTATTTATTTATTTTCCCCAGTGTCTCTTCCATCGCCTCAGGGCTGTGCCCGGCCCCCACCAGCGGGGTGCAGCCCCCAGCCCCACATTCCCCCCAGCCCCAGGGCCCTGTCCACCCGCAGGAGCACGCACCCGGAGCCGTCTGCCCCACGGTCCTGCCCACGGGCATCCAGAACCGGGCCGTGGACTGAGACCATCCCAAATCCCTCCCAAAACCTCCGAAAACCAGTCAGCACAGCTCTGCTTTATGCCACCTGTGAGAGCTGTGACGCTGTTACAGGGGCTGGGGAACCGGCTGTATTTTTGGGGGGCAAACCGAGCCACTTTGACATCTGGGATGAGGAGCAGTTTGGGGGCTTGGTTCCCACTTGTGTGCTGCCCCAAGGCCTTGACCCAGGCCTCACAGCCTTTATTTCAGACATGTTGGTGGAAATATCCCCAGGGACGCTCCCCTGACAGGGCTTGGTTCTGACAGTAGGCACAGAGCCGGGGGCTCTCACAGGGCCCTGGGAGCCACCAGCGAACACAAACCCATCGCTGCCACGTGCCTGCCACCTCTCGGCTCTGTTTTTGGGGGTATTTTTACAGGACTGGCGGATTCACACATGACTGCACGAGATAAACCAGCTCTACAGGGGCAGGAAGGGGCACAAAGCACATGAGGCCTTTCCAGGAGGCCCCGCTGGGCCCCGGGCCCTGTGCTCCCACCGCAGGCCGGCTCTCCCCTTTCTCTTCCTCATTTGCTGTTTTCTCTTCTGGGGGACTTCACGCTGCTGCGGGAGGTTGTTCCGAAGACGTCAGATCAGCTGAAAAAATAAAACATTTTGCCATTAAGCGCCCAGCCCACGCACTGTGCTCGGCGCAGCAGGAGCCCCTGGCTCACCGAGGAAGGGCTCAGCGGCTGCTCGAGCAACTGGTGGAGAAAAAAGAGGCATGAATTGGGGTTACAGCCCCCGGTCCTGTGGGGACACAACCCTGCGGCCAGCCCTGACCCTCCTGCGTGGGAGGGCTCAGCCAGGCAGACCCAAAGCTGCTCTCAGAGCACACCTTCCCTTTTCTCTGAGCTCCCCGCATGGCGGCTGTGCTTCCCAGAGCTTTCCCCAAACACCCACCTCCCGAAGCAGCCCGATTAACATCACCATGGACAGAGTAACACCAAAACAACAAGGTTTAACTGTATTTAGGATTATTTTTTGTAATAACGATCGCACAGAGTGCAGCTGTGGTGCCACGCAGCTCCCTGCTCTCGCACAGCTCTGCCCCGTCCCCTCAGCACCAGGCTACATTCAGCTCCGTGCTGCCTGAACAAACCACTGCTGGCTTCATTTTTTTCAGCATTTTCTCCACACAAAGTTCAAAGAACACTTAGAGTACAGGAAAATGGCTATTTAAACTGCAATAATGCACTTTTAAGGCAGAAGGGAAAGTTTATTTCTAAAGTTTTCCACAGCCGCGTATAAAATTACAAACAAAACACCCCGGCTATGCCAAGAGAAATGCTGGCTTAGGAACATGGGCCCAGGCAGAGATTTTTTTTTCCACACAAACGGGAAGTCATGTATTAAGCAACAGCTTGCAGAAAACCCACCGCTCGTTAGCTCGCTGACAAGCGTAGCTTTCTTTTCCACAGCAGGGACACCTCGAAGAGATCGTGACTAACTCCGAAACCACAAGCATCCAAGCTTTTTTAACTACAGAAAGTGAGGCGCGCCACGGCTTCAGATCAGTCTCATTTCCTCCACCGACTTACATCCCCTTTTACTGCGAGAGCTGGGGAGCTGAAAACGGAGCTCAGCAGGAGCAATGTGCCCTGGATCTCGTTTGGGGTAAGCGGCCTCACTGGAACAGAGCCTGTGTTGAAAGCAGAGCGCCTCCGACAAAGCTGCTGGTCAAGGTATCCTTTCTGGTAACGAGGGAGGTGGGTGGGTGAAGGAATCCTGTGATGTATTTTAAGATACAAAGGTGTGGGAAAGCCTGCAGGAAAGGAGTGAAGTTCTCAGACACGAGGATCTTGAGCCAGATGGTGTCCAAGGGCCCAGGATCTCAAGACACTGCCTTCCAGCTTCATTTGTAGGCCACACAGCATCATTTATACAATGATTTATATTTGCCGTGGAACTGTGCTAAAAATTCTGTTTTCATCAATCCTGATTAAGACACAGCTACGATCACTTAAACCTGACTGCAAGCATTCCTGGACAACTGTTTTAGAAGTGCTCGCTCATTGCCAAGACAGACTCCCACTGCAGAGCATGGAATTGCAGCTGAGAAGCACCACAGGCTGTACCTGCCTCTGAAATAAGCTGCCTGCTGCGTGTTGCCCTACACTCCCACAGGACAGCACAAGACTGACCCACGTCACCGCAGGCACTGTGCGGTATTAGGGCTGTAGTCACCATCTCACAGGAGGAATTCTGATAATTTCATCTCCTGAAAGGCAGAAGCCACTATTTTAACCATCAGCTTGACACCGTGAGCATACAGGAACTCAGCCATCTTAAACTGTACTTCTCCCTATGCCCACACATCTTCCCTTGGTCTGAATCTTTCTATAGCCAAGGAAGTGACAAAAACAAGTAATTTAAAAGCTTGGAGAGCTGCGAAGAGAATATTTTAAGAGGTGGAAACGGGCATTTATTCCACGTGATGGCAGCACGTTCAGTGTAAGGTAAACATCAGCGCAGGAAGCGGGGCACAGCCGGGAAGTGAGGAGTCATTTTTCTGAAATACATCTGGCAGCATAAACGCATCAGCAGAGCAGCTGAGGGAGCTGTAATTTCAGTGCTTTTAGAAGCTTTTCTGGTGTACGTTCAAGCACACACAGCACCTCTGTTGTGGCTGTCATCAGACTAAAGCTGCTCAACTTCTGAGCACGCCTCAGCAAGCAAACACACAGAGAGAAGGTTTGTAAGAGAGCTTTAATAATGAAAGGTGCAGCATTGTTTACAGACGACGTCCACGGCGACCACCCTTTCTGCGAGTACTGTCCGAGGGGATGGGAGTGACATCCTCTGCGGGAGCAAAGAAATAAAAAACAAGCAGTTAGCTTCCAGAGGAACCCCGAGAAACCAACTGGGCAAAGCCACCCACCCCAAGCAGTCAGCCCCAACATCCTGCACCCTGGCAAGCAGCTGTTGTAGAAGCCACGCACTGGCAGAGCAGTCCGTGGGAGGTAAAATATCTGTGAAATCACCAAATGCTGGTACCCGAGGATTTTAATGCCAAGGATGCAGAAATCCCCATCTTCCTGCCCACCTAAACCAAGCACTTCTAACGAAACAGACTGCACACAGTGCGACTTTCAGGGCAGCCGGCACTACCGCATCTTGCAACTCCCCTACAAAGTTCAGGATTCTCCCTCAAACAGTTTGAGGAACTCAGTTTAAGGATGAATAAGTAATGACTACGACCAGCACGGTACTTCCAGGTAACCCAACAGCTCTGGCACAAGCAGTTACAGCACAGGCCCATCACGGAGCCAACCACTTGGAATCCGGAGCCAACTCACGCCACCTCCTGGTGAGTCTTCAATTAAAGAACCCTGTGGCATGTAGGCCCAGAGTTCCTTCTGCTTAATAATTCCTCAAAACTTTACTTTAGCAGCAAGGCCCCACACTGACACACGGTGCCACCCACGCAGCAGCTCCATCACTCACCGATACGGCCGATCTTCATCCCGGATCGGGCCAGAGCTCTCAGGGCTGACTGGGCACCAGGACCGGGAGTCTTGGTCCTGGAAGGGAGAATCGCAGCCATCAGTCTCTTAAAGATTCACAAGCTGAACACAATTCACAAACAATTCATTTAAAAAATCAGTTTCCTCGCTTCCGAATGTCCCAGTACTGGAACTCACCTTCCTCCTGTCTCAGACCCAAAGCAAGCAGGTTCCAAGACCAGGCACACCCTCTGCATACCAGTGCCCGACCCCTCCAACGTACCTATTGCCACCAGTTGCCCGCAGCTTGATGTGCAGGGCAGTGATGCCCAGCTCCTTGCACCTCTGGGCGACATCCTGAGCTGCCAGCATAGCTGCGTAGGGAGAGGACTCGTCTCTGTCAGCCTTCACCTTCATGCCACCAGTCACACGGCAGATGGTTTCCCTGCAAACAGAACAGAACATGTTCAGAAAAAACAATTCCCTTCTCCTTCCTACAAACCAGCTTCTGCGTGGTGATGGAACAAGCCATTTTGACACACTGCTGGATCAGTAAGCCACTCTGCAGTGCCTCAAGCACAATATTCACCATAGAGGTGCACAGCAAGACATCTATGATCGCAAAAAGAAAGCATCTTATCTTATGGCTTCTTGAGGACTGCCGTGGATCTTCTTGCCAAATACAATCTCTGTTTTCAATAGTGAGAAAGCCAGGTACTGCAGTGAGGTGACCCGTGTGCAATACTCACTTGCCAGAGAGATCAGTTACGTGGACAAAAGTGTCATTGAAGGAAGCGAAGATGTGGCAGACGCCGAACACGTTCTCTCCTTCAGCCACCTGAGGTCCCAAGCTGATGACCTGTTCTTCCTTCTTCTCCTTGCCCTTACGGGGTGCCATTTCTGAACAAAAACAACAAAAGAACACATTAGTACATGAAATATGCGCGATGGTGGATTTCTCAGCATTCTCTTAAAGGATTTTATGAGCTGCTCTGCAATTGCAACCTCCTACAAAGCAGGACAACTGAGTTCCTGATGGCAAAATGCATCTGGAAATTTTGAGGTATAATTGGACATCTTAATAATAATAATAATAATAATAATAATAATGAAAACCAAACAAGTATTTACAGCTTTGCTGTATGCTGGCAAGCAGGCCAGCACCCACAACTGCTTAGAGGGGTCTCAAGCTGCTGGTGCTTCTGCCTTTAAAGCCTACACCTCACGTGGATGGTGGCAAATGGAGCAATCAAGTATGTTTAGTTAGGTGCTTGGCGATCCCACACATCTGCTCCTGAAACACAAAGTGATGGTTGCCTGTTCGCCTCTCTTGCCAAACACCAGCTACAGTAGGTGCTTTGCAGCAGAGATAAATATAGTGACTTCATTAAGAAAATGAACTCAAGGCATGACCTACTTTTATCCACAAACCTTAGCCTGGCGGCCTCCTGTTTACTTAGGAACAGCACGTAACCCTGTTAAACCAAGGTCTAAAAGGCCACCACAGGGCCACTCCAACAATTTTTTCTGGCATGCCCAGTGAAAGGCTGCATCGACATTACTGTCCCAAAGCAACTCCACTGCTTACAGGCCCGTAAAGCCCAGCAGCATTCACTTCCCCAAGCAAAGCGAGCACCAAGCCACGGGCAGTTTTTACCAGGCTCTGCCCCAGCGCAACGCGCCTGCTGCTCCTCAGCACCCCACTGAGCACACGCTGGACGTGGACCCGGCACCCAGGAGGCCCTAAGAAGCCGCTGCCAGACCCAGTGCAGCCCCCAGCCCCCCGGCCCTTCTCCCCCTCCCCCAGGCTGGCCGTGCCGTGCCCCTCCCGGCACCCCGGCCCTCCGCCGGCCGCCCACCTACGGCAGCCCCCGGCTCGGCCGCGGCCTAGCGCCGGGCTCCGCCGGGACCGCCTCCCTCGGGCAGCCCCGGGGCCGGGCAAGCGGGCGGCGAGCGGGGGAGCCGGGGGGGAGCCGGGGGGAGCCGGGGACAGGCGGATGTTATCGGATGTTGTCGGATGGCGGCAGGCGGCCCGCACTCACCCGCCCGTCTGCTCCGGCGGCCGCCGCTGGAAAGGAAGTGGCAGCGCGAGAGGGCCGGAAGGGGCCGCGCTCAGCCGGAAGGGATGGCGGCGGGAGGCCGGCTTCCGCCCGCACGCCGCGGCTGACCTCCTCAAGATGGCGGCGCCCGCCTCCACCGGGGTTGCCCTGCTCAAGATGGCGGCTCCCGCCGCTCAGTGTGCCCCTCCCCAACATGGCGGCGCCCGCCTCAAACGGCACCGCCCTCCTCAAGATGGCGGCGCATCCCCCCCCCCCATCCCCACCCCGCCCCCTTCAAGATGGCGGCGGTCGCCTCACAGCTGTCTCCTCCCCAAGATGGCGGCGCCACGCTTCAGAGGGATGCGGTCCCTCAGGGCCTTTCTCGGTGCCATTGGGCGGCGTTTTGCCATAATTAAACGTCTTCCTAAGCACTACACAACGGTGCCACACGGCCCAGCTGTGGTGGCATGGGTCAGTGTGTGTGCCAAGTGTGCGGGCTACGAGGGCTGTCTCAAATGGCCACCGGCCCTGCTTCAGCTCCTCCATCCTGTTGTCTCAGGAGGCCATCAGGTCTCTGTTTTAACCTGGTTTCACCAACAGAAGCCATCCTGAAGCAGAAGCCACAGTGCAGAGCTTTCCGTTGGGCTTTGTGCACGCATCGAAGTTCTGTTCAAACGTAGCATAGCCATGTGGCAAGTGCCCCCCGTATAACATACTTCAGTGAAACAAAATAAATGAGACGGGGAGCACTTAATACTGGAAGCGCATGCCCGGAGCGGTTTCACAAACCAGCAGGATTTGGTGCAGCTCGTGCATGGGGACGGGACCTCAGGGCCCCCTGCTCCAGCAGCTGCCCTGGCACCGGGCAGAGCTGGCACCGCGCCTGGGAGGCCCCTTGCAGAGGCCGGGCACCAGCTGCTCCTCCTGCACTGCTGGCGGGTGGCTGAGCACAACTGCATCTCCTGTGGGATCCAGACAGCCGCCCGGGTTCATCGGCTGTAGGAGAAGCTCAGACATGTTTGATCCAGAAAACTGGAAAGGCCTGGAGTCCTGCAGGGCAGGGCTGTTTCTCCACCAAGACCCCATCCACCCGCAAGACTCCCAGGTATTGACAGCACCAGGTCTAAGCTTAACGTCTTCATCCAGGAGAACAGCTACCGCTCAGTTCAAGGCTTTCGATTAAGACCTTAAAGCCCTAGCTTAATGTGCAGCGACCTTGCCTGACCCATTAAAGAAAACCAAACAGAAAGACTCTCTACAATCAACATCTCTGCTGACATCTTAGACCTTCAACCTTGTTGTTCAGCTGCCTGATCCCAGGAGACTCCTAGATGAGGCTTACCTGCTAATGTAGCCCAGCTGTACGTGCTTCTTTGTCCTAACAAATTTCTGCAGGAATCAAGCAGGTTTCTAATGTTGTTACTGTCTGCCTTATTTCCTCTTCTAAGAGCTGGTTGCATAACGCTTCCTATCATTCTCACAGAAAATTCATCTCTATAAGACTATAAGGAGGTGTTCGGGAATTTTACCCGTAAGGGGATGTACATAGAGACTTTAATATGCATAAGTCTTTGGAGCATTTTCTCCTTAGGAGCAAATGGGAGATATTTAAATACACATAATTCTCTGCTGGGAAGTCAGAAGGCTGATGTAAGTGGCACAGACTTTATAGCTGTGAATGATGGTGCCGGGACTCCCTCCTGGAACAATTATCTGGGGAGACTTCTTACACCTCTACAGCAAATAGAATGTAAATTTGTAAAGTTTTACATTAAGGCAATCCAGCAAGTGAATATTTAAATCAGCTCCAACTGATTTAAATGGGGCTCAGGAGAGTAAAGATGGGAAACATCAAAGACCTTTGGAAAAAAGACAGATTGAACCTGACTTAATAGCACTTGCGATACGCTTCTTGGGCCTGATCCTGCCCCGCTTCTCCAAATACCTCCTCCGTGAAACCAGGGGAGCAGAGGAGAAGCAGATGGCTGTAGATGAGGTCTGAGGGAGGCTCCGTGTAATTGTTCCACCGGAGGGATTGCACAATCTGAAGGCCCGAAAACCCTTCTGCAGGGAGGCTCCAATGCCTCTGCTTGGACAAAGGAATTTGCTGCTGGCTGGTGGGAAACTTTTGAATCCCCTTAGTGCCTTGCCTGGTGCTTTTTTGCTCTGGCATGAAAAGAGGCCAGTGCAATGCATTTGTCTGCTGCTGAGTCCCCTTGGATAGCACCGTCTTCTGCTTCTGATGCAGAGGGCTAGGAAGGCTGAGAAATCCTGGGATGTTGAAATTTTTTTGTCCCTCCAGGGAGAAGAGATTTGTTCTGTAAGGCTTCCCTGCACCTCCCTGTGCCTCCTCCCAGGAATGATAAAGCCCACTTAGCTCCGTGGGCCACCCTGCCTGCTCCTCTCTTCATTAGCAGCTTGCCGCTGCACCAGGGATCTTCCAGTTTAAATATTGAATGATAGTCTTTTAAAATATACATTGGCAGGACTGCTGTAATTCCAGCCAGGGGCTCCAGTGACACCGGCTGCGGGTTGATTTGACTGACGAGGGGAAGGACGGGGCTGGTGGCCTGGGCAAGGCTGATCCCCCCGTCACTGCTGCCCTTTGCCTGCCCTCTGTTCTGACACAAATCCCGATGGCAGGGACTCCTTCGTGCCCTATTTTTACCCAGATTTGAGGGGTGCTGATCTGAGGGGCTGGGTTTCCCTCTGTTTTGTCTTCCCTCCCTCGAATCTCACCTCCCTGAGGATCTTTCCTCCCCTTTTTGCTGTTTCTCTGCTTGCTCAGTGCAGCCCCGTGTGCGTGCACAGGGCAGACAGCGCTGATCTTCCCCGAGGCTCGCACCCGCCTGCAGATGATGTCCTTGTGGAACAGATGCAAGCCAGAGGCACGGAAACGGGCAAGCTTCCACGTGCGGGGTTACGGGCTGAAACAACCACTGGCGCTCCAGATGAACCTCCAAAAAACCCCAGCAACCCAGCGCTTCCCAGTGCAACGCTGCCCACAGCCCCAGAGCAGCTGGGAAGCAGGCTGGGCCCAATCCCTCAAGGCACCCTGCAGGATGGGGTTTTCCTACTCCCAGGGAGGAATTCTCCCCTCTCTCTTTGCCCCAGGCTTTGCACCAGTCCTGGTGTGTCTGCAGGGGAGCTGCCTGAATGCCATCAGGACCAGGCTGCCGAGGACACAGGAACATTCCCAGGCTGGGATGATTCACAGGAGGGGCACCCGGCAGGGACTCAAGGACTGCGTCCTCCAGCCTGGTGGGAAGGATGCTCAGGCCACAGCGAGGTCAGTGGCAGAGACGATGTGTATTTGCTTTGAGAAATCCCTCAGATTTAGTTCTTAAACATGTAATTAAAATTCCAGCCGCTCCTTGGTTGTAGCCTCTCCAGCCCATGGGAAACCCACAGACAGGGTGACGCTGCAAGCGGATTTCGTAACTCAGCCAGTGACTAAACAAAAAGGGAGCCTGAGAGACGAAATGGGAATGCTGCTCTCCATCCCTCATCCTGCCCAGGCTTTGGCCCTGGTGGAAACCAGCCCCAGTTTCCCACTCGCTGCGTTCTGCTGCTAGACCGATGGCCTCACTGATGGCCTTGAAACGGAAACTGGAGGAAGACGAGGCCGAAGTTATTCCTGGAGGCTGAACTCTTGCCATCTGCCTAGTGTGGAGCAGGGTTTGCGCCTGGGACTCTCATGGGGCTGGTGGGCAACAGCTCCAGGCCCCTCACATTGACATCGTTCCTCTAATAACGCTGATAAAGTGAAATTCAGGGCCATGAATGCAGCCATTCACGGGTTTAAAAAATGAAAGAAAAGTTTTTCCTTTCACTTCTAAGGCCATCGGGCTTCTTAGTTTTAGAAATGCCGTTTGTGCATGCACACATGTAGAACGATGTGTCAGAAACAGGCATAAGAAGATTAAAAAAAGAAATCTCCAACGCTGAAGTTAAAGCACTTAAGGAATTGGCAGAGACTTCAAGAGCCGGTGTCTGGTCCTAATGAAGTTGGTGGAAGTGCTGCCATGGACTTCAAGGGGACTGTAATTTGGCTGTAACTCAGTAGGAAGCTGAAGGTGTTGATTAATAAATTGGAGACAATGCAGAGGAAAGCTGCTAAACTTCTTTCCAACAGATGTGCTGAAGAGGAGCCTGCAAGTCAAAATATGCAGGAAAGGAACTGGTTTCCACTCTATTTGCAAACAGAACACAGGGAAAAAAAAATAGCTGTCTGATATTCATGTAAAACGGTGGAACTGGTATTAATAAATATGAATGTATTTATGAGCAGCCTTCTGTGTCCAGCGAGTAGGTCATTCTTTTCGAAAAAATTGTATTAGCAGATGCCTGAGCGAGTGTTCAACAAATTCCTTTTCCTCCAAAGTAAGTGTTCAGTGGAAAATTTTACCACTGGAGACTGTGGATTCTGGAGGTTGTCCTCAGATTTTGGTGTGTGCCTTTGATTACTCATCGTTGGCTTTTTGTTCGATGATTTGTACATGAGTTTCCTCTGCTAAAACTCTGACAGAGGTTAGCTTGGCCTCAGAAAGCTATTCCTAGTGCAGATACTCTTTCAGGCTGAGTTTGCGAATCGTTTAAGGCTGAAAAAAAAATTCCTTTAATATTCCTTACAGCGGCTCGCAGTTGAAAAATTTCCTGTTTGTCCCTTTTTATTTTCCGAGCTTTCAAGTAACTTTGGCTTAGGCATGATATTCAGAGATCTTTGGAGAAAAGACTCGTGAGAGAAGTGGAATGTTTAAGGATAAGGAGTCTTTGACTTCAATGAATGCTTCAGAGTGCGTTAGAAAATTTGCAGTCATAATTGTCTGCGATTCTTTGCGTCTCCTTCCCTATTATTTCCTTTTCTTTCATTCCCTTTTTTTTTTTGGTTTTGTTTTGTTTATCTGCTTGTTTCATTTGATTGAAATTGCTTCCTCGCCTCCTGTCGAGTAGGAAGCTCTCCTGGAGCGTGCTGCCAGAGCCAAACTCCAGACAGACCTTCTGCTGCATCTCGTCCCCGTGGGCTGGACACGAAACCTCGTGGGGTCTTCTTCATGCCCTGCTGGGCACGGCCAGCCCCCGCAGCTGCCCCGGGGTGTGGGTAATGCACCCAGCCGGGCTGGGAGCAGACACAGCCCTGCAGGCGCAGCACGAGCTCCTGTCATGCCTTGGAACGGATGTAGGGAGATCTCAGAGAAGGTGTTTTGTTCTCAGCATTGCTTTGAAACGCCTTGGCAAGGCATTCCCCTGTCGTACGCAAACACGTCAAAATCCGGGATGGGAGCTCAGAGCCTGGGGATAGGTCGGACGGGTGCGGAGCTCCCAGCTGTTCCTTCCTCTGCTTTGTCTTGTTTCTCCGTTTCCGAATCAGCTCATCCAGCTCCACACATTTCCTCTGCTTTGAGACGAGCCCACGCTACCCCACGCCCTTCTGCAGCACCCCAAACTCCCTCCAGCCCCTCATGAGCTGCCCCCAGGGGCTGACCCCGACCTGGAAGCAGGGTCCTCGTACCACGGGTGGGCACAGCCCTGCTCGGGGCCCTCTGCAGCCACACGGTGCGTGCTGGCGAGCCGGACCTGGGCAGCTCGTGCCACCCATCACAAACTCCTTCCCGATGGGATTGTGTCTCCACGTGGCTGCAGAGCCCCCGGCAGCCCCTGTTTTAGCCCTCTCTGAGGAATGAAGGGAATCTGTGTGTGCACAAGGGTCCTGGAGGCGGCCAGCCTTTGACTCAGATGTACACCTTGGAGTTGGGGTGGGAGAGCTGGAATTTGTCGTGAGGCAGCACTTCGAGATCAGCCCTGGGTCCTGCAGCTGGGGAGGAGGACGGGGATGACCTCGGGCTTAACCGGCTTCAAAAATGTGACGTGGAGTGTGCATGGAGAAAGATAAAAGGGCTTTTTTGTGGGAGACAGCAGCCCGGCACACCAATTACACCAAACTTGATGCTGGGGCCGCATCCTTCACACACCCCGCTGCGCTCGCCTCAGGGAGCAGCGGTGGGAGAAGGGCCCCGATGGGACCCTCACTGAGGGGATCAAACACGTCCCAGCCCCGGGGGGTGGTTTGGGACCCTTTTGGGGACCCTTTTTGGGACCTTTTTGTGGGGAGATCATGGCACAGCCGAAGTATCTCGAGGTGACGGGGGCTGAGCACGGCTCCCCCCAGCACCACGGCGCGGGGACCGCCGCCACACTGGGACAAACGGCGGGGGCCGGGCTCCGTGCTGAGGGCACGGACACCTCGGGGGGCCCCATCCCCGACCCCATTCCCATCCCCAGCCCCAGCCCCGGCCCTGTCGGCCCGCAGGGGGCAGGCTGCGGGAGGCGGGCCCGGGGGCGGCGCTGGCTGCGGGGCAGGGCCGGGCCGGGCCGGGCCGGGCTGGGCTGAGCCGAGCGGCGGCGGCGGCGGGGCCGTGGCGGTGGCGGCGGCGCGGAGCGGAGCCGGAGCGGGGCCCGAGGCCGGGCATGCAGGTACGGGAACGGGGACGGGGAAGGGAATAGGGACGGGAACGGGGACGGGGGCAGGCAGGCAGCAGGCAGGAGGAGCGGGGCCCGCAGACAAAGGGCGGCGAGGCCGCGGGGACGCCGAGCTCTGGCCTGGTGCTGCTGGTGGAGGTGGTGGAGGTGGTGGTGGAGCTCCGGGGCTCCAAGCTGGAGAGGCCGAGGGGACCCGGTGCTGCTGGTCCTGGTCCTGGTCCTGGTCCTGGTCCTGGTCCTGGTCCCGGTTCTGGACCCAGTTCTGGTCCTGGTCCTGGTCCTGGTCCTGGTCCCAGTCCCGGTCCTGGTCCCGGTGCTGGTCCTGGTCCTGGACCCAATTCTGGTCCTGATCCTGGTGCTGGTCCCAGTCCTGGTCCTGGTCCTGGTCCTGGTCCCGATTTTGGACCCAGTCCTGGTCCCGGTGCTGGTCCCGGTCCCGGTGTGCTGTGCCTCTCCCCATCGTGGGAGCCGTGCCTGGAAGCCCCCTGGTCACTCAGCCACCCAGTGACCCGCAGCCCAGCCCCACACGTCTCCATCCCACCACCGCCCTGCCAGCAGGTGCCCACCGCCATCACCCCTCTGCCCTTGCAGCCAGCGCCCGGCCAAGCTGTGGGGCTCACGGAGCCCCCCTGGGATCCACAGGTTTTTGGGGCAGCTCAAGACACGACGCAGGTGCCTGTGTTTGGGTGTCTGGGCTCTCCTCCTGTCCTCCTGCTGCTGCCTGGCTCACGGAGCTAACGGGGAGTGAGGAGGAGCAGGGCTTGCTTTCCCCAAACCCGCCACCCCCTGCGCAACTTCACGGCTCTGCAAGCTCCTGGCTCCATCAGGCCTCGCATCCCTCGGGGTCCCCCAAGCTTTCCATCCCCAGTGTGCCACGCTGGGGGCTGTGGAAGAGCAGAGGGAGCAGGATGAGCCGTGCAGGGTGGATACGAATGCCTTCGCTCCACAGCGTCGGGCTCCGAAGGGCTCCTGACCTCTGTGCGGTACCAGGGGATGATGCAAACTGGCGCTGGGAGAGGTCAGAGCCGAGCTGCAACGTGGGCACGAAAGGCGTGGGTTGTGAGGCCTGTGGTGTCCCCACTCCCAAAGAGCATAAGCGACGTTAATTAAAAATAATAAAGGATTTAAGGAGATCCAGACAGCGCAGCCAAGAAGCGCCGTAATGGTCCACTCCTGGCACTTGGCGCGGCTTTGCTGTTCTGGCTGGAGTCTCCAGAAAGCACCTTATAATCCCCTCTAGAGGAGATCCTGGTATTTAGTCAGCCAGGAGTGAACTCCCGGAGCTTTAATGCGTAGCTGTATTCTTTCCTGCCCAAAAATCTTTTGGTTTTTGTCTCCGCCTTTGCCTTTGTGCAGACAGGTTGTCCCCTCTTGCTGGGTGATATCCCTGGGTTCCCAGCGGTGCCGAAGCCGTGCAGCTTGGCCACTGCTGTCACCTGGAAGGCTTTGCTTCTCTCCGAGGCTGCTGCTGGGGATGTGTGGGGTCAGCTCACCCCTCCTGGCGGGCTGGGGTCCTCCTGCGAGCAGGGGCTTTCCCTCCCCACGTCCCTGCTGGGTCCTCACACTACCTGCACTCACAGGCTTGGGGAGCCAGCGCTTTGTCAGCGGCAGCCTTGAACCAGCAGCTCTGCCCTGAACCAGCAGCTCTTCCTGCAACAAAGCAGCATCTTGCTTCCTTCAGCCTCAGCAGTGTGTGTGTTTTACCGGGGCTGAGCTGGCTCATTTGGGGCTGAGGCGCGAGCAGGGAGCTGAGTGAGCTCCGTGCCTGCTCCCGCTGGCCGCGCGCGCGGGGAGCACAGCGGAGGAAGGGGGTGTTTTCCAAATCCAACAGCCGGGAGGAATTCGATAGGAAATAAGCTCCTCGCTTCTGAGGGATCTTGCCGTGGGTGGAGAAGAAGAAGGAAATTAAACAATAGCAAAAAACGTGCGTGGCGTGACAGGACAGGAAAAAAAAAAATCCTCGCTGGCCTCTGGCGGGGTGGCCGAGCATCTTCTCTCCGCCCGTGTGAGCACGGGGAATGACGAAGGAGGCAGCAGCGATGTTTGTATGGGATGTCCCTTTGTGGGAGCGTCGGTGTGTGGGTACACATCACCCCAAGACCCCATCCCACTGTCTGTGCGAGCCCACCTGCGGGCTGCAGCCGGCAGATCCTCCCCGTGCTGCATCCCCTGGCTGCAGGCAGGGGCACGGGCGGTGCTGGCAGGGCTCCGACACGCTGCGTGTTGCCCCTCTTTCCCCGTTTCCTGCGTCTTTGGGAAGCTGGTGGCTCCGTTTTGTGTCTGTTTGAGGTGAGGATGGGAAACCCATCCCAGCCCAACAGGCTGCCTGTCAGAGGTGGGCTCGTTCCTTCCTTTTTCTTTCGGCGTCGAGCTGTCAGTGCTGTAAAGTGGGGCGGATTGTAACGCGCTGTTGGTGGTAACGGCAACAGCAGAAGCAAGAAAGATGCCTCGCAAGTCAGAAACTAGGCTGGAGCGAAGGGAGAATGATTAATATTATTTTTCTCAGTGCTGTGTCGTGGTGAAATACCGTGCCGCCGAGCTGCAGAGGTGGCACCGGCTGTGGGGGTGCCTCTGCCAGCGGCGCACGGCGAGGGAAGGCGCCTTCCACCCTCCTCCCCGGCACGAGGCAAACACTTTCTGCTTGCTTAACGGCCTCGTCTCAGCTCCTTCAAGTTCCTTCTCCTTGCAAATGGTATTTTGGGCTGCCTCTTCAGCGGGGGAGGTCACGGAAAGGGGGAGCCAGGTAGCAAGGTGCGAGCCGGGGGCGTGCGAGTCCCCAGCGGCTGGGGCTGGGCTCGGTGCAGGGGCTGTTCGTAGGGGGCTGGTTGGGAGGGGATTGTGCCTTCCACGTGTGTATATATATTATATATATTTAAATCTCTTGCAGAGAGGCTGGTGATGTAGATCTTGCTGGAATTACGGTAGGACTGAAGGCAGGGAGAAGCAAAATATCGGGGTCCTTCATCTTGCGATGACTTTATGGCCACAGAGGGTTGCGGTTCCCAGTCTATGGTGTGTGGTTAGCCCTGCTGGACCTTCTGGACCTCAGGCCTCCTCCTGGGCTCCTCCAGTGCCAGGAGGTGGTGCGGTGCTGCTCTTGCCTTTTCCATTTTTACGGTGCCTGCCCCGTGTGTGCAGGTGGTTTCGGAGCAGGAGGAGGCAGGGAGTCGTGTCGTGGGGTCAGGGCGGAGGGGACGTCAGCTGCTGCTTTCTCAGGGCCTGTCACAGACTTTGGGGCCCCCGGGTGAAGACAGGATCCTCGAGTGCCTCCTCACGAGGACTGTGTGTGTGTCGGGCCCCCTGCACGCCCTCGCTGTGCCCGTCCTGGTGCAGTGGAGGAGCGGAGCCTTCGCCGCCACCAGCCGGACCCCTGGCGAGGCTGGGTGAGTCACGGCGCGGCTGGAAGGAGAGGGCAGCTGGTGATTCATTTTTGTTTCCCTGCAAAAAGCCATCGACTGGAATGGCAGGGCTGGCAGGAGGCGAATCGATCCGCAGCCGTAAAATCCTGCCTGAGCCTGCAGGCTGGGCAGCGAGGGGGGCTGGGGTGGGCTGGGGTGGGCGGCTGCTTTGGGGTGAGCGTGGGGCAGGTGGAGGCAGCAGCGGGATGCTGCGGGTGGGATCACTCCTCGTGCGTTTGCTCGGAGCCCCTGAAGAGGAGGAGGACGAGGCAGAGCTGATGCAACAGGTTGCACGTGGGAATCCTGCCGGCTTCGTGCAGCCTGGGGACCTGCAGCCCCGATGCTGCGCTTACGGGGGACAAATTGGGCTTTACCAGGGGTGGGTGAGAGGCTGGAAATAAATCCCGCAAGTGCCCCCTGTGCTCTGCACCTGCTCCCGGGCTCTGTTGTCTTTCTCCTGGGCTGGTGGGCACCGCGGCCGCCTCTGCTACATTTTAAGGGTGGCAAAGTTTGGGCGGAGAGGTAATGTCTTTTATTAGCCCGGCTAATACCTTTAGGAAAAAGCAGATGTGCTGTGGGGCCGGAGGAATGCCCGCGTGCCCCGGCCGTGCCAGCTTTCCCAACTGCCTCCGTCGGTCTAATAAAAGATCCGACCTCTGCCTGGGCTGGCCCCCGACCTTGGGCCAGGCAGCGTCCCTCCAGCCTGCCCCGAGGGGCTGGATTTGGGGAGCCACAGCCTTCCTTGGAGCTTCCCCGGCCCTTCAGAGGCTGCCCCTGGCTGCAGGGTGGATAGAGACCGGAGGGAGCATCCCCAAAAGCTCTGCGAGGAAGGGGCAGCTTGTGGGGGAGAAGCTGTGCAGACCATGAGCTGAGCCCTCCCTCCTCTTCAATTTGCAGTAGGACCAGGGAAAACCTGGTCAAGCAGCGCTGGAAATAGCAAAAGTTGGCATTGGAGGGGGTTTAATTGGTGTTTTTTGGGGTTGGTGTCCTCATAGCAGGTGACAGTGCAGTGTGACTCCTTGCCTGCTCCCAGGAAAATCTAAAAATTCACATAAGATTATTTTCCTTTAGTCCTTTCTCTTCTTGAAGGTGCTTGAAATTCAGACCCTGCTCATCCAGAAAGGCTCTTGGACTCTTGGAGAAGCAGGAGAGCGGACACGGCGCATTTCAAAGCAGTAAAATCTGATTCATCGAGGGGATTTTTCCTTCCCCCGTGCACCCACTTAAAATTCACGGAGAGTTTTGTCAGTCAGAACCCGTTTCAATTAACAGACAAAAGAAACTCTCCTCGTTAAGCGTCGCTTTCAATTAGGGTTGGGGCGAATTCCCCAGGCTCCCCTTCCTAACGCAGGTTCCTCATGAGTGCAGGCGTTCCTGAGGCTTCAAGGGCAAAAAAGCCACGCCAGGAAGAGGAACCTACAGAGCTCCCCAGCCTTTCTGGGGGGAGCCCCGATTCTAGCCTGGCCTTGGGCTCCTGGAGCTGGGTTCAGTCCCCAAATCTCCACGTGGTGTCCTTGGGCTGGAAGGGACCTTAAAGATCACCCAATTCCAACCCCCCAAAATCACCTTGGGGTGCCCGCGGGGCTGTGCAAGACCCCAGGGCCTCTGGGGGGGCAAACGGAGGCGTCGGAGTGGACAGAAGTGTTTCCAAATTGCTGAGCTGAGCAATGCAATTAATGGCCTGCCCCTAAATCCTCGTCCAGCCAGGCTTAACCCCGCGGGCTCGCTTACGTGCGGGAGCGCGGTGCTTATCCCGTGTCCTGGCTCTGCTGCAGGATCCGGGAGCCTGGGGCCACGTCCCCATCCCAAAATCTGAGGGGCAGAAGGGAGAAGGGTCCCTGGGGGGGCAGGGCCTCCGAAGGGTGCCGGTGGGGTGGGTGGGATGTTTGGGGAACATCTCCGCGGGTTGTCTGAGTGATGGGGACTGTGAGCTGCTGGGATTGGGGTCTGGACATGGGGTCCTTGCCCTTGTGGGGCTGGGGGCTGCCCCCCAGGAAGGTCGGTGCTCACTGCATCCCCTGCAGCCCTTCCCGAAGCCGTGCAAGGGAGGCACGGGGGAGATTTGGCCCCCCCTCGGCCACATCACTCCCTCCTTTCAGAGTTCACACCCATGCCCGTGCCGTGGTGCCGGGCCAGCTGATTTATCGGAGTTCAGGGCTCGTGAACCACCTGCGGCCGGAGCCGCGGCACCCCCGGTAAATCACAGGCTGCTGTGATGCTGATGCTGTTTGTCAGCCTCCCGGATTACGAGCACCGGCGCTAAGCCAGCCGCCAAGCGGGTGCTTCCCACGTGGGGGAACGTTTTTCTTCTCCCTCTCCCCCCTTTTTAGCTCTGCCCTTCAAAATTCAAAGGGACGGAGGTGTTTTCACAGTCCTTTCTGGTTTAGTCCCGCTCTGTGCCACGGTGCCCTGGGCTGTGCTCCTGCACGTGGGGCTGGGGCTGCAGGGTTTTTGGCTGCTGTCTTTTAAACAACCACCGTGGGTTGCAGGAGGCACCTGAGCAGCTTCTGAGAACCAGGTTAAGGGGAAGTTTAGCTCCCGCTGTCCCCTTGCCAGCTCTTTTGATTATTTTTTGTTTTCCTATTTTACTCTTTCGGTTTTGTTTCTTCTTTTTTTTTAGAAAAATAGAGCAAAACCGTTGGTGTGCAGAACAACTCCTGGTCTTGGACCTAAACCCATGGCAGGCTGGCAGCGGGAGCTGACAGTGCCGTGCTCCCAAACACGAACCCGGCAGCTCTGCATCCTCCCCTCCCTTGCTGGGTTACTCCTGGCGGCTGCAAGTAACGGGAGAAATAAATCCAGGCGACAAAATCATTTTTATTAATGATTTTTTCCATTAAGTTTCGTATTCTCTTCCCATTTAGCTCCCTGGGGAGGAGGCAGCGGGATTCCTGCGGCTCCCAGACCCCCGGGATACCGGGGCTGGGGGCTCGGGTGCGGGGCAGCCTCGCTCCCCGAGGAGGCAGGAGAGAGGCAAGGGTGTCATTGGATTGTTTATTTTGAAACTGGGGGGAAATGAAGGAGAGAAAAGCCCCCGCAGGGTATTTTTAGCGCCAGCAGAGCGTTTCGGGGCCAGGAGGGAGGCACTCAGCTTGGCGCTTCCCTCTGTAGGGTAAAGGGTGAGCTCCGCGCCCGCTGTGTCCCCGTGTCCACCCCTTTCCCTCGCTGCCCCATGTTTGGGTGCTGTTTTTTCCCCCAAAACTTCATTTTTTTTAATTTTTTTTCATTCTCCCATTGCCGGGAGGTTTGGGGAGCAGCCCGGGTGCGGGGCAGCCCTTGCAGCAGGTAAGGGCAGGAATGACAGGATTACCCCGCAAAGCCCCAGCGTGTAATCCCCGTTCAGCTGGCCACGTTTAATCCCGTTACCGCCCGGATTAGCTTCGTCTGCCCCCTGCCCAGCCCGGCCTGGCTGCGCCCCCAGCCTGCTCCCTCGGGGAAGGGGCTCGGCCCGGAGCTGTGCGTGGCCCCGACACCCCTCGAGCTCCTCGTGGGGAGCTCTGCCTGGCAGCGGGGCTTTGCATCATCCCCCACCACCCCTTTTTTATTCTTTTTTCCCCCTGAAATGCCCCGCCAGAATCAGGATCGGTGCCAGAGTCAGTGGTGTCTATTCCTTTTTTCCTCCTCTTTTTTTAAGCAGCCCTTTTACAGGGAAAGGGGAAAAAAAAAAAGAACAATTCCCAAGGTCGCTTTGGCTCCACGGGGACGCCCCCGCTCGCCTTCGCCTTCCCCTCGGCTTTGTCTTGCTGACCTTGGTGGGATCTGCCCGCGGCGCCTGGCTGCCTGCCCTCAGCCCTCCCCTGCCACCGGATGGTGCCTGGAAGGGGGCCGCGGCTCGGGGACGTGTGGGGCGAGGAGGGCAGCGGGGTCCTGGCCGTCCAGAGGGGCTCTTTCATCCCTGTACCAGCCCCTGGCCTCCCTCCTCGCCCCGCTGCCAGCTCTGTGCCTCCAGCCTCCCCCTCCTGGTGCTCGGGGTCCCGCAGGATCTAAAAGGGGCGCTCGGTTTCCCTGCTGCCTGCTTCATTCCTGGAGCAGCCGGGCTCTCGCTGGGTGCCATAAAGCGGGGAGAAAGCGGGCACGGCGCGTGCCGAGGGACCCGACCGGCACAGAATAAAAGGGTGTGGGCCACGTGCTCGCAGCAGGGAAGGGAGGAGCGGCACTGCTGCGTGGTAGAAAGGCTCAGCCGGATCCACGAGCCGAGTTTGGGGCTGCTGGGGACCCCCTGGTGCCCCCACCAACACCGGGACCTCGCGGCACGCGAGCATCCCGGCCCCGCCGCGCGCTCGAGGCGCTTTCACTGCAAGCCCCAGCACGCCGGCACCTCTCCGAGGGAGCTGCTGGAGCCTCACGCCTGCCTAAACCACCTCCAAATCACAGGGCTGCGCTCACCGTGCCCCCCTCTTTGTCCTCTCACCCCTTTTTTCTCTCTTGCAGGGCAGCGCGCGGAGCCGGGAGCCCCGGGGAGCCGCCATGGGCGCCCGCCCGCCCAGCGCCGCGCCGAGGCCGCCCGCCGCCCCCTCGCCCCTCTGAGCCCATGGAGCTGCTGCTGCGGGGCCGCGGCCGCTGCCGCCGGGATTTCGGCTGGCCACGGGGACCCTCGGCGCCTCTGCCATGGTGACATGAAGCGGGCGGCGAGGGACGCCGGGCTGCCGGAGGGGAGAGAGCCTGCGCGCGCACGGGCGCCCCGCGGGGCTTTTTAATTTATTCTTAGTCGCCTTGCTCCAGCTCCTTCGGCTCCTTTTCGTATCGCGGCGGTGGTGGACGTCTCTTCCCCTCCCCTGGGGCTGGAGAGGGGAGGGGAGCGGGCAGGGCTTTTGGGGGCCCCCGACTCGCCCGTGGATGCAAGGATGAGCGTGCTGGCGAGGGCGCGGAGGGGTATCCGCCAGGTGTCTCCCCAGGTGGTGCTGCTGCTGCTCTTCGCCTTCTGCCTGCTGAGCGTTTTCGTCTCGGCGTATTATTTATATGGCTGGAAAAGGGGCTTGGAGCCCTCCGGGGACGTGCCGGGGCCGGACTGCGATGAACCCAAGGTCGCCCCTTCCCGCTTGCTGCCGCTGAAGGCCCTGAAGGTGGCCGATTCCTCCCGCACGGACCCCTTGGTGCTGGTGTTCGTGGAGAGCCTCTACTCGCAGCTGGGCCAGGAGATCGTGGCTATTTTGGAGTCGAGCCGCTTCAAGTACAGGACAGAGATCGCCCCGGGGAAGGGGGACATGCCCACGCTGACTGACAAGGACCGCGGGCGCTTCGCCCTCATCATTTACGAGAACATCCTCAAGTACGTCAACCTGGACGCCTGGAACCGGGAGCTGCTGGACAAGTACTGCGTGGAGTACGGCGTGGGCATCATCGGCTTCTTCAAGGTACGGGGCCAGAGCCAGCAGGGTGTTGGTTTTGGGATGAGTTTGGCCCGGGGCTGTCCCTCTGCTGGTCCCCCTGCGCTGTTGAGGCGCTGCAGGGGGTGGGAAAGGCAGCTTTGCAGATGGTTGCAGGTGAGGGAGACGAGAGGGGAGGGATCTGGCAGGGCACAGGGTGAGGGAACACGCCTGGGGTGGGCAGGAGCCCACTGCAGAGCCAGGCCGAGAAAAAAAGCCTAGAAATAACAAAAAGCAAAGCTACGTGGCACTCGGCTCTCCAAACGCCCTTCTCCCCAGCCTCCCCGTCTCTGCCCTGTCTCATTTCACCCGTCTCTCCCCCCGGCAGGCCAACGAGAACAGCCTGCTGAGCGCGCAGCTGAAGGGCTTCCCCCTCTTCCTCCACTCCAACCTGGCGCTGAAGGACTGCAGCATCAACCCCAAGTCGCCCCTGCTGTACACCACGCGGCCCAGCGAGGTGGAGAAGGGCGTGCTGCCCGGCGAGGACTGGACCGTCTTCCAGTCCAACCACTCCACCTACGAGCCCGTCCTCCTGGCCAAAACCAAGTCGGCCGAGTCCATCCCCCACATGAGCGTGGACGCGGCGCTGCACACCACGGTGATGCAGGACCTGGGCCTCCACGACGGCATCCAGAGGGTGCTTTTCGGCAACAACCTCAGCTTCTGGCTGCACAAGCTGGTCTTCGTCGACGCCGTCTCCTTCCTGACGGGCAAGAGGCTCTCGCTGCCCCTCGACCGCTACATCCTGGTGGACATCGACGACATCTTCGTGGGCAAGGAGGGCACCCGCATGAAGGTGGAAGACGTCAAGGTGCTGCTCTTACGTCCTGGCTGGATGGGCGGGGGCTGAGTGGGGCTGGGGAGCTTTTTGTGCTTGTTCTGGGATGCTCCTGGCTCTGGGGATGAGTTTTCCTGCCCTCGGAGCATCCTCTGGCCCCTGCGAACCCCTTTCCTGGAGTGCTGCCGCTGCAGCCTTCTCAGGGCTTTCAGGGGTGAAGGTTTTTGCCCCGTTTTGCTGCAGGTTTGGTGGTGAGGCTGTGCCCTGCTGCCCCTGGCTGAGGTTGTTGTGCTCTCTCTCCCCCCTCGCAGGCGCTGTTCGACACGCAGAACGAGCTGCGCACCCACATCCCCAACTTCACCTTCAACTTGGGATACTCAGGGAAATTCTTCCACACAGGTGAGGAGGCCGAGGGCTTGTGAATCCAAAAATCCCAATCCAAAAAGGAGGGGAGAGGGGCTGCACGACACCACCCCAGTCCAGGAGCCTTTCTACTCCCCCTAGAGCACCCCTTGCAGCTGGCACCCCATGCTAGGACCCCGTACCCGTTCCCTATCTCCGTCTGAGCTGCTCCCTGCCCTGTTCCAGGGTTCCCTTCAGCTCTGTGTACCCTGCAGTGACAGCAAGTGTCATCCCCGCAGGTACTGACTGCCGAGGACGAAGGCGACGACCTGCTGCTGTCCTACGTGAAGGAGTTCTGGTGGTTCCCGCACATGTGGAGCCACATGCAGCCACACCTCTTCCACAACCAGTCGGTTCTGGCCGAGCAGATGACCCTAAACAAGAAATTCGCTGTCGTGAGTAAGACGCCGCCGGCGGGGGTGCTTATGGGGCCGGGAATGGGATGGGGCGAGGGGTTACAAAGAGCTTTTGTAGGCTGGGCTGTGGAGGTGTCCCCACGGTGCTCCCTGCGTGGCTGCAGCTGCACACACATGGCCAGGCACCAGCTGCCTGCCCTGGGGCAGCGTTAGTGGGAAGGCAGAGATCACACCCAGAGGGCAACGGAGGGAAGCAGCTGCTTGGGTTTGTGCCTTGGACTTCACCCAAGCCTGAGGTTTCTGTTCAGCACGGTGTGGTTTGCTGCTGCCCTGACGCTGGCCCCTGTGGCATCCCGGAGCGGGGTCAGCGCAGCTGCGTCGGGGAGGCGCCGGCTGCGGGGAACTCCCTCTGCAGGCCGAGGTGTTGAGGGACTCGCTGGTTTTCTAAGGGCAGGCTCTGACCTTTGGCTTGGCTGGGGATCGTCTGTCCTCCTGGAAAAACCTTTATCGGGCCTGGATAGAGGCAACATTGACACCAAGTCATGCTGTGATCAACTGAGCTGCTCATGACCGTCGTCGATCCAAGCCCAGTAAGGGCAGACCCAGTAACAACAAATTGGGTCCTACGGCCTGAGAGACAGCTCTTCAGGCCAACCTGAATTCCCTGTCTGTTAATTAGAGGTGCTTAATTAAAGAGAGGGATTGGACCATCTCGACTTGCGCTGAAAGAGATGGGCATAGTGTCCAGCTTAAAATTTCCACGTTGCTTTATATCTCCTGCTGCACACCAGCGCCGCAGCCCTGTGTAGCTTTGGCTGCTCGGTCTCCACTGGTGAGCTTTGCTGGTGCTGGCCTCAATGCCGAGATGACAGAGGTGAGGAAAGTCCAGGAGCAGCAAGTGTCCACCCAGCGTGCCTGCTCCTGGACCCCCTTTTTCTGGAAACTGCCCTTGTTTAGAGAGGGTGCACGGGTACAACCTGCCCTGCTTGCTGTCCAGGTGCTTGGAGCTGGGCAGTTCTTGGGGGGAGGCTGGTTTGAGCCGGGAGGCTGCGTTTTTGGGATCTCCCTGCTCACCCAGACCCCGATCCTTCCCCTGCAGGAGCACGGCATCCCCACCGACATGGGGTACGCGGTGGCCCCCCACCACTCGGGTGTCTACCCCGTGCACGTGCAGCTGTACGAAGCCTGGAAGCAGGTCTGGTCGATCAAAGTGACGAGCACAGGAGGAGTACCCCCACCTGAAACCCGCTCGCTACCGTCGCGGCTTCATCCACAACGGCATCATGGTAGGTGGCCGGGCTGCAGCTCTGCTGCTTCTCTCCTCTGCAGGAGATTCTCCTCTCCAAAATCTTGCTGTGTGGTTTTTGGGCGGCTTGGCTACTTCAGCCCCAGCTGGAGGAGGCTGAGGGATCGAGGATCCCTTGCTAGTTTGGGAGGAGGAAGGAGATCCAGCCCCAGACTCCAGGAGGAGGCCGTGTGGCTGTTTGTTTCCTTGCCCTGGCTCCTCCACCTGCTCCAGACACGTCTCTCCCTCACCCCAGGTCCTCCCCCGGCAAACCTGCGGGCTGTTCACGCACACCATCTTCTACAACGAGTACCCCGGGGGCTCCAGCGAGCTGGACAAAATCATCAACGGGGGCGAGCTGTTCCTGACCGTGCTCCTCAACCCCGTGAGTACTGCCTGCCTGGGGACAGTGGCACATAAAGCAGTGTCCCCAACGATCCCAGCCGGAGCGGGGCACCCTGCCTGTTGGTGCAGGGCGGGTGAGGCTCTGCTAAGCCCTGCTGCGTCCCCTCCTCTTCAGATCAGCATCTTCATGACCCATCTGTCCAACTACGGCAACGACCGCCTGGGCTTGTACACCTTCAAGCACCTGGTCCGCTTCCTCAACTCCTGGACCAACCTGAAGCTGCAGACGCTGCCGCCCGTGCAGCTGGCACAGAAATACTTCCAGATCTTCTCCGAGGAGAAGGATCCGCTGTGGCAGGTAGGGAACAGGGGGAGCAGCCCGGTTTGATGCCCCAAGGAGAGGGAAACAGGGCTTAGCTGCCCTGATCTGTGCAGGAGGTTGGGCTGAATGGCCTCCTCAGCTTCCTCCCAGCCTGCATTTTCCTGTGATCCCATGGATAAGTGTTTTTTTTTCCACCTCTCTGTGGTTCAGCGGGCAGTGCCAGGGCAGAATTTGCCCCACAGACCTGGAAATAACCCCAGTGCTTTGCCCGAGCAGCCAAGTAGCAGTGCAGGGTCCATCCAGGCCGCCCCATCCCTGACCTTCCTCCTCCTCCTCCTCTGTTTCAGGATCCCTGTGAGGACAAGCGGCACAAAGACATTTGGTCCAAAGAAAAGACCTGCGACCGCTTCCCAAAGCTTCTCATCATCGGGCCCCAAAAAACAGGTACCTCCCTGCACCCCCCATGCTGTGTGCGTGCCGAGAGGCGTGCCGGGTCCCCTGCACCCCACAGCGAGCTCCGCTCGGCCCTGCTGACCCGAAGCAAAGCAGGTCTGGCCCAAATCAGCTCCAATTTTCTCTGTCTGAAGGAACAACTGCCCTTTATCTCTTCTTGGGGATGCACCCGGACCTGAGCAGCAACTACCCCAGCTCAGAGACCTTCGAGGAGATCCAGTTCTTCAACGGACACAACTACCACAAGGGCATTGACTGGTAGGTCCTGGTGGTTCCCTGCCACGGGGGCAGAGCCGGGAGTGCTGGGCCCTTTGGGAGCAGGAGCATCGTTGTGGGGGTTTCCCATCACCCTCACAGCCGCTGGGCTCTCGGCTGAGGGGCTGGGGGAGCCCGGCTGCTGCAAGATGGGATGGATCCCACACAGCTCTGCCCCTTGCCGTCCCCCAGGTACATGGAGTTCTTCCCCATCCCCTCCAACACCACCTCCGATTTCTACTTTGAAAAAAGTGCCAACTACTTTGATTCAGAAGTTGCTCCCCGGCGAGCTGCGGCCCTGCTGCCCAAGGCCAAAGTCATCACCATCCTCATCAACCCTGCAGATCGAGCCTACTCCTGGTACCAGGTGAGCTGCCTCGCCCCCAGCTCCCACTGGGCTGCGAGCTTCCCCCTTCCAGCTCGGTGTGGGACCTGGGCTGGCTCCAGGATCCCTGATTTTTGGCACCGAGCTGAGCGGGAAGCTCAAGAGGGGTGACCCAGGAGCTGCAGCGCTTTGTGGGGCTCGGGGTTTGTGTCCCTTGGATTTCTGCTCTGGGAACAACCCCGCCTTGCTCGTGTTTGACAGCACCAGCGAGCCCACGACGACCCGGTGGCCCTGAAGTACACCTTCCACGAGGTGATCACGGCCGGACCCGAGGCTGCTGCCAAGCTCCGGGCCCTGCAGAACCGCTGCCTGGTGCCAGGCTGGTACGCCACGCACATCGAGCGCTGGCTCAACAGCTTCCACGCCAACCAGGTAGGGACAACAGCCGTGGCACCCCGCTCACCCCGCCAGCCTCACCGCAGCACTGGAGCGGGACAAAAATAGCAAGCCAAGCTGTTCCTGGCTTCGAGCTGCCCTCAGGGGTAATCGGGGCTAGATCCCGACCCTGCTGTGACCTGCATGGGGAGGGAGAGTGTGCTGCTGGCGGTGTACGGGCCGCGTCAGGCGATGCTGCCCAGCTCCTGAATGATTTTTCCATCATCGTTCAACCTTACGAAGCCTGTTAGCTGTCTGCTTCTGGCATAATTGCTGTAATGTAATCCCGGCTGGCTGTGGGTTGGACAGCCCTGAGCTGAAGCTCTCATCTTGTCCTGGGTAGATCCTGGCTCTGACTTTTATTTGCGTTTAATTTTCCAGCAGCCAAGGTAAGTGAGCACTTGGACATGTTCACCCTTGGCATTCAAAAGGGGAGGCTGCGCAGACTCGTGGCAGATTTGGCTCTGAGGTGGCAAAACACTCGGGGAAGTGTTGAAGAAGAGAGGAGCAGGCGTTGTTACGCCTCAGGAGAGCAGGGCTGGGAGCCAGCGGGAGGTGGAAACCTCACAGCCCTGCCTTCTTCCTCGCAGATTCTTGTCCTGGACGGCAAGCTGCTCCGAACAGAACCTGCCAAAGTGATGGAAACAGTCCAGAAATTCCTCGGGGTGACCAACTTCATCGATTACCACAAAACCCTGGCGTAAGTCCCGCCCTGAGCAATCCCTCCCTCGGCCTGGAGAGGGAACCTGCTGTTCCCCAGGGCACAGAGCAGGGCGTTGCTCCCGTTTCCCCGAATTTACGGGAGCACAGAGCTGTCCCGGGGCAGCACCCGGCCCCTGGGAGCTTGGAGCAGACACCGAAGACACTTTCAGACACCGAAGTCCTCCATAGGAAGCAGAACCCTTCAGAGCTCCTAGAAAAACACAATAATTTACCTCTGTGCTGGTCTTGCCTGCATGTTTGGCCACCCTGAGTGTGGGCCAAGGTTCTGCAGGGTGCTGAGGGTGTCCAGGGCTGGAGGGCACAGCAAATACCAGCCAAAAGCCCACGCAGCTCTCGTTCTTCCTCACAGCAGGGCAGTGTAAGTAAGAAATGCATTTTTGTCCGGCTGTAGGGAAAACCTGTTGTACAAGTTGGTCGTTAATGAGCTGTTAGCTGGGCTGCTAATTAAAATGAGGCTCCGGAGCGGAGCAGCAGCCGGGCAGCGGGGCTTGCCACCAGCCCTGGGAGCCCTGGGTGAGGCAGAGCTCTCCGTTCACAGGTTTGACCCAAAGAAAGGCTTCTGGTGTCAGCTGCTGGAAGGAGGGAAAACCAAATGCTTGGGGAAGAGCAAAGGGAGGAAGTACCCCGAGATGGATTCGGATGTGAGTACGCAGAAAGCCTCCCGGGACGGTGATTTTGCTGGTGCTGTGCCCGAAACACGCAGCAGGGGCGGAGCTGGGATGGGGCAGGGCCCTGCCGGGTGCTGGGTTCGGGTCTGGGTGCATCGTCCCGTCCCGTTAACCCTCCTCCACCTTCTCCTCCCCTTGCAGTCGCGAGCCTTCCTGCGGGACTATTACCGGGACCATAACATCGAGCTCTCCAAGCTCCTGTACAAAATGGGGCAGGTGCTGCCCACCTGGCTGCGGGAGGAGCTGCAGAGCACCAGGTAGCTGCCGCCCCCAGCACCAACACGGCCCTGAGCAATATCCAGCTGCGGCCTTCCAGGGGACCCCCGCAGCCCCCCCAGCAGCCCCCGAGCGGGGCTGCCTGGGCACCGGGCTCCTGGCCCAGCACCGCCGCCTCTCCGCCTGCCCCACGGCCGTTTTGTTTCTTGTTTTCTTCCTTTTTAATTCCGGGGCCTGGTGGTGAGGTCCTTTCCCGTCCCGCTCTGATGGGAGAAACTGGGAATCGGCACAAATTCCTCCTTTCTCAGCCCAAAACTGGCCCTGAGTCCCCTGGGCCTGCGAGCGGTGGCAGAGCTGCTGTGCCTCCTCGGGAGGTGATGGAGGAGCAGCTCCGGGCGTGCTGGAGGTGACTGGTGCTGAGCTGGAGCAGAGGAGAGGAGCTGCTGGAGAGCCGACACACGAAGTGACCCTGCCCCTCACGGCAGGAATCGGGGATTTTCTGGAATTCCCCCCAAACCCAGCTCTAAAAATCGGGAAGAAAGGCGTCGTTTTGTTTCACGGACTCGGATGCTGTTTCCTTGGTCGTCTCCGTTCGTTTTCACTCTCCTCCTCCTCCTCCCGGTCCGTGAGCAGTGCGGGGGCACCGCTGTGGAGCAGAAGAAGGGTGCGGGGTGCTCGCAGCCCCTGCCCGAGGTGTTTTACACCCGTGGTGGTTCCTGTGGTACAGCCCCGAGGCGCCCGGCGGCCTGCGGGACGAGGCAGACTTTGAGATAACTTCAGTCGGAAGGATGCTGAGAACTTGGAACCTCTTGAATATTAAAAGCTAAAAGTATTTTAATAACGTTGGGGCGTGGGGGGGGGGGGGGTGGAGGGGAGGGCTCGTTTCGTTCTCGTTTTGTTTTAATTCGGTGCCAGAATTTGTACCTGAACCCCGAGGGTTTTACGTGGTCTCGGCTGTTACACGCGACGGGGACAAAATTGGGGGGGTGGGGGAGGTCTGGGGCAGGTTTCCCAACCACAGCCGTGTCTCCAGACTGCAGCGGTGACGTGCAGGAGCTGCAGCCCCGCTTCTGCCTCTCCCTCACCCCCCGTCCGTGTGTCTGGGTGTCTGCTGCTACCTCTCATCAGCGGGGTTTGCCAGCGTGTCCCCGTCCCCTGTCCCCGTCCCTGGCTGTGAGCGTGCACCAGGCTGTGAGTGTGAGCGTGTGTGTGTGTGTGTGTGTGTGCGTGCACCAGTGCCACCACTGAGCCATACTGGGCTGCTGTGGGGAAGGGCCTCAATTATTTCCTCGTGGCCTCTCCGGGATGCGTGTGCCAAAGGCTGGGGCAGGGAGCAGCTGGGGTGCAGGGGGGGGATTTGGTGCTGTGCGGCCCCGAGCTGCCTGGCTTTGGGGCGCAGCGCGGGCACCCCCTTCCCGTGGGGACCAGGGGGCTGCCTGCCCCCCTCCCGGGCAGCACAGCATCGCCGGAGGAGCAGCCAAAGGTACGGGAGAGGATGGGGAGGAGGGAAGGACGCGTGCTGTCTGCAGCCCCAGGGATATTTGGGGTCGCACGGATGAATTCGGGGTGCTGGGGACCCGAGCCAGCCCCCGCCGTGCCCAGCACCCAGCCAAGTGCAGGCAGTGAGGGGAGAGCAGCAGAACCGTGGGGCTCTTCCCCCCTCATTTCACATTTTGGAGGATGGAGCCCTGCTCCCTGTGGGGCCCCCAAACCTTTTCTTTGTGCATGAAGCTCTGCAGGGGCCGCCCTGCCCCTCCTCGGCTCCGTCCAAGCCCGTCCCCGGGGTTGCGTTCAGAGCGTGCCAGTCGCTGCTGTAAGGTCCTGATGAACTGCTAATAAAAATAAAAGGGGGTGCGCTGGTTTTAGCCGCTGCTTGTGCCTCGTTCCCTGCTCTTCTGGCTGGAAGGAGACATCCTGCGTTTCCAGGAGAGCTCCTGGTTTCCAAAATTTCGTGCTGGGGTTGGAGCTTTTTGGGGGTGCTGGGCAGGAGCAGCACCCGTGTAGGGGCTGGGGGAGGCGGGGGGAGCCAGGGCTGTGCTGGGGCTCGCGGGGCCTCGTGTCCCTTTTATCTCCCCAAACATAGGGAGGGAGCGAGGCCCCCAGTCCTCAGTTTTCCCTTGAGGTCTGGGCCCCATGGGGGTCCCCGGTGCTCGGATGGAGGCTGGGGGTGCTGGGAGGTGGCACCCGGCCCTTTTGGACCCGGTCCCATTCCCATGGCACAGATCTGCTTTGGTGGTTATGGCCCCAGGCAGCCCAAGGGCTTGGGGAGGATTTGGGGAGGAAAGAGGTGGATTTGGGAGCAGCCTCACGGCTCCATGCACGAGGTGGCAGCAGCCGTCTAGCGCTGGAGCCGGCCGCGCTGCACAGCCCGCAGCGAGCACCCGCAGCCCTGTCCCCTTCCCCAGCCTCGTGTCCCCTGAGCTGGGACCACCCTGTGCTCCCCCTGCTCCCAAATTGGGGAACAACCTGGTTTTTGGGGTGCTGATGATGCACACACCGGGCAGAGACGGCTGCAGCAGCCCCTGGGCAGGGGTAGGGCACAGCTTGCAGTGCCCCAAAATCCCTGCCCCGGACCCCAAAACCCTGCCCCGCACAGCACAGCTTCACGGCCATAAGCGCTGGGGCTTTGGGGGCTCCATCTGGGGAGCCCACTGGCCTTTTTTCCTACAGAGCCAGCCCGCCTGGCTGCTGCCTTCCCCCTCCTCCCTGGCCCCTGCAGAAAGCTGGAGGAAACGTAGCCGGAGCCTAATTAATCCCAGCCGGGCAGCGGCGGGGTTTGTTTGAACCTGTCCGAGTGACAAATGATGTGCGGGGCCGGAGTGGAGGGGGCCGCCGCCTGCCCCGGGGCTGCCCGCTCTGCTTTAGGGTTTTAATTTTCGGCTGTGCTGGAGCAAATCCCAGCCACGCGCCCTGTGCCCATTCCCTGGGGTTTTCTCCCCAAAATGGACCTGCTCTGGAGAAGGTGGCCCAGCCCCAGTGTTGGCACGAGGTCCCCCTGTCCCCTGCCAGCTTGGGGCCGTGCACCCCCCCGCCTCACCCAGCCTGCTGCAGGTGGGACCAGCTGCTGCCCGGAGTTAATTGTTTGTTAATTAACGGGGTCAGGAGCTGGACGGGGTGGCTGGGGCGTCGTGGGATGCGCCTCGGGGCTCAGCTCCTTGCAGCAGCCCCAGCGTGTGGGTGAGGAAGAGGAGGAGGAGGGCAGCAGGCAGGAGGAAGGCTCCGACCTCCCCTGGCCCTTTGGCACCGGGGGTGTTTTCCAGCTCCTGCGTCTGTGGAAAATGTGCAAACGAGGCGAAATCTGGGCCGGGCTGGGCAGGGGCCAGGGGCTGGAGCGGCTGGGGCTGGCGGGGCGCTGCGGGGAGAAGCGGGAACCCCAGCCAGCATTTTGGGGGACCCAGCACTGCTGCACCCGGGGGTGCTCCAGCCTCCCCCTGCGGGCACTCGATGCCCTCGGTGAGCCACATGGGGCTTCAGGCCCTCCACGAGGCCACCCTGAGCCGTGCCTGGCACATCCCCGTGTCCTGACGCATCCCCTGGCCGTGCCGTGGCGCATCCCGCATCCTCCCTGGGTGCTCGGGGGTGCACAGGGGTGCTCCGGAGGATCCCCGCTGCAGGAACGGTGCCCAAAAAACTGGTACACGGTGCCGGGCACCCCACGGCCTCGGCAGAGCCGCGTCGGGGCCAGGCTCTGGCCGGGAGAAGCGCAGTGCTCCCGACAGCCCCGTGCTGCCGTTCTGGCCGCCAGGAGCGGGGCTTGGCAGGAGGGGACGGAGGAGCCCGGCTCCAAAAGCTCCCGCGGAAGGTTCTCGAGGGGGAGCGGGAGCTGCAGGAGGAGAGGGAGAAGCCGTGAGATTCCCGGGTTTCTGCCCGGGAGTTCTGCCTGATCAGAGGGCTGGCGAGCTGGGTGATTTATGGCCCCCCGCTCCCCCATCTGCTACCAGGGAGCGCGGCTCAGCCGCACGGTGCACAGCCTGGGGAGGGAGAGCCTTAACGTCCTGCTCTTAAAGGAGGGAGTTTGCAGCTTCACAGCCTTGCTTGAGTTAGAAAAACCCATAAACGTGTCTTGCCGAGCCTCCTGGGGGGGCGAGGAGGAAGGCAGGGGCTGGGGATGGGCTTTGTAGCACCTCGAGCTGGCACAGGGGTGCAGGGGGCCGGGGTGGATGTGCCGCTGTGCCAGCTTTGAAATCAAGCTTTGCAGAGCCCGCGGTTGGTGGAAATGAGAGTGACTGCCACCAGGAACCGGCCTCCGGAGCTGCGTGGAAGCATCGAGCAGGGCAAGAGCAAACCTGCCCGGGCTGCAGGCCCGCAGCGGGCACAGCCACGGCAGCTGCTCCCTCGCAGGGCGCAATAGGGGCGCCCTGGAGCATCAGGGACCCACTTGGAGCATCGGCTCCGGGGCAGCCCCACTCTCAGCTCCATCCCAAAGCCTCCTGCGGGGCCCCAGGTCCCGTGCCCAGACCTGACGGTGCTGAAGAAGCCGTCGGGAGGTGCCCTGTGCCTGGAGAGCTTTCCAGGGGACCTACAGTGAGGCTGGGTTTGTTTAGAGAGGGTGATTAAAGAAGAGCCTCTCCTTGAATGAGAGCCATGCAAAATATTTCTTCTGATGTCCCGTGACTCCAAGTGACGTAGTTACATGTCCTATAAAGCGACGCCGGAGCCTGGTATCTGAAAAATGTCCACGGATTTTTTCCTGCGCTGGGGGCTGCGTCCTGCACCGCCGGCACAGGGCACGAGAGGGTTTTTTGGGGGCGAGGTGTCCCTGCGCCAGGTGCCGTGGGTGCTCCCTGCACCTTCTGGCACAGCCAGAGCCGGGAGTCCCCTGGGAGGTGCAGTGCCCGTGGAAAAAGATATGGGCTGGTAGGAGATGCTGCTTTAATAATGCAGGAAGGCAGCAGGAGAGCGCACGGCGTCCCGTGCCCGGCTGTCTGCTAGGCAGGGAACACTGTGGGGCCGACCTGGTCACCCAGCCAGCACTGCTGGCCTGCAGAACCAAACCCCAAACACCCATCTCCGTGCGTCATCCCTTAACCAGGGGCTGCTCGCATCCCTGCTGCCTGCCCCCGAGGCTCGGAGCATCCCCACGGGTCCCTCTCCGCCTCCTCCCCAGCACAGCACCCCCGGCTCCTCGGCGGGGCACCCGGGGAGCGAGGGAGGCGAAGCTGCAGCTGGAGACAGGGCTGCCCAGCGGCACGTCCAGCCCTAGGTGCAGGCAGGGCATCGCCGAGGTTTTCCCGCTGTCGCACATCTGGGTTGAGTTTCCCCTCCAGTCCCTCCCCGCACACCGCGGGGGCTCGCAGAGCTGCGCCTGCCCGTGGGGCTCCATCCTGCCAGGAGGGGTGCTGGGGGACGTCCCTCCTGCTCCAAACAGCGGGCTCAGCACCTCTCAGCCCCCCCAGACCCCCCAGCCCATCCCCAAAGCCCGACGCCCCCAGCCCTGCCCCGCCGACCACCCAGGCGCACTCGGATGCCACGGGCAGCCCCCGCTGTGCTTCACCTCCAGCTGGGGGGGGACACACGGCCCCTTCCCACCTCGTCCCTCCCCACCATCCCCACCCCACCCTGTGCCCCCAGCAGCCTTCCTGGGCTGGTTTCTCCTCGTTGCCCCTTCGCTGCTCCCCTACCCGGTGCCACGCGGGCACCCCGCTGCGGGGTCCTGGCCGTGTGCGAAGCCACAGCCCTGCCACACGCTGTCCCCAAGGCCAGCAGAGAAGGAGGTGTTCCCACAGCTGCTGTGGGTCCAGGATGGGCTGCAGGGGGCCCTGTGGAAATGGGGAGAGGATATGGGACATATAGGACCGGGAAGGGGGGGCTGGACCCCACCCCGGGCTGCTGCTGGGGGTCTCTGCCCGGGGCCACACACAGCCCCGTGCGTGTTCCTCGGGGCTGGGAGCAGAGCACCCAGCCTCCACATGCACACGCAGACCCAACACGATTCAAACGCCTCGGAGTGAGCCAGAATAAATATTTTATGGTAAATTACCGAGGGCTAATAATTATAAAAATCTGTACTTCTGACCTGGAGCCAGGGAATGCTTTCCAAGCAGCTGGTGGCCACATGAGCACCCCGCTCCCCAACCCGGCTGCCGGCCCCCTCCCGCTCACGGCCCCCGTGGGGAGCAGCAGGGGGGTACTGGGGGGTCTCTGGAGCCCCGTGGTGGGGGTAGGGGTCTCCCCATGGCTGTCCCCATCAGCTGGAGCCCCCCACCTTTGCCCCTATCTCCAGTCGGGGCTCTTTGAAGGACGGGAGATTTGAGCAGCCTGGCGCATTCGGTGCTTCCCCTTCCCCCAGCGTTTTTCCCATCCTCTTTGCATGGATTCTGAGAAAAAGAGGCCAGATTTCAGGATTTCAGGCCCGGCTCTGCCTCGCTCCATTCCTCCGGGCTGGCCACGGCCGATGACTCAGGCAGCAAGCAGCATCCGCAGCTCGGCCCCGCTTGGCTCCGCTCCTGCCTGGGACAACCTCGGCAGTGGCGGTGCTGGCCCTGGGCGCACGCCCTTGGCACTGCAGGCTCCTCGCTGCGAGGCACCCGCTGCTGGGGGGCTGCCCGGCCCCCCCAGGCATCTCAGAGCCTTTGTCCTGAGCTCCCAGTGCCCCCCAGTCCTCCCCACAGCAGGACCTGCGGGGGGCTCGGTGCTGCCCTGCTCTCGGCGCCCCCCTCCCTCATTCACCCAGCTCCCCCCCTGCGCCGCTGCAGCCCTTGGCGAGCGCGGCGCTTGGCTCCCGGCGATCAACAGGAAGCGGGAGATGGATTTCGCGCTAAACTCGGGCTTTTCCATAAACAGTCTGCGGGGCTGACCCGCGGCGGCGGGAGCAGCGCCGCGCCAGGGCCGGGGCTCGCGTCTGGTTATCGCATTTTTGTGCTCT